ATAAGGGAAGCTAGTCCTGACTGAAAGGACTAGTTCAAGTACGAGTAGATAGAACGAGGTAAATCAGAGATGAATAGGTTAAAGAACTCCCCTCTACTAGGGTCGTCCTTATATAGTACATACATGCGCAGCCGCAGGAGGCTATGAAACCTATAAGTAAGTCAGACTGAGTCGTGCTCGTACTGTGCCCCAGTCCGTAGTCGGTGCGGAAACCTGTACCCAATAAATATAGTACAAAGCCTATGCAAGGCTATGAAGCACAGTCCAAGGCTATGAGAAACAAGGTAGTCCGTAGTCGAGAATACGAGAGGAGTCGAGACACGGCTACAGGTCCATGGAATGTTCTTCAACCGGCCATATGAGTGGATGATGTGTATGTAGTTAAATAAAAAGAAACTGAGACTGCACATCCGCGTCTCCTGCGGTATCAGACCTGTCGAGCATACAAGAAGACGAAAAATATAGTCCATAACAGTACCCGTCTTTAAGTTCGGCCGCAGCGAAGGCATAGCACAGGGCTGAGAGGGCGGTAGGGGGCTGTAGCTTGATACGTCTACCCCATAAGGTCTGATTAAGTCTGAGGTCAAAGAATTACTTATGGTCTTCTTGCTGCGAGTTGTTTTGAACGAGCCGCTCTGAAGAAGGTTCAGGTTCAGGACCAGATTAATAGAATCCACCATGACGCTCGCAGCTTCCGTAAACTTGCACATGCTGTATATCAAGGCGGCGTCCAAGGATGGCTATAACAGGTAATGTCGGTGTCTTGCATCGATAGATCCATACGTTAGTGGTGACATCGGCTGCTGAAGCTGAAGGTTCAACGCAAACTGTGGGCGGTCGAAGCCAAGAACGAAAGGGCCGCCGGGAGTTCCCGAGCGGCGTCGGAGGATCGAAGGGCAGCATACCTGTCTGGGTTTGTCTCCAACCGCCACACGTACAGATATCTACGTTAGACATTAAGCATAATCTGGTAGAGCTTCATGCGGGGTAAAGCAGCATTAGAGGCGGACCTTTACCTCGAAGGAGATCACAGGACCAGGCCAAGGAACACTCTGTCATCTAGAATTTCTCGAGGATGCGGTGATCGTACTCAACTGGGAAGGTACGCCAATTTGCCCATTTATGTTGCTCCGTAACCTCCTGTGTATATACTCAACTCAAACGTGAACCTAGGCAAACCCATTCTCCCACAAGTTCGCCGCCATCCTCTTCGACTCCTGTGATGACAGCAAAAGAACGGAGGTGTCCCAGGTGCAGCAACTCCTTTAGGTGGCTGTCAAGCGATCCGAGTCTGTCAACGACGCTAGTAGAAGAATTCATCCCCAGCCACCCGTGATCGTTATAAGTCCTCCAACCGAGATCCTTCTCCTGCTTCTCGCTGGCTGCTTTTTCCCTCCTATCTTCACTATTCTCACGCAAAGAGCCTCCATCCTCGACTTGGCATAAGCAATTGTGCTGCACTACAGCTTGTCTTTCTTCCACTCCCGTATGCTTGATGATGAACGACTCGACGCTCTCCGAACAAGGCACAATAGCCAGTCTTATGTAGGTCCAGGATATCTACTACATTTTTGTACTGTCTGACTGTCTGACTCTAGATGGGGTCCCATACTGGTCGGAACATTTCTCAATATTCTCCTATATGGGGTTTTCATCGCCCAAGTTTACATGTATTATACTACATATCATAGGTGCGCAAACCCAGATCCTCAGTTGACTTGTCTCCGTGGGATGGAAATTGATGCCTTTTATTCATATAGGGATAGACTGAGCTTACGAATTTTTGTTCGTCTGCCCACACCCATCTAGTCCGCTCCGACGCGTTGCGCACTCACCAACTCTATCACGCTAGATCGCACTCCTCGTCGTTGCAGACACCCTGAATACAGCATTTCAGATGGAACAGAACTATGATGCTATGGTCAGCCATTTCGGTGAGCGTCCGCTCTTGCTAGATATTGGCCTTTGCTTCGATATTGAAGCTGTCATTCCAGGTGACGTCGGCTTCATCCAAAAGGCGACATGGGGTGAGTCCCTGTAGTGCACCTTCGTCCTTGTCTCTACTTTTAGACTTAATTCACATTTCTATCGTGCAGTGTTTCGTACCGGTTAGTCGTCATTCAATCGTAGTCCGTTTCTTACCTCTAAACGCCTCGTGAATATCGCACAGAGCCAGCAATGACAGTACGTTCCATGCAGTGTTTATCCCTACTACGAATTACTCAACCTAACTTTCCACTGCCTTGTGGCGTCTCTCAGGCTCTCATCGAGATGCTGGTTCAAATATTCTACGCATGGAGAATCAAGGTCCTAAGTAGTAGTATGTGGGCCACATTACTCGTCCTCCTCTTTGCAATTCTCCAGTGCTGTATGCTTTTCCCCTCTCATCGCGTGTGTCATCTCATGGCTGACTTCTGTCCGATTTGGTGTCACGCTATTGGTATAGTGGCCGGTATTGCGACTGCCGTGGCCGTGGCTTTTGTTCCGGACTTTCTTCACTTCCGTGTATTTAAGCCAGCAGTCATCGTATGGCTATCTTGTACAGCTATATGTGACTGTTTGATCACTTTGATTCTCGTTCTGTATTTAGTAGGTCCTTCCTCGCTGCTGCCATACTCACGAGGGGCTCTACTGACGTTTTTGCTTAGAGAAAACACAAGACTGGTGCACAAGTTACCGATGGACTTGTCGACAAGATCGTTCTGCGTAAGCCTAATCTTTGCCTACGCCCGTACGTTCGTCGGTTGTTGATATCAAACCATTTATTTTCAGTTACTGTGCAGACCGGTGCCCTTACTTCTATCGTGCGTATACTAGCCAGCACATCATCCTATATTGACCGACTGTCTCCACATTATCTACAGATCGCCACTGTAAGAAACTTCTCATCTTCATATTGACTTCGTGACTGAGCATCATCTTCTCGCGTTCACCAAGATCGACCTCATTCTCTTCGTAGCGAGTGTGAGTATCACTCTATCAAAACTGAGTCTCATACCGAAGCTGACTAGCGGCGTCCTCTTTGGCAGCCCTCTGGCCTGTAAGTAGGCCCTGTGTCGCTCTACGTTATCTGGCACCTCATTCATTCTTACACTCTCCGTCCGACTACCTCGCCTCGACAGACATCTAGCATTCAACATACCATTATCTAAACTATACACCAATGCCCTCCTATCGAGCCTCAACGCAAGAGGGGGATGGGCACGCGACAGTAACCACACGCCGTCCACAGCACCCAGAAGCACGGCTGATGCTTCCTTTGGTCATCAAATCGTGAGCAATGCATCTTATCCCCCCACATTCTTCGTTACCGGTGCTCAGTGTTCGTGCCAACTGATACATGATTATCTGCCCTGCAAAGCGCTGGCGTCCCATATATGTCGCCGAAGAACTTACGACACTGCCAGAGGTGAACAGGCCTTCTGAATTGTAGAGATCCTTACCGCGTTTGAAAGCTAATGCTCGGTATACCCTAGGAGAATACCAATAGAAGTTCGTACGAAGTTGCAACGTTTGACGAAATGAACCGCCCAAGAAGCGAATCCGTCAAGGAGGCTCAGGGTGAAATCCAACTGTCAGCTTCGGGAGATCGAAAGAGTATTTCATTCTCGCACACGCTGGAGCCTTAGGGAGAGGGTCTTATGCTGTGGCTGTGGGTGGGAGTCGAATGGATCATTCACAGCAGTAAACGTTCAGACTTTGGCACCGATTTCTTGTTTCCCCGTCAGACGCCTATGTCGGCTCATAAACATGTAGAAAATGGACTTCTAACATACGCAGTGTAATATATCATACATACAGTAGCCTGAGTTCTATTCGCCAGGCCGAAAGACACACCACACATCTTCATCGCGAGTCGCGCCACATCTACCAATGCTCATCGACTACTGACCCTCTCCAGCCTGAGTTCCAGTTATGCAACTGTGGTGTCAACGAGGAAGAAGAAGTTCATTCTGCTGTTGCTGAGATACATGACGTCCTGTGTACAAAGCAAAAGCGCGGAACTAAGAGACGGACGATGTCTACAAAGACGGAGGAACACCATTACAGCGAGGTCAGAATGTACTCTGGAGTGACCATAGCGAACACACGTAAAGTATCCAGGTAGGGAAATACAAAACCAGCGGAAGGGAACATAAATCAAGGAAAACGGATCACAAATACATACGAGAGAAACGCAGAAAGATTCCTATAGCGAATAAAACCTGGAGCTCATCATGATCTAGTAGAAGCAGGCGAAACACGAAGCAGATAATGGCAGATCACATCCACGAGCCATGCACCATCGCGTCCCACGCACTCTTCCCCTGAAGCGTCGTCAAAAACTTGGCCTTTGAGTTCGGCGTTACTGCACCGCTCTTCTCCGCCGGGCTGATTGGGCTCGCAGATACCTCCTCGACCGGTACCAAGGGCGATTGATGATGCTGATGGTGATGATGGTGGTGATAGTGGGGATGAAGATGCACGTCAGGCGCGTGAGAAGACGCATGCAAAACAGGCGGCGTGTCTGGGGCTGGAGAGGAAGGCGGAGAAGGCCCTTCAGAGTGCGAAGGGGACGTGGAGGGAGTGCGCTGGGCAAGGCGCCACATATATCAGCGCCACAATTAATAAACAGGCTTGAGCCCTCATGCTCAGTGATACTCACGCTCATGCTCAGCCTAGAATGGTGATGTGTCTGTGCATTTGGATGCGTGGGCAGGTGAGCCTGACTATGAGGTGGGGCTTGGTGGTGTCCAGCTTGACCTGAGCCTTTCGTAGCAGGTGTTGACGGAGGCACGCCTATGACCGGTGGCGTATCTGTTCTCGAGCCCGCTGTACCGGGATGAGGATGTGCTTGATGGGAATTGAAGTGATACGGCGAGGCAGTACCAGATGGAGTGCTGCTATGAGAATGCGAGTGTGGAAGGGGTGGGCGTTTCTGATATAGGCAAGGTATAGCCCAGGTGTTAGGGGTATGGTGTGCCATACAATACCAGTCCCAAAGAACAGAAAGAAGTGCAGTGAATATGCAAGTAGCCGCATTCCAGCAGAGTCTGAATTGGTGATTATAAAGAACATAACGATGGCTTACAGGAGAAAGTATAGTGCCCAAAGCGGCACGGAGACCGATGACGGCCTCACGGTGTTCATGCTCAGAGTGCGCCCTCTGTTGGTCCGATGTATTGTTCGTCTCCAGAACCAAATAATGTCAATATACGTGGACATCTCGAAAGGAATTGGAGCGCACCATGATCGATAGTCGATAACTTAAGATGCGCTCAAACCTTTATACACTGGCAGTTTACAGCCGACGAACTCAAACTTGTCGCAACGCAGAGGTCGCACAGGAACGATACCGCCTGAGTATAGTCTGGTACAATCACAGAACAAAACAACGAGGCCCTTTACCGACTGCGTACAAGCGATGATATAAAGCTGCTTGGGGGAACACAAGGAAACTTGACGCGGTGGGGATCCGAGTGAGGGGAGGTCGTGGAATGTGGGGAAACGTGTAATATTCAAATTTCCCCGCATTATGATGCGACAGTGAGCGGACCGCCTTCCCGTGGTTCTCACGAGGTTTAACCCCACACGTCTCCGTTCCGTTCCGTTACCTCGACTTGGGTGACCACCATGATTCTCTGGGCTCCTATCCCATTGGCCTGCCCTACCAGACAACCTTGAACTATCGATCCAGTCCCTGATAGGAGAAACTATATGATCTCCAACTAACCCGAAGTATCAGGTCATCTGTATCCACAGTGGGCGATCTCGGAACGATTGAGGGTATCTCGTTGCCTGGTACCTACGTGAAATACCACTTGACCCCTCTGAGGATGTCTTGATTGATCTACTGGATACGAACTGATTGGATGCCAGCCTACAGCGTCGTTTGGAGTCAGCTTTCGGCCACCATACTCTGCTGGTAGACTTTGGTTTTCCGTAATCTCGCTTTCTGAACATTTGTCGAGCACGCGACCTACTGCTTTTCACAGAGCGCTTGCCCGTAGGATTTTCCTTCACCTTGCTTGTTATCCCGGCACCTTTCGTCAAAGCCTTCGTCCGCTCCACGCCATCTAGCTTGACCACACGGCACTACTTTGCGTACAGGCCTTCAACATTCAACCTTGACGAGGAAAAAAAGCTGCTGAATGAATTTGTCGCTACCAGAGGTTCGGGGGGTTCTGTCTGACGCTTGTGGTACCAATAGAGAGGTTGAGAGGCTCTTCTAACGCTATAGCTTACGAGGAGCTTGGAATCACTGGACTTTCTGAGATATTTGGGTTGTGGTCATAAGTATATGTACTCTTACATGGTAGCTCATAGTTCCATGCCAGTATAAGTCGAGGTTAAAAGACAAAAATATACACAGAAAATAGTTCATGCCTGTAGCGGACGCGTAATGAAACGGTGAACGCCGGGCGACGGGAGTTGCCTCATATGGCGAACAAAAGCTCGTTGGTCGTGGGAACGAAATGGTTTGGACGGTTCGCTATCCAACCTTCCTCGAACAGAGTCAACTCTTCCTCTCCTTCACAAAGTTCGTCTGTCTATATCCCCTTCCAATGGTTGATGCCATGCTAACAGTACTTTCAGCTACGCGTCCGAGAAGGATATCTACTCTGAGTAATGCAAGCCCCATGGCAAACAGCTGCCCCTGGTCTCGTACTCCACAGCGTAGTATTCGACGAATACGCGTCTAGCATAGACCCAAACCATGTTCCTTTGAGCCAGGAGCTCCTTAGGGCGCTTCTGTTTGCTCAGGGCGCGACCGAAGACACCCTTCTAGAGGCAATGGAGACGAACAACAGAAAGTGGCGGGATATGCTGGACCGTTCCGGTGGTCAGCTACACTCGATTGGGGTGCGTGACACTAATTTTTCCTTGGCCGCGCGGATGCTCATAGTTGGTTGACTAGTTTAAACCAGAACCACAAGATCTCAGCGTCCAGTACTACGATATCCCCCACTCGCCACTCGCGATTCGGATCTGGTCTGGTGGCATGGAAGGCATTGGACAGTACTGTTTCGACTTCTTCCACGTCCGCGATGGTATCGCCGTCAACACTCCCGACAACTACAAGATATCACAGCTTCCCGTTCCTGCCATTCCGGGAACTATGATGTTCGGGGGACAGGTGCAGCCTTGGGAGATTTCTTTTGGGATAAACCGTGAGGATATACGCCCAGGCGAAGAGAAGTACAGTGTTCCGGAGGGCTCTCGACTCGTGCTCCTGCGCGACGGGGAAGAACCTTTCTATTTTAAAATCCCCACCAGAGAGCTCGAGGTCCCGGGTATCGTCTTCGCTGAGGCTCGTGGGTAGTTCGGTGTGAGCCTCTGTGCATCGACGTTTCTCTGTTGAAAGTGTGCTAGAGGAACTTGACTTGTCGAAATGGACCCTAATTTAGCGATTCACTGCACTCCTCGTGGCCCATCCACCGATTTCAGGTCTCTCTATCGGATTCGAGCCGTCTTTCTTCGACGACTGTAACCAGTCGATATTCTCTTCGTCATTGAACGTAGATACCGTCGAAGACCGTCATATCAGTTCTCATCCTCCGACGTGCCTTAGTTGAGTCGATGGTTGAAGAAGATCTTGGGAGTAACGCCGCATCTTCGCTCGCTCTGCCTCATTGCTTGCCTCTTTCCAGAACAGATGTCGTATTTCTATGATGCTCAGACAGGCTCAGACTTGATCTTGAGTTTGATCATTTACGACATTCATACCCGCTGTAGAGCAACTATCATCCAGAGCTTTGTATCGAATATACAATGGTATAGTGTACTGAGAAATCTGGTATAAGAGCGTCGATTCCTAGCCATTAACAGAGACATAGGAATATCCATAACGCGAAATAATCAGAATCATTTTGATAAGACGAGGTCCGCATCACCTCTCATAAACCGGCGTCGAGGAGACGAATCAGAGCCAGGCGCTCGGCATGGACTTCGACTCCTCTCCCGTTCCACAATCTCACCCATCTCAATCTCCTCTTCCTGCGCAACACTTTCACTAGCATATGTCCGTGCTCGACTCCGACTCCGACTAGTATCTCCCATGGTGTCTCCTAAGCTCCCCCATGTCCCTTCGCTCTCACCGTCATGCGCACCCTGGGTCCCGTTCCTCGCGCTCCCTTCAGCCTCCGTCTCCATGTGGGCTCCATCTTCAATCGACTCGACATCGGCCATCATCGTCACGGGATCCTTTCCAAAATCATCCACCAACGCTCGTTCGATAGCCTGAAATGTTGAAACAAATTCTTCCTGCTCTGGCGTCGTCAGCATCGACGTCGTGGTCGGTATTGAGCCAGAGGTAAGTCGAGAATCCCAGGAGCGTATGTGTAGTAGAAAGCGGGCGGTGAGGAGACCGGAGAGTGGGAGGGTGAAGGCGTTGAGTAAGCGTTGGGGGAAACCGTTTGCGGCACGCTGTTGGGCAGTGGCCACGTAGGAGCATATGAGAAGCGACGTGTGAGTGGACGAGTGGTTCAGACGTGAGGAATTGCATGATGAAGCTTACGAAGTTGAGGATGACTGCCGCGGTAGTGAAGATGAAGATGGAACTATTTCAGGCCGCTTGTGAGATAATGACTCGGTTGTGTAGCGACTGCTGCTCACCAGAAATATAAAGTGGCTGACGGTGCGAAACAGAGTGGCGGGTGAATATCAGTGGACCTTTATCAGATAGCGAACACTTACCCTGCTCAAGAACAAGGAAGTTAAACGTGCGTTTTCGTTCTCGTCGACAGATACCTCGGACACTGAGCGCTTGTATGGATCTAAACAGGGTAAGACTTGCAGAGGTAAACTCGAAAACGCAGACGAGAATAGATAAGAGAGTGTTCGCTGTTTCGTATATTGGAGGTCGAGCCTCGTAAGCAGGGAAACGCGTGGGGCGGTAGATTGAGGATTTATAGCATACCACTGATCAGAGGACAGTTAGCAAACCGGGCAATTTGGCTTGATTCATGAATCTCAGGGCTTACATTTGGATACTCGAGGAACCATGACATCGTAGACCGGGAACATGAAGCTGGACGAAGTATGGAGATGGTCGGTTCGATAGGACAAGGAGTCAATGACAACAAGACAGAGACTTACGCAGTCAAGTACGATGCATGTCAACCCTAGGGTACCGAGCACTAGCAGTACTATTCGGCTTTGTGCACAAACAGCATAAGTGCGCATTGTAAACACCGCTGCATGGGCATCAGCATTCTTATCACCTCAAGACGGAATCGGCATCCGAATGAACATTTAGGGGAAAGATGATGGAGACCCACCGATCACTGAAGCCCGACCGAGAACGCTGAGTGCTCCGATAAATTTGTACCAGACATCGCAACTATCTCAGCTCGCCATCAGCGCCACCATACAACGGACCTAGACGAACAGCAGAACCAGACTGCTCCCTTCTCAATCAGCATACGCCTACTTCGTCGTAAAGCAACGAAAGGCAGCCACTGACCGTACTTTGATCCCAGCTTCCCAGACACAGCCAACAGGTATAGAACATTCGCTACCAAAGCATAGCGGCAGAATATATACAGAATCGTGGAGGGTTTGGTGCGTGATTCGGCACGCCAGATGTACTTGCATTCGGAGCGAAAAGTCAGGGCATAGTCGTAATATAGCAGGACTATAGGAGAGTTCGTTAATTCAACACGACAGTATATGCATTGGTATGGACGTACCGATGCTAGCCCATTGGATACGAAACTGCAGAAAACTACGAAGGTAGCGTAATCGACCATATATGAGACTGTCAAGGTATATGTAGGCCTTGTCGAGAGAAAATAACATACTGGCTCTGAGCAGCAGCGATTGCTGTAGAACTGGTCATCTCTGGACAAGATGACGGTGGCAGATCAGAACATCGACCGCATGATAAGCAGAGCAATAAGCCCGAGAGCCCCAGGAAAGCTATACGAGACAAGAGGATACTCGAGATCAAGGAGGTCGTTTGGGGCTCTGGTCCGACTCGTGCTATAACGCCTGGGAAACATTTGCGAAACCGAGCGAAGGATCGGCGAACGTCATCGCCAGGGCGAAGGCCAGCCCAGGGCTTGGCTCGGCCTTTGTTGTTCAAACGTTCATCTCTGTCCTGAACGACGAACAAGAGGCTGGGGAGAGCAAGAAAACACGGATGGTGGAGCAACTGAAGTAATGGACGACGTTGTTGCGACACAGAGGGTCTGTACAGGTTCATGGGAAAAAACGCCGGTACGTGCATATCCCCTTTTGAGCGATGAAAGTAATACGTCACGCACTGTGATTTCCGTCGCATATCAGTTGATATGCGGTATGCCTTACCTGTACACTAGGCAACAGATTTGCAAGGGATGAGTACGGTTCTCAACTACATCCTCGTATAGATGTCTCTGCGTGTAACGACAAATCTTGTGGCACCAACTTCTAACGGTGCCAATGCGACGTCTTTGGGCGTGTGAACGCGCATGCCCCAGACTGAGACTGTTCAAACGTTCATCAGTAGGTGGGTCTGTTACCGAGCTTGTGAATCCTGTACTTGTTGGCAATGTCTGTGCAGGATAGTCGTCCATTCTTTTATCTAGCCTGCTCTTGTTCGAGGACTGTTCGACCGCAGAGCTCCGCAGCAGCCTCGAGTCCGACTTTCGACTTAGTACTTACCTCCTTCCGTCCTTCCTGTACTGTGATAGGCTATGCCCCATGCAGTGTCTTCTCGCTCTCTTTCCCTGGAGTATCCCCTGGAGGTCTTCAGTGCCATGACTCTGTTCGTCGATGAATCTCATTGATCTCTCTACGGCCGTACGGAGGTACATAAATGAGCACCTTCTGCTCTCCACACATCACTCGAACCATCCGGTCGCTCTACCCAGGATCAGTCATGATATGTCTCGCAAACGAACTACCGCACTTTGCTATGATGTACCATGCCATTACGGCCGTGGTACTGGGCGACACTCCCAGAGAGAACAAGGTATTCTGGATCCGTGACTTCTTGATGCAACTCTCCTCCACCTGGCTGTATCGGCGATAACGCTGCAGTACGCTGGACTGTTTCTACCTGCATCCTATGAGATGTCTAAGTTTTGGACGATTATTTCGGTACTTATGGGAATTGGGCACGGTAGGTTATATACAAATGCACGTATCAGATACAGTACTAATGCGGGGCTTTTTTGCCTTCCTCACATAGCCGACCGTTTTCTACTCCCCCTGGAGTACACAAAAACTCATTGACCCAATGGCGTGCTACCCTTGGTCCTCCTCCCTTCTTGTTCCACCTTGAAACGCCACTCCTCGTAATCCACGCTATGCTTGTCCAGCATATGCTTGTCCAACTGAGTGTCTTTCCTCATCTCCCCGCTGAGGCAACCAATATACGGGCACAACACCATCTTGGCCCTGGACTTCTCCGGAATACCCCACCGCTTTTCCCAGCCTGGTACAGCACGGTCGGGCCTGTGTATGGCGGAGAGGCGGATGTGCTGATGCATACTTCCTGCGTTGTATAGCATTCGACCAGAGCAGACGGGGATGGGACAGGCGACTTTTTTGTATGTCTTGGCTGGTTTAGATGAGTTGGGATCCTGAGCCACTTCTTTTGTCTCCTTCGAAGGGCCGAGAACGTCCGGGCTCATTGGCGCAAGCGGAGAGATGCGATCGATGGAATTGATGTCTTCTCTCTTCTCTCTTGATGACGAAGACGACACCTCGGGCTCGCCCTGAGGCTCATGCACGACGAAGTTTTCTCTAGTGTCCTCGAGCTCGGAATCGGTGCTGGGCGGAGAGGAGCAGAGACTAGAGGTGTCTAGAGGCCCAGTGGTTTCCTCAGATCTGACGCTACCAGCCGCAAGTGACGGTGCAGGAATAAGAGTGAGGATAGACGAGATCGGAGGTAACGGTCCATTATGGCCGATTGTCATTGTTGACGAGGGAGAATGGATCCATCTCATGTCGACCAGAGATGACACCGATGGCAAGGGTCTGTTCTTCCCATTCGGCGAATGAAGTGCCAGTGCAGACAACATTAGAGCATTTGGCTGCAGAGGGTCCGATTGAGGGTGACTGTCAGTTGTAGGCGAATGTGGCATATTGGCGTGTGGAGGCCTGATGTGGATGGAAGGATGGAGACGACCTGAGACGACCAGGTGAGAATCGACGAGGGAGGGAAGGTGCGAGCTGGTCTTTTATTCTCCTGGGAGGGAATTTCTTGCTTTGTTCAAGTGACAATGGCTGTGCAGCAACTCCGTCCAATATCGCTCCCATAAAATCAAAGCTTACAAGCATCCGCGTGTCAACACAAGGCCACTTTCACTTTCGCTTTGTCCAAGAAGGGTCGAAGCTCAACGAGCCATATGCATTGGCCACGCATCTCGCCACACATCATTGGCCTCGGGTTCTGCCGGCTTGAGGAAGCATCTTTTCTTGGCAACGACCTTGCCTCATCAGTGATCTTGGTGGGCGCTTCCTGCCATGGCATGCTCAACCTTTTCGGCGCACCGTCATCCTCGTCTCCTCCATCGTTTACAGCGTCGCGCTCGCTGTGAATGCTTTGAACTGCCTTTCTTTCATATTCACGATTATTTCTAGATCTATATCTAGGTGAGTGGGACTTGTTTCATTGACTCTGAATAGGGGTTCTAACACAGAAGCCTCCCCAATTTCTAGTGAATCTCCAAGCGCTCCTTTACTCGTTGCTGAAGACAGCGCTGCTTATCTCTACCCGTTGACGGGAAATACTCCTCGAAGCGCGAATATCTTCGATGCTTTCAAATCGTCGAAAAGTCATCCTTATCCCTTCTTTCATCCTCTCTTGCTCTCTCGTCTACTACATCTCCCTATATCACTACCAACTCCGCAACACCCTCTCCTACGCAACCCGGCCACTATGGGATCATGCAGACGGACCGAAAGAAGTCATACCGCACTATTACGCCGAAGGAATGGCCATGGACGCTCACGCATGCGCCCTTCATAGCTGGACTCCACGTCGGCAATCGCTCAGTGGTCGTCAACCCGTAGTCCTGGATGCTGTGCTGATGAGCAGTGAACTTGACCTGTTGGAGATTAGGATGAGTGAACTGGATGATGTGGTGGATAAATTCGTGATTGTTGAGAGCAACGCGACGTTCACAGGGCTGCCGAAGGAGACGTATTTTGCGGATGCGAGGAGGAGGTTTGAAAGGTTTGAAAGTAAGATCGTGTATCAATTGTGAGTTATTCCATTTGGTCCTATCATTATTGTTGATGACGGAGGAGTGAAGTCTTCCAGGCTATCCGCTTACAAGCGATGAGGGAGCTTGGGATGTAGAGAGGCGGACGAGGGATACCATGACCCAGCTACTGAGGACCACTATCTCCGACCTCCGCACGGACGCCGAAGTCCTCGTCATCATGTCGGATGTCGACGAGATTCCCTCTCGGCACACCATCTCCCTTCTCCAAGCGTGCGATTTTGGACATTCAATACATCTTCAGCTTCGAAATTTCCTTTACAGGTTTGTCCTGCTTCCATCACTCTCCCCGTCTGCAGCTAACTAGTTACTGACTCGATACCCAGCTTCGAATGGTACATTGGGCCCTCGTCCTGGCGCGCCAGTGTCCACCGTTGGTGGCCCGACGCCTACTACCGCCACTCCCAGTCCTCACCCGCCATGCTCGCCGACTCAGGCTGGCATTGCAGCTTTTGCTTCCGCACCATCCCGGAGTATGTCGTCAAGATGAAAGGGTTCTCGCACTCTGACAGGATAGGCGGGGATCTGAGATTGCTGGATCCGAAGCGGATACAGGACACGATTTGTAGTGGGAAGGATATTTTCGGCATGTTGCCCGAGGCGTATAGCGTATGTGATGGGTCTTTGAGCTCTTTCCTTCGCGTGAAACGTGCTGATGTGGCGGTGATTGATACAGTGGGCAGACTTGATATCACAAATGAGCCTCGAACCGTGCGTTCCTTCCTCATCCCTTTATCGCGTCTATTCTCATATTTACCGCCTCTCAGACTCGCAACAGCAGTCGGCCTACCACGATACCTCATCGAAAATGCGGAGCGTTTCCGATTCTTACTTCCTCGCGGCTGCATGAGAGAACCTCCAAGTTAATACCACTTTGGGACGACCTCGTCGCTCGAGACTCGATGATTGTGCAGTGGTTCAGTGCGACCCCCTGCGGACTTTCTTGTGGACTTTCTTGTACGATATGTGGATTATCTAATGGGACATCGCTTCTGTCATGTGTCTTTTCCACGTCAAGACTGAAATCCTTATTGGCGCCACACAGGTCAAGATCAATCCTCCCTGCATATTTGCGCCTTCAGACTGACTTAGCAGCGGTCTTTTCTTTTCCGAATCCTCCCAATCTTCCTGGGCGATGGAATCGGATCCACTGGATGACAGAGAGACAGGAAGTACAACCGCGGTGTTCCAAAGGTCTTCGATGTGGCATCGCCGAATTAAAAGACTTCGCAGTTCGACGTTGAGAACACCTAACAGAGCTCTCCTTCAGAGCCCCAGAGATAGAAGAAGACCTTCAATCTGAGTACGTGCCATATCATTTATTCATAACAATTTACCAGTACAGAATACAACGGTGAATAATCGAGGTACGCAACGCCCTATAGTAGCCAAACTCTTACAATACATCATGATAGCTCAAAGAAACAGAGACAAAGAACACGATCCTACCAGTACACTTGTCTCGATGAACTGGGGTATGCGTCTTCATCGTCTGATCTCCCTTCCAGCACGACGCAGCCGACCGACAATATTTTCGCGACATTCGACAAACGGGACTACGCCACGCAGTCTGCTCTCGAACTCTGCATCTATACCACTGCAGTTGACGAGCAGTAATTCACGCAGGGCTGCATCGGGATGTCTTTCCAAGCGCGATGTGAGGGCCAATAGTAGCTCTTCTTTCGGAAGAGCGACGCGGTTGGCTGCGATGTCGTTTAAGACGAAAGTTTGGAGATGGGGAAGACATAGTTCTTCCTGGTCGGAATCTCCACACGCATCTCGGATTCGAGATCGTTGCAAGAGTCGATGGCCGAGGGTGAGCGCCTTCGGAAGGCCATGAGAGACGTCGGCCTGGAAAGACCCATGGCGGCGGAAGAGTATGGATTGTAGAATTCCATCCTGCAAGGGAGCGTCGAGTGTGATGGATAGGTGATGCAGGTTCGGCATCCCTTGAAGGAACGTCGGTAGTGCCGAAACGTCCAAGCGGTGACGATACCGGGTGAATTCAAGATGAAGAATTTCAATGCCATAAAAGTCTCTTTGCCGAAACAGCGCAGCTGCTGTGGAGGCGTTGAGATCGTCTCCGGCCGAGAGGAGGCAGGATTGGAATGTGGGGGAATTCGGTGGCGCAGGGACGTTCGAGTTTGCAATCGCCTTCACGAGCTCGTGAGACCCGATGAGCTTCACCCCGAGCCCAGGGGGGCCGAAGCTAATGTGGAGCCACATAGTTCGCATCGCCATTTTTCGCTGGGAGGAAGCAAATGCGGTGTGTATAGTGTCGATGGCTGCCTCAAATGCCTCTGAACTCGGCTGGCGGCTCTGCATAAGTTGTAACCTTATACGAGTGGCGGTGGGTATATGGACAAATTTAAGAAAGGATTCCACGTTAATCTTGCTTTCTTTCACATTCAGAGAGCGGAGCTCCCTCAGGTGGACGTGAGAGGGCACAGGAGTGTCAACTGGTGGAGGATCAACCGTGATCAACGCCGGGAGACAGCACTCGAGAGTCAGGCCCTTCAGTCGAGGCATTGACTCGAGCAATTCAGATAACTGTCTTACGGAAATAGATGGTGAGGGTGACTTCATGGAGAAGTATGCAAGATTTGTGAGCTGTGATATACTGAGGAGATCCGGAGGTGGCGTCTCGTTGAACAAGAGACGGTTGATATTGGGTGTGTTGGCCGCGAAGGCACTCGTAAATAATGTGCGGGGTGGTGGATTTATTTCTTCGGTCTCGAGGGATTCTTGAAGGTCCATATAGAAGTTGTCAGAAGAGTGCGAGAAGCTGAGAGACGTCAGTCTGGGTAGGTAATCGCGTCCGAGCGTTGCCTCGACCAGAGGGCGGACTATGGTATCATTTCCACGAATAGAAAGCTGAACGACCTGCTGCATCTTCGGTTCCAGAATGGATTGAACCTTCTGTCTGTCGGAGCGAGAGCGAGGATGACAAGCCACTGTTAATGGAACCGATTTCGCTCGAGAAATCATGACCTCGGTACAGTCCCCTCGAAGTCGGAATGACGGTTCCCACCACAATGTGGGCTCATTGACGGCTATTTCTCGCCAGAGCGAACAAACGTGTGTGACCTACAGGTTATATTTACACCCAGACAAACACAGTAGTCAGTCCTTTATACAGCAGAAACTTGGAGCGACTGTGAATGCGAAATCACCTTCATCCAACCAAGAGGCGGGGCAGGGTACTGGAGCCGCGCATCATACTCTTTCTTATCGAAGCCCCAGTCTTCAATGTTAGAGCTGCCAACGACACCGGCATGCGGCTCGAGGTCGACGAGCCATCGAAAACATCGTGCGAGCAACTCGGCGGGTAGTTTGTTGATGGCTACGAGAGTATTTCTGTGGGTTTTCATGGCACAGGTAGCTAATTCCATCGCCGTTATCTCGACGTCAAGGGAATCGCGAGTCCTAGTCACGGTAGTGGAGTCATCCTGCTGGAAGGATACGGAGAGCAGATGTTGAAGACGTTGGCGGGATGTATCGTGCCACCACTTGACCTCCGAGTCGGGCCTACTATCGATGAAGTACGCGATCAGTTATGGAACAAATCTCAAAAGCAGGACATTGCCCAACCTATCCTCGGCGGACATGTCTGTGAATAACAACAGATACTGCTCCAGGAGGTAAGTAGGTTATGATGATCGTCAAAGGAAGAGAACTCAGATCAGTCGCACCAACTTCGCGCATCGGCGAAAGCCGAAGAAAAGGAGCTGTTCAGGCGACGGCGTCAAGAACAGGTATTGCAGTACAGTAGATACAAAGTAGACCCGTATCGATAAAATACAAGACTGTATGCTCGTACATGCCGATTGATAAATGAATACAAATATTGAACATATATCTCATCGAGCTCCAGAGAAATCCTCTAAGTATCGTACATTGACAGAAACGCTCAAGCGGCGTCTGATGATGCCCACTTGGAGCATCCGACGACAGGAAGAGTGTCGGCAGAAGTCTCACTGGGACCAGAAACGGGGGGCCTAAAGTCAATGTTCTCCTCCACCGAGATAGGAGTACCCATCTCTGCATCAGCTCCAACCAGCTGCCTCTTTCCATACCCGGACCGTGGTCCTTGTTCCCGCCTTTCTTCATCAATGGTCTGCGAACCATCTCCAATCCCATGTTCAACAACACCATCACCAAAACTTTCTCCCTTGCTACTCATACCAATACCAGCGGCCATATCATTCTGCCTCAGACCGAGCCTCTTCTCGATATCATGATCGCGATGCCCATCCAAATCCGAATCTGTCGACCTCGCGCTTCGAGCGACCATCACCGGATCCTCCCCAAACTCGCTCACAACAGCGTTACCCGCAACTTGAAACGCCGACAGTTGTGGCGTAGGATGATCGTCGTCTGGAGAGCCCATTGAAGCGTGGTTGCCTGAGCGTGAGTAGAATGTGGATCGTTTATTCCAGATGCGAATGTGAAGTAGGAAGCGAGCTGTCATCAGGCCGGAGAGAGGGAGGGTTAAGCCATTGAGGAGCCTCTGAAAGAAGCCGTTAGGAGCGCGCTGCGTAGTGAAGAGCAGGCTATTGAGTGGTTAATCTCAGTGGCCAAAAACAAATGAAGCTCACGAAATTGAGGATGGCGGCGGTAGTGGTGAAAACGAAGACAATACTGAGCGTCGAACTATCAGCGGGCTGCTCAGTGATGGGTACTGGATGGTGAGCATACCCAAAGTAAAGAATGCCTAGAATCGGAGGGCCATATAGTTTAGACCATCATCTTTGCGAAAAGGAAGGATGGAGAGTCTTACCTTGCTCTGCGATGACGTAGTGGAAAGTACCCTTCTGTGACTTGTGAGGTCCGCCTGCCCTTAGCGATTGGATGCATCGAAAGAGGGTGAGGCCGGTTGAAAGGAACTCAAATACACAAACTAAGATCGAAAGGAGAGTGTTGGCGCTATGAACCACAGCCCACACCACATCAGCACACATTACAACATGCATGATACCGAGCAACGTACATCTGGATGCTGGAAGAGCCGGTACACTTCAGTCCGGGAACATGCAACTGTTTTGATAGGGAACTGTTAGCTCTCGGTTAGTGACGGTATACGATGAAGCTGATGGGGCGCACACAGTCCAGTATGACGCAAGTAACGGCGATGGCACCAAGGCCTATGAGGATAAATTTGTTTTGTGACCAGACAGCATATGTGCGCATGGTGAACACGGCTGGAAACGATCATTATGTCAATAGGGGGAGTTCATGAAATAATATGATTAGATCCTCACTGAGAACTGCTGCGCGGCCAAGAACACTGATGGCGCCGACGAACTTATACCAAGTATTGCAACTGTGCCGTTAATTGTGAGAACGCCTGCCGACGTGGTGAGGAAGAATGCAACTGTGATGAGCAGCATGCCAGTGCTTATTAGTGAAACCAGATAGACACGATGGACTGAGCCACGCACCTTACTTATCACCAAGCTTCCCTGCGACAGCCAGAAGATACAGAACATTGGCCAGCAATGCGTATCGGCACAGACCATAGAGAAGGGTTGACACTTTTGACATGGAGTCTTTGGACCACATGACCTTAACCTCGTCACGAAAGGTGAGCATGTAATCCCAGTAAAGGAGCGCTAAGAGTGCGTGTTTAAAATAAGAAATAAGAAGCAGGATAATATTCCAGCAACGCACCGATGCTTGCATATTGGATACGGAATTGTAAGAAGCTGCGAGGCAACAAATATAGTAGGACTGAGCATGAGGATTCGGAGCGCGAGAGCTTCTGGCCAGAGGCGCACGAATATAGAGGTGGTATACGTACTGCGTTGTCGCGGCTTTTATCGCCTTGCTGGACATCGTGATGTACGTCCTGAGGAGAGAGAGCGAGGAAGAGGGAGGAAGATGGATGGTGACTGGCTTCGCGCCAGAGCCTATATATTGTTATGATTTCATCCAGATCCCTCGATGGAGGGGCGAATCCACCGTTTGCCAGAGATGCATAGCCTGTTACATTGTAAGAATGCCGAGAAGGTGAACCGCTGAGGGCCCAAAAAAAGGTTGGAGCCATTGAACTTCTATTATCGCTAAAAAGGGCGAACGTGTGGTGGCCCATTGGCCAAGAAGGACCTTTACGCAGGACAGCAGTATACTTTTAGCCAGCGCGTCAGTCATAGCGGGCTCGAGTGGCCTTGCAAGCCGTTGTAAATTATTCTCCCGACAGATCCCTCGAGCAATCACTGTCGAAAGAGGCAGAGAACGATCCGAGATAGGGATGTCGGCGCAAATAAATTACGTTTTCGTCAGTGCCTTCCATGCTTGTCTTCCTTTGCGAGCCAGTTCGTTTCAGGGAAATGCGGCCATAACATCCTCAGAGTCGCCAAGTCGCCCAAACCGCTTTAATTGTGGAGTTCGTATCATCAGCTACGGAATAAAGCCGTGCCACACAATGCTAGATCCTGATGTTGAGTTACGGGGAGTAAGTATGAAGATTCATCATGATAGAGATGAGAGGATCTCGTCCGAAAAGGTACTACCTAGGTCGCCTACCCTGCGAGCGACCGTAAAATAGACTCCACATACGAGACTGGGTGATCAACACAATATGTGTTCAGAGCTGAGATGAGGGATCGTTGGTGGTTTTTGCATGCGTCTTCGCTTGAACTCGAAGAATTGGGCCGTCGGAGATAACCGGGATAGCGAGAACTTGGCCGGTCGGAGTTTCAAAGCAAAGGATCACGAACTCCGCCCTGCTTACTCCGCCACCTGACATCAAGAACTTGAAGTCGCTGGTATCGTTCACATCTGTTCTTGAACCGCCATCTTCAACGTTCAACGCTCAACTGCAAGCTGATAGTATCCACCTCGACACAGGGTGCGAACATCCCTCATCATGATCATCCGAGTTTCATCGGCCTGCTCAATGCGGACGTTATTGAAGTCTTTCCACTCCAATTTTCGCTGGCGAGTCGAGCACCGTTCACGTCTTGGCTCCGTTCATTGGCACTTCCATATGGTTAGTTTGGGTGTATGTATACTATATCCGCATATCTTTACCAAGCAGTACTAATTGTTGTCTTATGCACAGGTAGCGCTTCCATTATGATACTGATATCTAGACGCTGCCTTCCTGGTAGTCCTACCTGCTCCAAGGTCATCTTTGCAGCGCGGTCTACATCGGGAACAGCTTTCTGCACGGATCTTAACTTCCCGTGTCGGCGAAAGCCGAAAGGAAAGGAGCTGTACAGGCCTTCACGCGATGGCGCCAAGAACAGTGATTGCAGTACAGTAGATACAAAGTCGTCGATAAAATACAAGACCATATGCCCGTATGCGCCGATTGTTCACTAGATACAAATATTGACAATATGTCTCATCGAGCTCAAGCAAAATCCTCTATTGTACAGAAACGCTCACTGGCAAGCGGCGTCTGATGATGCCCACTTGGAGCATCCGACGACAGGAAGAGTGTCGGTAGAAGTCGCACTGGGGCCAGCAATAGGGAGCCTCAAGTCAATTTTCTCCTCCACCGAAATGGGCGTACCCATCTCTATATCATCTCCAGCCATCCGCTTCTTTCCATACCCGGACCGTGGTCCTTGTTCCCGCCTTTCTTCATCAATGGTCTGCGAACCATCTCCAATCCCATGTTCAACAACACCATCACCCCAACTCTCTCCCTTGCTACTCATACCAATACCAGCGGCCATATCATTCTGCCTCAGACCGAGCCTCTTCTCGATATCATGATCGCGATGCCCATCCAAATCCGAATCTGTCGACCTCGCGCTTCGAGCGACCATCACCGGATCCTCCCCAAACTCGCTCACAACAGCGTTACCTGCAACTTGAAACGCCGACAATTGTTGCGCTGGATGATCGTCGTCTGAATGGCCTATCGAAACGTGGTTGCCTGAGCGTGAGTAGATTGTGGATCGACTATTCCAGATGCGAATGTGAAGTAGGAAGCGAGCGGTCATCAGGCCGGAGAGAGGGAGGGTTAAGCCATTGAGGAGCCTCTGAAAGAAGCCGTTCGGAGCGCGCTGCGTAGTGGAGAGCAGACAATTGAGTGGTTAATCTCAGTTGCCAAAAACAAATGAAGCTCACGAAATTGAGAATGGCGGCGGTGGTGGTGAAAACGAAGACAATACTGAGCGTCGAACTATCAGCGGGCTGCTCAGTGATAAGAACTGGATGGCGAGCATACCCAAAGTAAAGGGTACCTGGAATCAAAGGGACGTATATTTTAGACTTTCATCTTTGTGGGAACAAATGTATAGATAGTCTTACCTTGCTCCGCGATTAGGTAGGTGACTGTACCCTTCTGTGACCTGTGAGGTCCGCCTGCCCTTAGGGATTGACAGCATCTGAAGAGGGTGAGGCCGGTTGAAAGAAATTCGAATACACAGACTAAGATCGAGAGGAGGGTGTTGGCGCTATGAACCCCGGCCCACGCCACATCAGCACAAATTGCAATATGCATGTTAGCGAGCAACGTACATCTGGATGCTGGAAGAGCCGGTACATTTCAGACCGGGAACATGCAACTGTTTTGACAAAAAACTGTTAGCACTCGGGCGACGATGGTATACGATGAAGCCGATGGGGCGTACACAATCCAATACGACGCAAGTAACGGCGATGGCACCAAGGCCCATGAGTATAAATTTATTTTTTGACCAGACAGCATATGTGCGCATGGTGAACACGGCTGGAAACAATGATTATTTCAATAGGGTGGTTTCATGGAATGGTATGATTGGATACTCACTGAGAACTGCTGCGCGGCCAAGAACACTGATAGCGCCGACGAACTTATACCAAGTATTGCAACTGTGCCGTTAATTGTGAGAACACCGGTCCACGCGGTGAGGAAGAACGCAACTATGATGAGCAGCATGTCAGTGCTTATTGGTGAAACCAGATATACGCGATGGACAGAGACACATACCTTACTTATCACCAAGCTTCCCTGCGACAGCCAGAAGATACAGAACATTGGCCAGCAATGCGTATCGGCACAGACCATAGAGAAGAGTGGACACTTTTGACATGGAGTCTTTGGACCACATGACCTTGACCTCGTCACGAAAGGTGAGCATGTAGTCCCAGTACAGGAGCGCTGAAAGTGCGTGTTAAGAAGCAGAAATAAGAAGCAGGATCATATTGAAGCAACGCACCGATGCTTGCATATTGGATACGGAATTGTAGGAAGCTGTGAGGCAACAGATATAGCAATTGGACAGCTTCCAGACAGAGGCCCACGAATATCGAGGTGGTATACGCACTGCGTTGTCGCGGCTTTTATCGCCTTGCTGGACATCGTGATGTACCTAACCTTGGGACAGAGAGCGGAAAAGAGAGCAAAAAGGAGGGAGGAAGTGAACAGTGACTGGCCTTGCGCCAGAGTCTATATATTGTTATAGTTCCATCCAGATCCCTCGATGGAGGCGCGAATCCACCGTTGGCCAGAGATGCAAAGGCCGGTACTTTGTAAGAGTGCTAAGAAAATGAACCGCCGAGAGCTCGGAAAAGATTCTTGGACTTCCAAAAAGGACGAACGTGTGGTAGCTCATTGGCCAAGAAGAACATCTTTGCGAAGCTTCGCATGACAGCAGTACGCTTTTATCCAGCGCGTCAGTCATACCGGGCTCGAGTGGCCTTGTAACTTGTCGTGGATTTTTATTTAGACAGGGTTCTCGAGTAAGAATAGTCGGAAGAGGCAAATGACAATTCGAGGCAGAGATGTGGGCGCAAAGAAGTGAGTTTCCGTCAATGCCTTCCATGGTTGTCTTCCTTTTCGAGCAAGTTCGTTTCATGGAAATGTGGCCATAAGATCCTCAGAGGAGTCGCCAAGTCGCCCAAAGACGCTCTACTTAGTTGTGGAAATCGTATCACCAGCTATGGAATCAAGCCTTGTCACGCAAAGCTAGATCCTGATGGTGAGGAATACGGAGAGTAGAGGTGATTTATCATGATGAAAGGATAGCATATTTGGTTTGAAAATGTACTACCTAGATCGCCTACCGCTGTAAACTACCGTGAATAAGACTCCACATGCGAGACTGGGTGATATAAACCCAATATATGTACAGACCTGAGATGAAGGATCGTTGGTGGCTTTTGTGGCATGCGGCTTCACTGGCACTTCAACTTGGAGAGTTTGGTCGTCGGAGACAAACGGGAGAACGGGAACCTCGCCGGTCGGAGTTTCAAAGTAGAAGGTCACAAACTCCGCCACCTAGTATCATTCGCATCTGTTCTTGAACCTCCATCTTCAACTTTCGACTGTGAGCTGATAGTATCCATCTTCGACTTAGGCGAAAACACAAGTCGCCATGATCATTCGAGTCTCATCGGCCTCGTCAACACGGACGTTGGATGCTTTTCAACTTTCGCCCGGTGGCGAGTCGAGCACCGTTCATGTCTTGGCTCCATTCGTTCAACATTGACACTTCCCTATGGATAGTTTGGGCGTATGTACACCACATCCGCAAACAATACCCTTACCAAGCAGTACTAAGTATGCTGTCTTATGCACAGGTAGCGCTTCTATTATGATACTGATATCTAGGCGCTGCCTTCCTGGTCAATTCCTGGTCGTCCTACTTCCAGAGTCCGAATCTTTGACGCGCAGTCTACATCGAGAACAGCTTTCTGAACGGATCTTGAATCTCAGAGCCACCGGAACCTGTGAATAGCTCTCTCGTCTGCCACTCATTCAGCCCTCCCAGCTTCGACGATTACTCCGACCATCTGCCCTCTAAATACTAAATCAAAAACGCCGTTGCCCTATCTTGTATGTATTTAGGAGGGACAATTCCCCGGGTGCTTGTAAAACACGTCTCTTTACGTTCTTATAACTGATGATTGAACCGGAGGGTGCGTTCTTCCGACTTCGACGAATCCTGGTCACATTTAGCTCTGACTAGCCAGCAGCTGATCTTATAGCAAGTGTTTGGCCCACCATAACTTCACTCCAAATCAACCACAATCACTGCGTGACCAGAAATTTTCCATCTGTAAACTCTATTAGCTGAGCTCTCCTTTTTATCCTTTCTTCTACGCTGGGGGCTACGACAAAAACCGGCCTTCTTATTCGCCTTCATAATGAGGAATTACAGTCACAACTCGTACCCGATGAAGAAAACTATTGTATACAATTGGACATCCGCCCAGCAGTGTGTCCGAAATACATCTAGATTGACCGTTGAGAACTAAACTGACACTTCATCATCCTCAACCAGCTGGACACTCTTCTCCACCCCATACATCTCTCTTCTCTATATCCTCTTTATCCCACATCTCACAGCCGATCGGCTTCTGAGAGCTCGTTCCCAATTGTGATGGTTCAGAGACGCCTACTTTCGCCCACTGTAGTGCTCCTTTCCCCTCGCCATCGGAGGTGCTTGAATGCTCGTCTCACTCGTGCTCAGCGAATAGTGATCATGTGAAGACGACGGCTCTCTCGCATATGTCGGTCGTTGTCCGTTTGCGCCGTTCTGAGCAGCCTTCATGGTCTCTTGATAGACCGTATAATGTGGGTTGTAGCGACTAGGCGTACCATATTCACCGTATCTCACTAAGTCGTCAGCACGTTTGTTCTGGGGCATGGCTTCCCACGCTTGAGAAGGCGGCACGCGGCGAGCTCGACGACGGCGCAGGAGGACAAAGACGAGAGCGACGACGACGAGGATGATGAGGAGTGCGACGCCGATGCCTACACCGATGATAGTCCCGCTTGTCATGATGAGTGCTGTTCGTGGATATAGAGTCGTTTGGTTTGGTTTGGTTTGGTTGAGTGTTTGATCGGTGTTTCAGGTGAGTGGCCAAGTCTAAGAAAAACCAGAGAGACGAGATGTGCAATGAGTGTTGTGGAACGACGGAGGCTCTGCCTCGTGGTTCGTAGTTCGCGAGTTCGAGGATGAGGCTTGACTGAAGAGAGAAAGACGAGTGGGCCTTCGAGGCCCTTATATATATAATATTTGCTGTTTTCAGGAACAATAGTGCCAACTCTTCTATACGACGCGCGCATAGTAATCGATCGGCGGAGATGTTTCAGTGCCACTGTGTCGTTGTTGAGACAATGCTGATTACAGCCGTCCCGGACAGCGAAACAAAGAGCGAACTTAGCTAGACTGATTTGTCATTCTGTTATAACATTTTGCCAACAACGTAGCCGTTGTACTCCTTGCAGATCGATTGATCAAAGCGTTATAGAACCAAAAATTGTACAGAATTTACCGACGCCTCGACATTCTTCAGCGTGTCATGGCGCGCCACACCAGCGGCGTATTTAGCGCCTGCGCCACTCAGCCTTTATTCGAGCTCGCGCAGTTAACGTTGAGCCGACAGGGCCTTCCACCTCTTCTTGTAGAGATCCTGACTATTGTATCGTACAATTACACTCCAGAACTATATATTTTATGCAAAGCACGTCGCCCACCACACGGCCGCCTTGCCGTCCTTGACCTTACTCGTCACCTCGATATCCTTCCCAGGTGCCACAAACACCACCGTCCCTCTCTCCAGCTCCATCGCTTCCTCGCCTTCAACCCTCAAAACGACTGCTCCATCCGTGACAATACCGCATGTCGGACCATCCACCTTACCAAGAACTTCTGTCTCCTTACCGCTCTCGAGGTTGGTGCCGAGGACGATGAATTCAGGAAGAGGAGGGGCATAGGCATGTGTTAGACCGCGTGTGCTGTGTTTGTAGGGTTTATGGGGGAGTGACCAGTGTGTCCAAGGATGAGCGGAGTATGTGAGCATAGAAGAGAAGGTGTGGACGTCGCGAGCTTCGGGCGGGGCGAAGCTGGCGTTGACGACGTTGTCGGAGGTAGCCATGCACTCGATGATATCTGAAAGCATGGGAGAATTCAATGCCAATGGCGAAAAGGCAATGCACAAAAGAGAGACTTACCACCCTCGAGGTACGCATGCACCTCATCCGCTGGAATCCAGATCGCTTCTCCTTGCTTCAGCTGCACAAAGTTCATGAAGAACGTAGTAGCCAGCACTCCGACATCTCCCTTGTACTGTTCATCCACTTTCTCCAACAACCTCGCATACGGCCTCGCATCCCTAAACTCGTTTACCTTCCCGGTACTCTTCAGCCTCTTCACCAGGGTCTTCACCTGCTCACTGACCGCTTCCGTCTCGTTCTTCCCTCGCTCGAGAAGGCTACTCCAGACGTCCTTCAGGGTTTCCTTCGTCGGATTAGAGACGAATGCCGCGACAGCATCGTTGTTTCCAATAGCAATGATAAGTTCCGGCACCTTTGTGACGAACTCCACAATCTCCTCGAACGGCCTGAACCCAACGAACCCCGTGAACCCAACTTTATCCTCCTTACCGCCGAAAGGGATCCACTCCGCCGCTCCCGGTTCTCCAATAACCACAGCGATCTCCGGTTTATGATTTTCGTCAACGTAGCTCTCTGAATCTTTCTTGTGCAGCTGCTCTCCGAGTTTACGGTCGGGGTGGGCTTGCAGCGGGAGGGCTTTGGCGATAGAGAGAACTTTGAAGAGATACGGGAGCTGGTGAACGCCTGGCCATTTTTTGAGTAAGGCTGATCCAAGAAGTTGGTCCGGGTGAGAGGAGAGAATGGACTGGAGTGAGACGGAGACATCTGGTACGGGAGAGAAGGTGGAGGCGAAGAGGTCGGAAGGTGCGTTGGGATGAGTACCGACCCATAGCTGCGTGGTTCCGGCGTCAGTAACTACTTTTGATCCCAAATACGACAACTTACCTCCGCATACGAGCCGTCTTCGCTGAGAGTAAAAGCAGGACCCTTCGCATTTGGGAGCAAGTTGAGCTACGAGAGACGAGGAGCCTGCTTTGCCCCAGTCGTATTCCTGAACCTTGCAAGAAAGACGATAGACGCTCTTTGGCTGAGCCATAATTTGGCTAGGAAATGTAGAGTATAGAGCGAGACAGAGAGTAAGGGTCAAGAGTGAGGTATATACGAATCCATGATGCGTCCATTAGCGTTATAAGGTGCTCGGAGTCGATGCGTTGTGCGGCGCCGAATGATGAAGTGCGAAAGACATGACGGAGGGCTATGACGTGAACCTTAACCTTAGCAATGGGACAATTCGGTGCCACCCAGTTATTATGAACTTGAACATGAGCCCCTGTGGCGAGATCTTCGCTTGAGCAAGTATGACACTCAGAATAGTACTATCACGTCCCCGTACGTGTCCTATATCCCAGAAAATTGCGCATATCGCCCAGTAAAAATATATATATCACAACAGAAGCCAACGAAACAAGGAAGAAATATTGAGAACACGTTTGAACGACACAGAGCGGGGTAATCCGGTTGACGAGCCGAAAGAACGCGACGCTGACACATTGTCGCGTGCTGTCACTGCACGTGATTAGCGTTACTTGCAACGTCCCTTTCGTATTTTCTTTTCCTCTTCCCTCACTCGAACCATCACCCGCCACCTTTTCTCTGAGCTCTCCCGTCTCTCTTCTTAAGACGATGCTGGACACCATTTTCTCCTAATAATACGCAAGTATTATGACGCAGCTCTCTTCTCTGCCAAACTTTTCTTCTGTATCAACATCGGGTGAACATCACCCTCCAGTCTCCACTCCGCCAGGATCTCCCTATTGCACGCGTCCGCGACCCGAATACAACGGCAACGGATACAACGCCATCGTTATCGTTGGCGTAGAGCGGATACAATATTAATATTGTCGATCAGGAACCTCTTACTACAATAATTTTATCCTCTTCAGATCCTGTACCGCGGAACGGTCCCAATCGGTCTTCTCCCTAGATGAGACATGGGGCGGATGCATCTCGCGATTTACTGCCGTTAAATTCGGATTTACCACACTTTCCACTGTGTACTGGAGAGAATAATTTGGTGTGTGGCGGACCATTCGACGAGCTAAAGCTGTTGATCAGCGATGCAAGTCGTTGTGACTTTGATGCGTCCCCCGATCTGCTGGAGGTGTTGACGAGTTAGATGGCGCACTTGATAGCATTTTTTGGGCTCTGACGCCATCACTCGACAACTTCAGGACACATCAAGCTGAGGCTAACCGTCGTACGAAGTTTGAACGAGCGAGAGCTTCCGAGCCCCAGGTGCGCCGGTCACGAAGTGGTCTGGGGTGTCGAGGTGTATTCACTTACTGCTATCCGTTTCGATAAATCACCTCGCACATACCTGCGTCGTGGACGGTGTTATGTGATCCGTTCGAGACGGTGTCTTCCTCGACAACCACTCACTGACCGTTCCTCCCCCTCATCATCCTCTCTTCCCTTTTATAGACGACATCGGGCGACGACTGTTCCCGACGACTGATGCATGATGGACGATACTTCTCCAACCGAGCCTTCCATATCTGATCCATCCGTTGATCACATCGCACATGTCAATCACCGCAATGGGTCTACGCTATGTATCCCTCTTCGACCCACAAAAAGCCTATGCGCATATATATGGGGTAACCGTTCCTGAGGTCGGTCTCGGAGTGGGTGTTGGTTTGGAATGTAAGGTGAGCTGACTCGTTCTTACTTATAACCCCCTTCGAGAGTTGAATCCCGTCGATGCAGATGCGTGAGTTTCTTATGTTGATCACCACTCGACACTACTGACACGCTCCCCTATTCTTTGCGCAGTCCTCCCTCACCGGTACAAGTCACCGATACAATACATGTCTCGTTGCCCGCTGTCCTCGACTGTGGGACGCTCGACCGCCCGTCGCCTCTTTCCGTCCTCTCGTGACAACCGCAACACACCGATTCACCGCAAGCACAGCAGAGTGAGAAAAGACGCTCGAAGTTGACTGACTTATCGTTAGTCCGCGTCCGTGTCCTGCGGCCTTGTTGCCGCGTGTCACTCTTCCCCACTTGCTGCTGTTCCGTGCTGCTGATCTTGCCCTTGCCCTTGGATCCCTTGGGTTTCGAAGTTGCGTCCTCAGGCCGAGGTTTTCGTGACTTTCAACTGCTGGCGTGGAACTGTGATGGGTTATGATTTTCCTGTCGTGATCACGGATGATCGCAGTGTCTTAGTGGACAGAGCTCGGTTCGATACCGCGATCAGCACAGTATCAGTGATACACTCAAACGTACATACTGCGCCTGAACAAGTTCTGACTTCATCAACATCTTCGTCCCTGGTCGTCCGCTCAGTCCTCTCGCTTAACTCCCTTTTCGCTCGTCTCGGATATTGTGCTGCTGTTTGCTGCTGTTCCTGTCGCTTCAAGTTAAGGAGGGCCGCAGTATGATTCACGATTCACGGTAGCGAGGATCTGTACAGGATTGAGGTCCGCATTCGTGGTGGCTGTGAACTCACTGCTAACTGAACGCTGCTTCTGAATCGGCATCAGCGTATCATCGTCATCGTCATTCTCACCGTCACTGTGGGATCTCCACTCAACTCAGGGGTAGCAGTACATATCTCGGACTGGGAATCCTGTCTTTGACGATGCTTGGCTGGCTGTCATCGTCAGAAATTAAGTTTTTCGGGAGGCTCGGGGCCCGAGGGATGTGTGGCGTCTGGTGTGTGCTGTGTGGCGCCCGGTGTCTTGTCGTCCATACCGGACGTGTTTCTGGGCGTGTCGAAACGTCTACGTCGTGTCTTGGATTCCTTGGTCTTTTCCTTCTGGGCTTTTGTACGTATAAACGCGCACACAAGCCTTCGCCATCGCATCCAGCTGTCACTTTCATAATAACGGAGACTCGAAGAACCCGGCCTCGGATGCGGCACGGTCGCTCGGAGCTGCTGACACTCGGACAGCTGGCGTTCGTATGTATGCGTTGCGTTGCGTTGCGTTGCGCTGTGCTTTCGTGGCGGCTTGCTTTCTGCGCTCGTCGCTGGCAGATGGTGGCTTTGCTTGACGACCGGGACTGTAATAATGTCGGTCTCTTCCTCATGCTCGGTCGACATACATATGAAGTTGAGGTAAGTACTCGATTAGGCGGGTAAGTAGATCCATCGATCGACGGGATGTGGGTTACGAACTTATGTATGTCGTGGCTGTGTGGCGCTAATTGCAGGAATATATTTATTCGCTGTCATTTTTGGCACGTACGATTACGGCGTCTCTTCCAGCGGGGCCGAGGGATATATTACGATGTGCGGATTCATGTACGGTCAGTCGCTTTGCCTGGACGAATGCTGTCTGTTATGTTCCTCTCGAATGAGTATACGTTCAAGTTCAAGCTCGCGATGGAGGATTTCTCAGAAGTAGGGGCCTGCTGGAGGGTGTGTACAGCATTGGGGTCAGGTACATACGCTGACAGCCTCCGACTCGAGGACTCGTTGACGAGGCTGTTACCGTAGTGTTACTAGGAGAGACGGGGGTAGGTAGTTGTGCGTAGCGCCACACTGCTGTGGTCGATGTTGCATGGTCTGGAGAAGCATGAGCGTACCTTGCTCGAGCCTCACCGTACGACTATGCACCACTCAGTGTACGAGCTTGACTGCGGGTCCAGGTTCATCAGCATACGCAGCGCGAAGAAGACATCGATGAAGAGTCGGAAGATGCGAGAAACATGGGACGACGCACAGATTCCGGCCGGACGTGGGACGATGACTTATAATATATCGCGCTTGTTTCACCGCTGTCCAATGACTCGGTGGTCCATTGCACGGCCGGAATAAATCGCAAAGTGGATAGAGGATCATGCATGGCGAGGTGGTGAGCGCTATGCCTGCCATCACTCGCTTCGTCCAAGCGAGAACAAACAACGTTGTAAATTTCGGCGCCACAAGACCGTCGCGACGTTCCGTCCCGAAAGGAGTGTTCAGGAGCCGACGCTGACTGTTTCGCTGTGACGGCGATGATGGACCGGATGTCTTGCTCGAATGACGATGTTGTATGTTTGTTTTTATTATGTGGTGGATGGATCGCTGTTCGAACTGTGCTTTGCGCGGTGGAGACGGCGTGTGATTTGGCGGAAGAGCGGGCGAGGAACGGCTTGTCATTTTGAGGCGGATGCTCCGCGATCGATCACCTTTTCTTTTCGCGGTCTGGGCCTCGCCCGCGCTGCCAAGTGGGTGTCCGAATGGGGCAATCGCTCTGCCCTTGCAATTGAGCACGTCGCAGCCGCCCGTCCGCGCTGCCTCCTCCGCTCCTTATAAAGCTTACAGCTCCGTCCCTTCCCCAGCGTCTTTCCCTCCCCACCTGCCTCTCCTTTGCCCTCTTGCTGCTCCTGCTTGCTCGTTCGGCTCGTTCCATATCCTTCATCCTTCTTTGTTTTCTTTTCGATCACTTGCCAGACACACAACATGCTTGACGTCTCTTCTCTCGCTTTCTCACCATATCGTCATCAGCATCATACATACACCACAGGTCGAGACACCCCAGAGGACCCCTCTTATCCCCTCCAATCACACACCCTCTACAACGCCGTCCCCAGAGCAATCGCTCCCCGACACCAGCTCCCTCAGCCACAGCCCGCCCCCCTGACCGGAGCCCGCGCTTACACTCCTCACTCACCCTCACGCTCAGTATCACCCATGGACGTCCAATATGCATCGTACCCATCCTCGCACAACCCCACGTTTTCTTTTACTTCGCAGCACTATAAGTCCGCCCACCTCACGCCCTCGCCTTCGCCCATGGACCACAAATCGTTCGCATTAGCTCAGATCCAGCCATCGCCCTATAGCCCCTCTGCATTCACGTTCGACCCATTCGCACCAGACGAAGATATCGAGGACACCTCGTCTTCGTCAGAGGAATACGGCACCATGCCTCCAGCGACCCCACCCTCTGCGCCGCAGCACACCCTCGTTGGCCTTCCTCCCACTGCGATTGGTTATTCGAACGGATTCAGTGATGTGAGCAAGTCGAGTTTCGTTGAGGCAAAGGGCACAGTGCAGGATCCTTCGGTGGAGGCATATGGGCAGTATGTGGCGAGGCAGCAGAGGATTGATTTTTTGAGGCAGAGAGAATGGATGAGGAGAGTTACTGCCTGGGTCGACACAGTAAATATTGGCTCGGTACGTCTCGTCCTCGATTCTCTCCATGTCTGTTATCGTTGTCTTTCTTTCCTTCCTGTGTGTGCCTTGGTGTTTCCTCAAACCCCAATTCATCCAACCCTTCTTTACACGCCTGCACAGCTCCGTACCTGAACGATCCCTCATGCTTACATCTCCTTTTCTAGCCACAGCACCAGGAACTCCCTCACGCTCGTCAGCGCGCTTACAACCCCTCGCGTTCGGCTGGAACCCCTGTTCCTCAGCGCAATACCCCTCCACGTCACCGTCGGCAACCCCAACAACCCGCACCCGCCGCCACACCCCGAGCACACGTTCCGTCGCCACAACATTTCGTCCCTCAACCACTTCCAGCTTACGACAACAATACCCAGATATATTACACCACCCCTAATCACGCTGCTGCGCCCTCGCCGTCACCGTCTTCAGCGGTCGTAGAGATGACTGACGACGAGCCCTACCTCATCTACAGCACCTCCGGTCCATCTGAGCCCTCGAGACAAGTTGAGAGAAGGTCGTCCGCTGAGTCTTTACTGTCTTCTGCTTCGTCGCGCTCCTCGTCGGCCGGTCGGAGTCGAAGCTTAAGCCCGAATGCGACGGTTTATACCCCCCGTCACCAACAACGTGCCTCTATACCCTCCTCGGTACCGTTCCCGTCGTCTGCGCCGCAATCATCCTCGTTCTCGTCGCTCAGGACATCTCTCTCTGCGGCTTTGGGCCCTGTCGCTGCTCCTCCTGGCGTTCCTTGCCCTGTGACGGCGACTGCGGGACGGAGGGCTCACTCGAGGGTGCCGAGTCTGGACTCGATAAAGGAAGAGGAGGAGGTCTGAAAGTCGGTCGGAATCCCGAGTTGCATGGCGTTGCACTGATATCCCTCAAAAGGTCGAAAGATCGGGGAAGGAAAGGACTCTCTACGCACGATCCGGAGGTCGGAGCTGGATGGACTCTCGAAACTTGTAGCATATAAACCTCGGTATTATCCTCCGCCCGTCGTATCACCCCCCTTATTTCCACATCCTCGCATCTTTCTCCGTTCCCGTTCTGCCCTTCCCGATGCAATTATAGTGTTGGGCTATGGAGTCTTGGGACTCCCATTTACTTTCTTTTTCTCCTTTCTGCTTATGTTTTCGCTATGACCGTCCGCTCGCGGATCGGGCCATCACACTTTCCTTGCTACTATCCCATCAAAGGCAGCACATCGCGCCACGACCCCGACCGCATCACATCTCTATCTATCTCTTTATCTATCTGCAGTCATCTGCGCGGTTCTCGTTCTTTCTCCTTCCTCGTTGCTCGTTCCTCGTTGCTTCCTTTTTTTTCTCGTTCACGTGACGTTTGCATACTCTTCACGTTCCTTTCTGTGCTCGTCGCGTCTTTTGCGTTGTTTGTTTGACCCTTGTATATTCGCCTTTTTACTGAGTTTTTAGCATCTTTTGTTCTCCGCCATTCGCACCCGCTTGGCTCGGTGTTTCCTTCCTGCTCGTCCGTGGCATCATTGCTCTTATTCCACATATTCCGCCGCACGAGCACCCGTACCCATATCTTTATACACCAACCCTTATTTTACGCCGTCCGTCCGTCCATCCATACATGCATACGCGCTTTCGCCCGCACCCACCTCGCGGGGTAAGTTATAACTCTTCTCCACCTTTTTTTGCTCGCCGTTCGTCTTCGGTTTCGTGGTGGTGATGGTCCAGGTGGTGGAATGGTCGGAGAAGGAACTTGGATGCAGGCTTTATTCTTTTTTGTTTTTTTGTTCGCTTTCGTTGTGAGATTCGTAGACGGCTGGCTGTTTGGGTTTCTTTTCTTTTTCTCTTTTATTATACTGTGTAATATAGTTTATGGTTCTGCTTTTTCGGAATGCAGGGGCTTCGAGCTCGAGCGGGAACGTTGACGTTGGGTATGAAAAACAATAGGCTCATTTCCGGTTCCGGACAACGTGGCCCTACGTGTTACTCCCGGTTCTGTGCTTTTCTTAATCTGGAACACTTAAGTAAGCGACACGCGAGCGGGATGGGTACGAGTCTAGAAAAACAAGTTGCTAAGCTCGGAAGGCCCAACATACCACGCGTTCAAAACAGTAGCTAAAGATAGACCCCAATCCGCATCTCCAAATGCTTCGATGAGCGTAATGATGCCTGCTTTCGAGGCAAGTACTATTCTGGGGTCTCTTCAGAGACTCGCTCTCAGGCATCGTCTGTTGTCCGTGGAGATAATCTTCCGCACGCTGCAGAGACAACTCTGAGCAACGTAAGACTGCCTTCATCCACTCTACGAATGCTTTGGCTTGAGCAACCATTGGCCAAAGGCGAGTTTAGTCAGGCTGAATGTTTGACGGGCTCGGATTGAATCCCCAAACCCATCCGATTCAACTCCGAGTCGGAGTCGATGATAAGTACAGGGCTCCGGGCTCGAAGCCTGTTCGTCCCCTCCGCCTTTCGTCGTCATAAATACTTGGAGAATTTAAGTACTCACAGGGTTATAAGTATAGCTGCAGTATTCAGTCCATTCGAGTCAGTCGCGTCTTCGGCTACTGGCAGTCGTGAGAATCGGGTCGGCGATTTATCTATGACTTACGGAACGTATGGCGTCAAGCAAGAAGACCGGCCAGGGACGGCACCTCAAAGTTCGCAAAGACCCTCCGAGCGAGCCGCAATGCGCTCCCAACGATCTGAGAGTCCGAGCCTGAGGCTGAGTTCAAATTAAAAAGGCTCCGCAATCTCCCTGTGGAGTGTTGATCTCCAATAATCATTGGCCACATAATGCGATACTTGTCCCAAGTATCGCATTGCATGAGGAAAAGTGGCGGGCTCTCTGGGCTCTCTGTACTCTACCCTCCCTATTGCTGCGGAGGCTCGGAGGCTCTCTGAACCTCCAGAGAACCCACAGAGCCCACAGAGCCCTAGAGAGCCGGTCACCTTTCCTGATAGTGGACAAGTATCGCATTGGACAAGTATCGCATTGTTAGACAAAGACCCCTGTCTATAGAGGGCGATGTCGTCCACCGATCCGGACAAAATTTGGAGGTTTGGTGGTGGAAGGCCGTCCGCAGGACGGACAAAATTTGGCGCTTTTGGGGGAAGGCCGTCCGCCAGTCCGGACAAAAACTTGCCGCAGGCGGGCGCCCAGCGGTGTGGCATCAGCTCCAGCTTGGGTGCCGACGCCCTATTCGGTCACTGTGTGCGCCTCTCTGGGGTCACTGACGGTCCAAAAGACATGTTTTCCATCTGAAGGGCCAAATAAGCCTCGCAATGTGCTCAAAGAGCGAGTCTGAAAGCAGGCCGATTATTATTATTATTTTCTTTTTCTTTTTCTTTTTGGAGGCCGCACCCGAAATCCGGACAAAAATGGTCCCCGCAGGGAGGACGTCCGCGAAATCCGGACAAATTTTGGCGGTTTTGGGCGACCCTGGTCCGGACAAATTTTGGCAGTTTCTCAAGTGCCGCGGACGACATCGCCCTCTATAGACACTGGACAGGGGTCCTGTTAGACAACAGCATCGCATTGTTGGACAACAAGTACCCACGAGGCGATTAGCGAGTATGGAATTCGGCAAGGACCGAGAATACGTGAAACCCTCGCTCGCTCTCTCGCTTGCTACAGGGAGTAAAATACCACGACAATTTTTTGGCACACCTGTTCTCATCCTGGAAACCATAATTTACTGAGAGACCGATTCAAGAAAGTGGGTCATAAGTGATACAAAAAATCTAGAAATATATTATGATTCTCGGTCCTTGCCGATTCCATACTCCCTATTTATGTCATGAATCAAAGCGGGTTCCAAGGAGGCGCCGGTCTGCGTACTAAAGCTCTTCAGTTCGTTCATCCTATATTCCCCATTCCGCTCTTTTCCCTTCTGCTCTCTTCCCTTCTGCTCTCCCCTTACATCTTTCTTCTCCAACTATCCTCAAGTGTGTCTTGCGCGAGCGTCCATCATGAGTGGGTCTCCGTGCCTACCCGGGCGTGTCTCAGATCCGACTCCGAGAGTGCTCTTCATCTCCCTAGTACAATGTATGCCCCCTCCTCTCTGGCACCTTTCTTGTCCTTGTATCTTTAGGTCAGTACAGATCCGCTCTCATGATCGTCTCATACTCAATACCCTCGGCTTCAATCAGAGCACGAGGTCACGAATGTGGAGTGCCAATTTCACCTGCCGACATCGGTGCCACCCTCGTTGGACGCCAACATCCACTTCGTATTCTACTTCTCTCTGCTGCCGTTGTTTCGTTGCTACTGGTGCGTAAATGGTGCAGCTGTTTCTGTGTCCTTGATACTCAGCGCTGCCACTCGTCATCGTCTGTTCATAGCTTATATCTGGTTTGTGTTGGTGGAAGGGCATTGTCGAGACCTTAATACTCTGGTTCAGCCCATTGCACTTGACCTCTCGCTGGATTCCTGGTGGTGAGTATCTCAACTTTGTGCTACGTCCTTAGTAGTTTGGACACTTCCCAGGTCCGCTGTTGATCTTTCGGCAGTTATATTGTTGTACATACGCTACAGACGTTGACTTCGCACTTCGTCTGTTCACGCCACACCACTTCATTGACCTTGCGCCACAGCGGGTGGACTCGGCCCGCTCATCCAATGCCCAAGTAGTGCGCCACTGATTTCAAATTGTTTCGTTTTCAGGAATAGCCAACATCAACCCTCCTTCCAAGGCCACCGTCAATGATACGCTCAACGTAGGTGATGGGAGGCAAACTAGCTTGGTTTTTGTTGATGTGGTATGATTTTTGTCATGATTTACGACGTCATCTCGTCGACATGGGTCTGATATCATGGTACCTCAAGATCTTCAAGTTTATCTTGGGTAAGTTCAACTCAAATCGGCCTTCTAGATGGTCTCATTTCTTCGCAGTGGCTGAGGAGTTTGTCACATCACAGCAACACTTGTTTGCTCTAGCAAAGGTCTAACGGTGCCTCCACCTGTTTCATTCGCCTCGCAGTCAGCACACTGCCAAGATGAGATCACACCTCCCCCGTCTAGCGGAAATCGTCAACCAGCAAGTTCATATCCGTCCTTTCATGGTGGGCCGCGCTCCGAAGGGGAGCCATCTTCCCCATCTCCCATCAACTGTGGCTCCGAAGATCCCGAATCAAAGTAATGGTGACTGATTGTTCTCTCCTATATTCTTCCAACTGAGCATCCGCGTAACAGTCTTGAAGATCTTCCGGAGCCTGGAGACTGTCTTCCTTCGACAAACAGGGACATCTTCGCATACGCTCTATACGCCATTACAATCCTTGCGTACTGTGGAATGGCGGCGTCCATGAACTCCGTTGACACTACGAACCCTGATATCAGTGCACCAAGGGTTGAGGTGAACGTTATATGGTCGGCTTCTCATTTCTGTGTCACAGCATGATCTTAAGTACTTATGGTATTTTGTTGAATCATGATATGTACAGGTTGCTGTCAAGTCTTATCACCATAGTCATATCTATCCTCTGCAAGACTGGGCTCTGGTGGCTTCACTATGGTGATAATGACTGGATCGTGAGCACGCTGTTGTTGTAAGCACCTGATTGTCTTCACCATCTCCGATAACCGGCATCCCTAACCCTAAGCTCACTTATTTGAACAGACCCGAATTCTATATGGCTCTATTCTGCGTCGTAGCGTTGTTCGGCCATGCGAACCTTGTTGGACAACAACACTTCGATCCGAAAACCTTTGTTGCGGCTGTCCCAGTGCTCTTGTATGCTTTGATAATACGTATGCTACTCGGTAGATATAATCGCGCACCAAGCTTCAAAGCTCTATTCTCTCTCATATACCCTAACTAATACCGTAATGGATACCCTTATCTCGTCTACATTTGGTTTTGTGTCATCGCTTTGAATGCCGTTGTTCTGCTTTGTCGCTATCTGCTAACTCATTGTTGTGAACAGTCTTCTATCCTTTATGTATCTCCCCCGCTATTTTCTCACTCAAGGTTTCCATTCGTGTATCATTTCTTTCAATTCGTTGAGCCATTAGCCCTGGCAACGATATGTTTGGCAAACACTTAGGACTCGGGCTTGAATATAAGTAGGACTCAGAATGGGATGTAGATTCGGGTTGTGCACAAGCTTATACTACTATCACAGCTCTGGGAACAATACTTATACAATGAAAGCGAAACATCTCGATCGACTTGAATAGACGTTATCTGCAGCCTGAAAAGTGGACTTTTGGGTTGCAAAGTGATGCGAACGAAATGTAAAAGCGAGAATTTCAAGTGAATTTTCAGTTTGAAGGGGAATGTGTAGGCCGGTCGTGATTGGCTGATCACCCTCCTTTGGCCTGCGTCTAGTCTCGAACCAACGGTCGCTGCCACCCTAAAAGGGAAGCCTGCGTCTGGCACTTACCGAGGGTTCGAAGCGAATTATGGCTTGAAAATTGAAGTTTGCGAGCTCTAAAGTAGCCAATTTGAAGCTCATAGAACCCTTCGGTTCTCAGGCTGCAGATTACATCTAATGTCGCTACTTAGCCGCTAAGTCCAGTCAGTATCCAAAAACTGGAAACGAAGGACTCGGAAGAAGCCGTGCTTGCCGGAAACAGTAAACCGTTTTGGATCACCAAACCGGCGGCCACGTGGGGCATGTTGTGTTCTCTATCCATTCGATGACACTCATCTTGCATTCATCGCCACTCCCGCACAGAGCGAATCTGATATCTGCATCTTCGTCGGAGAAGTTCTTGGCTTTATCTAAACCTACGATAGGCGTCAAAACTTGCTCTTGATATCGCCGCGGCGGAACTCGGCTGGCTCTCGGTTGACTACATGTCTGCAGTAGTAACCTGAAGTTATGTCTCTGTCGCTGATCCCCATCTGCTCAGCCATCCGTCCGTCTCGAATTTTTCTTTCTGGTATGCTCGCTATGGTGGCCGTGTTTTATAACCTTCAGATGCCTTTGAGTCTGAGAACCTCAGAGCATTGCGGAGGACGGAACACCATGACGTCGACCTCTGCCCGATAACCTCGATGCTTCTCTAGAAGCCAGGATCTCTAGATCTCACGCTTTAGGCATGAGTGTTAAAGATATCTTAGTTTAGGAGCAATATGAGCACTCAGCGCTGCTCTTATCGTATTCGTTCGCTGATACTTTATCTCGTACGGTCCTATGCGCATCGTGACCCCGTTACCCACGGGCTACCATCTATATAAACTGTGAATGCTCCAAAGTCGTGGGCAGTTGGATGCCCGCTCTTCTGACGCAACGTAGACCCACTCATCAGAGCTACAAGATAATCTGAGTGCATCTGCGTCATCATGCCCTCTAGTAGCGGGGTATCCGAGTTCCAACCTCTTCTTCGTATGTCCCGTCCGGGTTTCTAAACTTATCTGACCATTAACTCTGATAATTTGGGTGCTATTTTGGTTTTCAGCACAGAGTGTGGGATACGGTGTAGTTATCGGTTCGTTGCATGCTCCATTGATGTATAGTATATGTGACTGACTTCAGCATACATTTGCAGGCGTCGGTTTCTTTTTTGCGGGCCTCATGCTCGTCCTCACATACCTCCAGGCTAAGTTCTCCGATATATCACCCAAATCGTCTGAAGAGTTCACAGTAAGATCTTTCTTTCCCAAGACTTTTGCTCAAATACAACCGCTGACGACCCCTTGATATGATCTATCTCTTACGCTAAGAGTGCATCTCGTAGTGTCAAGGTAAATTTGGATACCACTCTCCGTTTCCAGCGCTTCCTAGGCTCATTTCTTGCAAAATCTTCCTAGCCAGGTTTAGTCTGTTGTGGAATGTAAGTATTTGTTACGTGTTCGAGTATTTCACCCAGGAATGACGGCGATATGCATCTAGCGTCAGCGCATGGACGTGGAGTGCTACACTGCTACAGTCGAGTACTGCTGCATATACCTTTGGCAAGCCTTTCTCCGACTCATTCTTCACGACGCATATATTGACTATTTGGCAGGTATCAGTGGCCCTTGGTACGTCTCGCTGATATGATACATATAGACATGTGGCTGAGACCGTCTTACCATCACGAAGGTGGTACGGCGTTGGCGGAACGATACAGTTAGCTATCTTCGGAATGATTGCCGCAAAGGTGAAGATGAATGCTAATGGCGCGCACACATTTCTTGAGGTACCGCATCGTGTCCTCTCGATCGTGCGTGAAATAAAGGCTTACCATTTGGTTGACAGATTGTGAAAGTCCGCTTCGGGACCGGTCCCCACATCTTGTTCACGTTCTATGCATTCATCTGTCAGCTCGTCGTCTGCGGGTCTTTACTATGTGCGAAATTCAATATTTTGATCCTTCTTGTACCCTAACAGCTGACTTATATCGAACTATCTACATGTTCATACCGACAGTGGGTGGTGCAGCAACCGTGACTGCTCTCACCGGCATGAACACCATCGCAGCATGCATGCTCCTTCCCATCGGCATCGCCATCTATGTTATCTTCGGCGGTCTTCGTGCGACCTTTGTCTGTGACTGGAGCCACACCATCATCTTGTTCATCATCATCTACATCTTCGTTTTCCGTGCCTAGTAAGTGTCTTCCTCTTCGTTTCGGAGACACAGCGAAATATACCGGGCTCGTCTTACTAACGGGAGGCGCGAATCCAGTGCGACATCTCCTGAGTTGGGAAGCATCAGCAGTCTTTACCATCTTCTTCAGCAAGCCGCGATTGATACGCCGGTAGAGGGTAACCAGGATGGGAGCTATCTCACGATGAAGTCAAACCAGGGTATGGTATTTGGAGCTACGACTATTTTGTCCGGATTTGCCGGTGTCTTTTGTGATCAAGGTATGTTGGTCCTCTCTGATCCTTTCATATGCAATAATCATGACGGTATTCGATAGGATATTGGCAACGGGTTCGTGGCTTCGTCTGTCCTGTGTGTGGCGCCAATCAATTAACCGAAACGTTGGGCGCCCTAGGCCATTGCTAGTGCTCCAAGGTCTACGACAAAAGCATATGTACGTTTAGTCAGCACCATCGAGTCTAGAATTTTTTTTTGCTGAATATTCGGCGTGGTAGATGCTAGGAGGGCTGTCATGGTTCGCCGTGCCACTCTGCTTTGCTACCGTAATGGGTACGTCCCGAAAATCTCTACTTGAGGACCGTGGTAGTTGTCTGATACCAATTTTTAGGCCTGTCTTCTCGTGCACTCATAAATAACGTAGGAACTCTCTGTGCGATCGCTCATGGAGGTTCGTCATATTGACTTTCTGTGGGTTACTACAGCCGAACTACCCGACGTACCCCAACCCACTCTCCGCCTCTCAAAGTAGCTCAGGACTTGCTGCACCTGCAGCGGCGGCTGTGCTTATGGGAAAAGGGGGTGCGGTAGCGGTACTGCTTGTCGTATTGTACGTGGTATTCTGTCTTTTAATGCTCGTAGTGAACAATAACATGCTGATATTTTCTCTCAGTATGGCAGTCACCTCCGCTGCGAGTTCTGAGCTCATAGCCGTCTCCAGTATCGTGTACGTGTCACTAGAACCCAGTGTGACTCTGTGTTTGCATACTGACTCAGCTTTGTGGTGTTTAGGTCCTACGAGTAATATTCGTCTCCTTACTCATATACATCAGCACGCAGAGATGAGTACTAAAAACGCTGTATCATTGTAGCATATACCGAACATACTGGAAGCCTAAGGCTACAGGCGCCGAGATTGTCCGCATGTCACACATTATAATCGTTATCTGGGCTATCTGGATGGGATGCTGGGCCGTCATCCTCAATAAGGCTGGCGTAGACCTTGGCTGGGTATGTCACGTCTTTATTCATTTACCCTACGCGCTTTATCCTTATGACACTCTGACCACCTGCCCTGCATTCCGTAGCTTTTCTACGTCCAAGGCGTCGTTCTCTCCCCTGCTGTTATTCCTATCGGCCTCACCGTGACCTGGCGCAAGCTCACAGCAACTGCTGTCGTTCTCGGCTCGGTCATCGGTGCCATTCTGGGCATGCTCGCTTGGTTCATTGGCTGTTGGAAGATCTATGGCGTTATCAATATCACGAACATGGCGCTGCCATACTCGGCCGTTTGCTCAGGACTGACTGGACTGTTATTCTCTGGAATCATCACAGTCGGGGTATCTTTGGCCAGTACGTTTAGTTCTCGTTCCATCATCCATTCAATAGCAAGAAAGAGAGACCGAATGTTTTTGACGCTGCATAATACAGATCCGGCGGACTACGACTTCCATGACACCAGAAACATGGAAAGCCTTGATGACGATCTTCACATTGACCAACACGTTGAGGAAGGTTCTGATTCGGGGCACGATATGGCCAAAGTTGCAGACCGGGAGAAAGACGCAGGCTCGGATAAGGACGTCAAAGAACCCTTACCACAGGAAGCTGATGTTCGAGCGGTCGATGGTAGCAACTTGAAGACCCATGATAAGAATGAGTACGGTGGGGAGGTGACCAGGGCGGAGCTGAAGAGCGCTTTCAAGAGGGCGGCCATCTATTCGACGATCTTGACTGCGATTGTCACGATTATCGGTATGTGTTCAATATTTTCATAGGTTGAATTGCCGAGGAGGTCATTATGAAAGCTGCTGATCAGATGGTGCTCGTAGTGCCGATCCCAATGTTCTTCTCGCACTACGTTTTTAACGAGGCGTTCTACACTTTCTGGGTCGTCATGACCATGTAAGTTTCTTTACCTTGTTCTTGTAACAATACCAAGGGACTGACATATTCGTCCAGATTGTGGGCTTTCGCAAGCGGAACGTTCTGCATCATCCTTCCGTTATGGGAGTCGAGGACAGAGATCGGAATCATCCTGAAGGGTGCATACGTGCATCTGTTCCGACGCTCACAGCTTCAACAGTGACGAAGCTGAGTGCAAAGTTTATGACTATATTTGTTTCTAGACGTGGTCTATAGAGTCGTTCGCGCGTGACTTGTACGAAAGAGTACTTTCTTTGTCTTGTATCTAAATTCACTCCAGTTTGCCAGTACGGGGATGTCGTGCGAGCCCAGGCACGCGTGCGAGCGCGGGCATTGGCACTTGGTCAAGGGTTATATAGTATATATTGGTTGTTGAACACTTCACGAATGATATATTGCGTCAAGAGCAGAGTGTTCCTACGACCAAGGAAATAGTACACACGTCGAAGCTCAAACTCACCGCACAAAGAACACTGACTGACCAACGTCCTCTCGAATATACTTCATGCTTAAAAAATAACGTTCATAGGCTTGTACTTCTCATCCAGATACTTCACCTCCTCCTCACTCAATGTAACATTCACTGCTCCAATCAAGTCCTCCAACTTCTCGATGGACGTTGTCCCGATGATGGGAGCTGTGACGCCTGGTTTCGCGAAAAGCCAGGCCAATGAAATCTGTGCCATGGAGACCCCCTTCTTCTTCGCTAATTCTTCGATGCTATCCGTATAGACTTCTTGTCAGCCCGTATTTACCAAGGAATAATGAGATGGGAAGAAGGGACTGACCGAGGAACAATGTCACGACCACCGGAAGGCTCGGAGAGATAAATGACTTCGGCACGCCACCTAGATCATCGACCATGACATCAAGATGGTGTAGAAAGGAAGCTTGTGTAAAGCTTACATGTCCTTCTCTCCACGTAAAGTCTTCTCTGTGAGTGGACGAGCAGCGGCGCCACGAGCGAGCGGGCTCCATGGGATTGAACCAACACCGAAGTGCTGGGCACGAAGGACAACGTTTTATTTCGTCAGTTAGACACAAAAGCGATGGTATATAAGTGGGACTACCTTGAGCGTGGGCATCATTTCGCGTTCTTCCTCTCGGTAGAGAACGCTATAGTGGTTTTGCATAGAGATGAACGGCGTCAGGTTGTGATTAATCGCGTAGTCTGTAGGTTCATATGTTAGCTTGGGCGTCAACCGGGATAGTAAACCTAACACACTCTGCATGGCGGCGACTGTTAGTTTGTGGGATGTAGGTTAGTGACCAAGTAGTTGATGAGCAGAGGACGACGTACATTGCCAGGCCCAGCAAGAGCTCATCCCGATGTAGCGCACATAGCCGGCTTTGACGACGTCGTGAAGGGCTTGCATCTGCCGACGTCTTACCGTTAGCGATAAAACAGATGCAATGAAAAGTGAAATCATTACAGTCTCCTCAATCGGGGTGTTATCATCGAAGCGATGGCCTACATAAGCACCGAGACCAAAGACATCAGCAGCCGTCTCAGGGACATCCTTTCCCAGCTATAGGGATCATACCACCATAGCGCAACCGAAAAACCAGAGGTGTAACTCACACTGCAACAGATCGATATAATCCAACTGCAACCTCTCCAAGCTCTTCTTGACGGAATCAAAGATATGCTTCCGACTCAACCCTTGTTGATTCACGTATCCTTCCTTCTCCGCTTCCTCGATGCTGTTGAATCGGGGCGTTAAAGATTTACGGACAAGACCATACAGTTTGGTCATAACGACAATTTCTTCGCGGGGAAGATTGTGCTGTTTGATGGCTTTTCCGAGGATGATTTCGGAGGCGCCGGCGGAGTAGACCTGTATGAGATGTGCATGATGGTGTGGTCGGATATGGAGTACATGCTTGCGAGACATACGTTCGCCGTGTCGAAAGTCTGGATGCCATTGTCATAACTGTTTGGGTCAAGAAGTAGAAGTTTAGACTGTGAGGATGTTGAATTAGCGAAAGTTTTCACGTACGCATATTTGATGTGCTTGATCCCTTCCTCCTCGGCCAATACCCAATCCTGCCACTCCGGACTTCCATAGCTCATACACCCCAGGATGATCTTCGAGACCTTCAATCCCGAGTTTCCCAAACGCACTACCCAGGATTGCCCAAGCCAGGTATCGCGATAAAGACCCTTGCAACTGAACTCTGCGGGAAGAGAACGTACCATAGGGCATACGACGATTCACAGGGCTCGAGGTCATCGTGTTATCCAGTCCGTGTGGTCGTCGATGCTCGTAGAGATCAGGGAAAGGTGAGAGTCTGTGAGGGTCTTTGTCATCGTGCAGCTCGTATATATAGCGATTTCACAGGGCGCCTCAATGTGGGTCTGGAGATAGGGGAAGAGAATCGATTGCTACTTTCGGAGAGTTGAAATAAGGAGATTGCTCTGTTCCTCCAGTTTGGCGCCGGTCGTTTATGCGGGGATCATGATCAAGGAAACCTCAACGCCACTTGACCGCCACACTTCATGCTCAAAGACAGTCTATAGATACAACCTTTATCCATCTGTATGCGATCCATTCGAATGAGTAGCATTACGGACTTGATCCACACCACACGAGATCTTGACCCGACTACGACATCCAACTTACCAACTCATGCCCTTAGGCTCGTGCATATTCGTCGGCTCAACATCGGAAGTTGTAAGTAGCTCTCATTCAAATACTTAGTTGATGTTCTCTTGGTCTAATTACAAATTCAAAGGCTCAATATCTCCAGTATCGTCAAATTTCTCGAGGAGTATCGTCCGGAGGAAAGGTGAACCTTGATGTGACACCCTCCTTTAAGGCTTGCGCCACGGACACCTTCAATGTTAGTGGATTTCTTCGATACAATTCGAGTCAAGTGAACAGCATTGCGAGCTCACGAGGATAGCAGAGGACGATGCAAAGAGGGGGGGGTGTGAGGAATGTAACCAAGGGATGTGTGTCGTCGAGAAACACTCGTTCCTGCAGATAGCCTACTAGTCACTGATGATGCGGTAGACCGTTCACGTTGGACGCTTGCGTGAACGTCGAAACAAAAATACAAAGAAAAATTTTCTGGGATAGACATTGCCGTGAAAGGTCTCCTAGAGGAAGGTGGGTACTGAGATTTTCTCTACTGCCCATTGCGTCTGTTAAGCAAAGACACCCTCGAAATATGAAATAAAAAACTCGCAGCTTGCTCGGTCATGGGCCTGGCTGGGAATTGAACCGGGGCCTCCTCCAGATAAGTCCTGAATGTGCAGTGAACCCAAAGTTCGTGGCAATCCGTCCCTAAGAATGAATCATACAACGTATACTAGACCACCAGGCCTTGGATGGTTGGAACAGAGAATTCAGCACCCGCGCGTTCTACTACTCCATCAAGACCGACGCAGGCTCAGAAACAGGCCGTCGTCGTACCTTGTGCAGCGGAAGTTATATCCTATGATGCCGTGAATATGAGTACAGCGGCCTCACCATTTGTGATGATGCGCTCGCCCTGGGGAGGAATAATAATCGTTGTATTAGACCTGGTGGTAAGGACAGGATAGGTCACGGTGTACGACCTTGCCGAGAGCTGCATAGAGAACACGAGCAACAGCGGCAATAAGTAAAACAAGGACGACAAAAAACGGAATCCGAGACACAGGGCCTGGCCGGGAATTGAACCCGGGACCTCCTGCAATGATATTCGAATGATCGAACGGGTGTCCAGCAGAACTGGAGCATTGCCCGAAGCAGGAATCATACTACTAGACCACCAGGCCGTAACCCCTATCAGTCTCATGCAAACTATATCAATGTTCGTCTGAACCTTCAGGTAGGACAGAGAGGTCTCTACCCAGGATGAAGAAGGGTGAATGCACCGTTATTATTAGATGCTACAAGAGCCTTCAAGCTCCAAACAGTCTTGAGGTGACGTCTGGTTCCGTCGGGGCAGTATTGAAGGCGTCTAAATGGAGAGCAAGTAACGCCACAAGAACTCACTGATCGGGGAATCCACTGATTATGCCCCCCATAAAATCCCTTTGAGGAGACGGACTGAGCGCTGCATCCCCCATAACCCTCAACCCCTCAACCCAGGCTAGTCGCAGAGTACATCCACCCATCTACACACCTCCCAAATACACAGATAGTCCACCACCATGGTCCGCGTTGTACCCGTTGCTCTCCTTGCCGTCCTCTCCTCCATTCCCTTCGTGACGGGCGGTCCCATTGCCTACGGAATATGCCAAACTGGTACGTACCGTCGTGTTTCCTCTTCCCATCGTGCGCATATCCGTCCGGAGGTCTATCACTGATGTCGAGGATGTAGGGTGCAACACCGTTGCGGTGGCTTGCTATGCCGCCGCTGGCTTCCAATTCGGTACTGTCGTCGCTGCTGTTGCTGCTCCTGCGACTATTCTGGCGTGCAACGCCGCTCTTGGGACGTCAGTTCGGCTTGAAGGGCTGGTAGTAATGAGAAAGAACTGACATGGGCCGATGTGTGTAGATGTTCGACCGCGTGCGCCACTGTGGCGCTCTTCGCGCCGACGCCTTAGAATTTCGAAGTGCCGACCAATCGTGCTATAAATCTCGAAAGATGGATGGTGAGTCGACGGTTTATGAGAGGAGGATTGATAGACGATAGTGACCTTTTCAAGTTACCGTTGTTTGGACAGATACATGGGCATAGCAAGAGCAAGATGTTTTGTTACCTTTGGCCCGATTGCCCGCGATGGCCTAGGGTCCCGTTGTATATTCCGGCGAAGTGTCTATAGGCGTAGAAAGAAGTGAGAAGAAGTAATATGTCACTGTACGATGTACGGATATTTGTGGTCCGAATACCGCTTGTGGAACGATTTTGAGTATTTCTGTTTTCTGGATGAACAACTTGGATGTCAAAGAAACCGTCACGCACGCGAATGAGATTGTCGAGGGATTTGTGCAGGATTCGTGCAAAAAGACCCTGGCGAAGAATAGGCGCTCGGTGCCACACTAAACAAGACAGGACACATCGCGTTCAGAAAGAGTCGCAAGTTTTGTTTGAGGGGGTCAAGAAATCAAAAGAAATCAAGAGAAATCAAGAGGATCGTATTCCATCCGCGCCACAAAGCCACACTGAAAGAAATTTCGAGGTGCGGAAGTGCAATTATGCCGACTATGCCAACGCCACCTGCTGTACGCCATCGCCCCTCGATTCCATATCTACATCATCATTTCTTCTTCTTTCCCTTCTTTTTCTTTGTTCCACCGCCTGCGGTTCCTCCCGCCGTAGGGGTAGAAGTTGAAGGTGGAACACTTGCAACGCCACCTTCTTCCTTCACAGACGTGACTGGTCCTGGAGAAATGGGTCGAGGTGTAGAGGATGATGGTGGGGGTGGTGGGGGTGGGCGGGAGTTGACCATTTTCTCCATAAGAGATAGATTTAGGGCTTCAAAACGATTGAGGAAGACGGAGGAGTGGGTTTTGAATTTGAGACACTGTTTCGCGAAGAATGTCATAGAACGGCATACGATCATCAGGTGAGCAATTAATAGTCGGACATTGGATACAAAGAAACGCACTGTCTCGTCGTCTGTAATCTTCAATACAAGCTTTCCCTCCGGCTGCTTGAATTTCACGCAGTATCGCGCCTGTGGTAGAGGGTCGAAAGAAATCAGTCGTCTGACGTGACGGAGGGGTTAATTGGGCGCACCTTTTGGGGAGATTTGGCATAGAGGGCCTCAGCGGCTTCCTGGTATTTCTGCCAGGAGGATATGTAGACCATGACAGCGTGAAAGGCCTCTACCTGCAGGCATCGAGGCCACTGCCAAGTGATGGAGTGGATGATTGTGTACGCACGCTTTCTTCACCGCGTCCAACAATTTCGTGACATCGTTACTGGTCACAAAATTGTCACTTGTTGTCACAACGTTGAATACGGTGCATGAGTGGTGCATGAGACGCTCGTCTGTTGTTCGACGACCACGACCGCGAACACAACAGGTGTTCAAGTCGTCGTGCCCGCTCCTTACATCTCTACCCCCACAAGCTAGGCTCCAGGTGCTGGCTAACTCAGGTAGTATTACATCTCCTCTCACATGGAGAACGATGTCGGTCCTTCGCCTCGGCTATGGCAAATCTATACCCAGTCTCAGACTATCCCGCCTAACACATACTCTTCGGTTTCGGGGCCTTCAGCATCAATAACGGCTACTGCTCCTCGTCGTGCTCTCATGGATATCACGCCTCGTACGATTAACAAGGACTTTGACTGCTCTCTGCCTCGCTCGTCAGCCAAACGCCGTCTTCCTTCCGTATCTGGCGGTGTGCCTTTGACGCTGTCTGGCCGCCGTTCTCCAGAACCAACTCTGAAGAAAGAAAATATCAACACATCTTCTGAACCGTCCGGTTTCAACTCGAAGCAAACCTTTGCCTCGAAGGTTCCTACCCGACCTCAGAACAAGACTCTTGCTTCGCCTAGATCTACACCTCGACCGATGTCTACTCTTTCGAATGCTCCAAGCCGACTCTCTTACGCTGCAACTATCAGTTCTTCTATAGCAATACCCAACGTCTCTTCTGACTCTAGCTCTGATGATGGTTCCGGTTCCGCCTGGCATCGCCCAACTACCTTCGTCACTCCTCCCTCGTCTCTCAGCAGAACCTGCCCATTCACCGACACGAAACAGAATAGCCCAACATTCCAAATCGCGAGAATGGGCATCGGAGAAGGAGACGAACGATCTTTTGCCGATATCTTCTCGGACAGCTGGGACGACAGCTCTATCGTCACTGGTCAAAGCGTCATCGGTCGTGGTTCTCAAGCTGCATCGTCTACCGTTCAGCCTCGTTCTCGTATTGCTGCTAGTGCTGTCCTAGGTCGCGGTACATATCAGAGCGGGGTGGCCAGGCATATACCTATACCAGTGTCAGCCACAACCGTGACTTCGCGTAGCACTGCTCTTGCTTTGACTGCACCTCATGGTACTCCTGCGGATATCTTCGACCAGCCCTCGTACGCTACTCAGCTAGACTCGAACTGGACGTTGTCGGCGGCCACCGACGGATCTGGAGGTTGTGATAGCAGACACGAGCTAGCGAATAAGACAGACAGCGAAGACGACTACGAAGACCCCTTTGTCTTCGACAGCAACCCTCATCTCGTGCTTGTGGCCAGTCAGTCTCGTACTCAGCCCCTCTCGAACCTCCCTCACACCACCCCACCGTCCAATGCTTCGTTCACTATTATCGCGCCTAAGGACCTGTCATCTTCGCCGCCTTCGCCACCACCGTCACCACCGTCTCGTACTTCGCGGTTTCGTTCTGGGACTGTTCATCGGGAGGACAGGCCTAAGCCTGTCGCACGCTCGCGGTTCAGTATAACTCCGATCGAGGCTCCGAAGCCGGGGTCTGGGTGCGAGCAGGATACATTCAGGAGGTTCAGTCTTAGGCGTATGACGAGGGTGGACGGTCGAACCGTATTCGTTCAGGATATCGGGGATGAAGTTGTCGGAGATGAGCACCAGGAGGGTGGTGGCGGTGGCGAAGGTGGAGAGAGGAAAAGTGTAGGGAGGTGGAGAGTGCAGGTCGATGCGGACGGCTTGCCGGAGGACATGCTGCAGATGTTGGACGAGTTGGAAGGGTTCGCGGAAGATTTGAAGAACATGAACGAGGGGGATGTCGATGCGAACGTTTCGCCCAGGATAGCGGGCTCAGATTTGGAGAAGGGTGAGGTCGGAGGAGCAAAGGATGTGATGGCGAAGGAGACGATGACGGCCGTGCCCAAGATCGTCGTGACGCAGTCTTTCCAGAGTATGACGAACGCGGTAGAGCTCAAACTTCCGGAGTCGAGCACAAGTGGGAGCGTTGGTACGCTGGGAAGTATCGGAGAGTCGTATGCTAGCGTTTTGGAGGGTGTGTTGGAGCTTTGCGGTGCCTACGAAGTAGGCGGAGATGACGCGCAGGAGGATAGTATGGCAAGCGAATTCGAAAGTGACGACGATGAGGTCGAGTCGGAGGAGGAGGGTGTTCCAATTCCGAGATTGGATAAGGGGAAGTGGCGAGCAGTAGAGGATGTGATAGCCGTCCAGGAAGTACATATGGCGGAAGTGATCATCGAGGCAGTCGTGAGTATCATATCTCCTTGCATTTGTTCTATCAGACTTACAAATGTTCATCCAGGCATCTCTTTCGTCAGAGGGGAGCTCGCTCAACTTTCCATCCAAGGGCAGCTTTTCCTGCGTCTACCTCCCCGATGTTCGTCCTGTCATTATTTCTTCAACGTTTCTCCAACTGAACATATTTCCTTATTTCTAGTTCTCTCCCGAGTTCCTTTGCGGTAGCTCCACGTCACTTGTCCTCCAGGAAGCTCAGGGTTATCACTCTAAACCTCGTCCCGCACGACCCACCACGGTTTCTACCGCCATCCCTACTCCTACGCGCAGGCGTTCCTTAAAGTTCTCCCTTTCTCGACGCAAGACATCGATTCCTACGCCTCTTCCTCAAGTCCCCTCCATCTTACAGCGAAATAACGAAACCCCTTCGGGCAGCTCCCATGTCAAATTCGCTACTTCCCAGAAGGTTGCTGAAGGATACGGAATCACTTCTCCGCCACTGAAACCCGTTCCTTCGTGCATCGATACGAATGCTTCATCAAGATCGGAACGAAGCAAGTCTCCTTTTGCACTTTCTTATGCTCCCCCATCTGTTCCTGTCTCTGCACCTGCGACAGTCTCAACTTTCTCTTCGCCCACTTCTTCCACCACTCCTGTTCGCCGTGGAAGACTCATACCGTCGAGAACGAAGACTATGGACTCGGCCTTTTCCGCCACCTCAACCATCGACTCGAATTACCCGCTTCGCAATCACGCATTTCATACACCCGCTAGCAATCCGTCTACTCGACAGACTTATTCCCCATCTCGCGTACCTGCCTCCCCTCAACCTCAGTACGCCACCCAAACACTCGTCACCCATAGTAACCCCACTCGGCTACCTCAACCTGCTGCATCCGCTAGGACCGTGACTGGCCGGTTCTTCTCTGGGATGGGCCATACTAATGGAATTAATGGTTCCCCGTCGTCGGTGATTCCGGCTGCTCCAAAGTCTGCACCTGCAACAGCTACGACGTTCGGTTACAGTCCTCTAGCCGTCAACTCTGGTGCCGGCTCGGCTTCGAACACGCGGCCTCCATCATCATCAGGAGTAAGGGGCTTCTTCAGTCGGAGACATGAACAGAGAGCGACGTCGCTCTCAGAGCATCGGCCTCTTCCCGCCCCCGCCAGTGCCGCGTCATCGAAGATTGGAAAGGCGAGGGCTATGAGCATGGGTGCGGGTGCGGGTGCGGGTGGGAAGAGCGTGTCTGGGATGAAGGGGGCCTTACGAAGCACGGATCAAGATGCAATGCCAGGAGGCGTTATGGGTCAGGCGCAGACTCTCAGGCCAGGTTCGAGAACGGGGTCGAAGCTGCCGAGTGCGAAGGAGTTGCTGAAGAGATTCGGATAAGTGGTTCGGTGGCGGGTCATATGATAGGAAATTTTCTTCTTTTAGGGGTTAAGGAGGTTGTCTTCGAGCTTTAGGCAGTTGGTGGACGTTCCGTGGGCGACGCCCTGTAGGGACGCCCACTTCTCGTGCAGTTGGGCCTGCTCGTTTCCGACCAGTATCGGGGTTCTTTGCACACGTGTAACCATTTTTCTGGATATCAATATCATCCCGTTCGTCGAGATTTGCGTAGTTTGATAATTGCCTATGTTGAGTATGACCACTCAAGACGCGCTTTGGAGCGAGAAAATTCGTAATAGCCTCGAGGCGAGTCCTTCGCTCGTTTGTCTGCGTACAGCAATACTACTGACCAGTGTCAACATGCACGTGTACAGAACCGCACAGACAAGAATTCAATTTCAACAAAACCTTGGTCGAGGTTAGCTGAAAGGGACCGGCTCTTTGGCCTTATGGCGGCGAACATCGTTATAGCGATCCGTCTGTCAGGAACGATCTCGCCTTGGGTTTCTGATCGTAGAACTCTCTGCATAGGTCAATCAACATCGCCTATCTGGGAACAATGGAAGACCGGCATGGGGGATACGTCGCCTCCTCGTCTATCTTCCACTCTGAGTGGAAATCGCATCCGACTCACGCTGTCAACGGGAGTATATAACGAGAGGCAAAATCGGGATGCACACGCTCGTTATTTGCCCTTGTGCTCTCACACCGTTGATGGTCTGAACAAGCATGCCGACTTATCCTTCCAATGCTGTCTTTTCTGCCTTTTCGTTCGTTGGCTTTATCCTGGCGCTCATTCCTTTCTCCTGGCATTGCAGAGGTATGTCAGTTCAATCGCCTGCGGAGGTCAAACAGAATGACCGACGCACCTCCGTTTGACCCCCGCAATAGCATCCAGCATTGGCACCTGCTTATTCGTTACATGGACGGGACTCTTATGTCTGGTGTTCTTCGCCAACTCAATCATTTGGAATGACAATGTAATCGACTGGGCTCCGGTGTGGTGCGATATCTGTATGTATTTTCCCCATCGCCCCTCTTAGCTCTGAGCTACGAATCTGATTGAAGCACCCAGCGTCACGCTTCATTGTCGCGATGAACGCGGGCTTTCCGGTAGCATGCCTATTGATCAAACGGCGACTCTACAATATAGCTCGTATGTCACCAGTGACGAATAAAAGCCGAGAGCTCGCTCTGGAATTGGGTCTTGGATTGGGGCTTCCAGTCCTCGAGGTCGGCCTTTGTACGTCCTTATGGAGCCGCTATTTCTTGCTTCGATAACCCAGACTTGCATCCAGATTCTACTGTCGAAGGCCACCGCTTCGACATCTACGAAGAAGCCGGATGTTGGCCTACCATGGTCATTCTCCCATGGGCGTATCCGCTGGTCATATGCGTACCTCTCATCATTGGCCTTATCAACCTGCTCTATGGAAGTCAGTGTCGACTCCTTATTCTTCGTCTTTGGTCGTCTCCGAATTTATATGAGGCTTTACTAATCTTTCCACCATATTCAGCTCTGACCATCTACCGTGTCGTAAAGGAACGACGTGCTCTACAGGAACTACTCCCAACGACTCACAAGATTTGCGACCATCCCATCGACAGCCATTTCATCCGCCTCCTCACCCTCTCCTCAGTTGAAGTCATCTTCACTATTCCTCTGGCCTGCCTTGAAATTTACATCGATAGCCGGAATGGATTATACACCTGGCGCGGTTGGGCCGACTTGAGATACAAATTCTCTCGTAGCTTCTTGTACCCTTCAGTCATCTGGAGAGCGGATGGGTATCGCTTGGCAGGAGTCGAGCTCAACCGTTGGAGTCCTGTGCTTTGTGCATTTGTATTTTTCTCCCTGTTTGGCTTTGCAGACGAGGCGAGAAGGAACTATAAGGCAGCATGGAGGGTCTTGAAGCGGCCTATAATCTGGATCGCGCCTGAATGGATGCGAAGGTAAGTGTTGGACATTTTCACGATTTTCACTAAGCTCATGGATACTCTGTGCCCCCAGAGGTTTCATGTCCGCGTTCGACAGGATATCACGCCGACGACGCTTGTCCCATGATATGACCTTTGCCGATGGTCCAGCGCCAACAGATTCGTCACTCACCACCGTTTGCCTCGACGATGGAATGTCAATCAAGGGCGATGAAGCTTGCTCTAGCATTTCATTACCCGTTTCCGACCGTAATCCGACGCAGCCGGAACCCGTTCACCAGGAGCTTGCTATCGTTTCAAGGAGCGAACCCGTCGTCCGGACAGTAGCCGAGCGGCAATCTGTACGCTTGCTTCCCAACGGCATGTTGAACATCATATTTCCACGAGAGAATGGTTTGGCCTGGGTTAGGCGTAGCGAAAATGAAAAGACCACGTAGCCTATTGGTTCCCTGTTTTAGACGAGGTTGTTGACATACTTTAGACATTTGTTTTCGACTGTCCTTCCTGCCTTTCCATGTTGTCGACGTTGTATCATCTTCTTCACATTATTCGTTTCGGTAACTTACTGGAGTACCGACTGCATCTATAGCCTTGTGTCAAGTAAAATTTGTATACGTAGCGCCGTTACACATTGTACAATACCGCAAGAGCCCCTGCTATCGTCACCAACGCAAGTATGGTACATGAGATAAGAAATACCGCAGAAATAGGCAGAATTGGAGCTAAAGAACCCGACAGAAAAAAGGTATAGGTGTGCGTATGAAGATAAAACGGCGAACTTGCCACGAATGGAATCGATACCGTCTACTTACTAATGCGATCGACATAGTTCGTCCACAACGTCGCCCCTCGCTCATAAGACCCAACCTCATCCACGATTGGCATCCCCACTCCGACATTCTCGAACTTCACTCTCACCTGCTCGATCTTCTCCGCATTGACCGCATCCGCCAACCCCACCAACCTCAAAGTCTTGAACTCGGTCAACAATCCCTCCCTCTTCGCCCTCAGCACGCTCTTCGGGAATGCCTGCGTCGTCGAATTTTCCGAGTCCGGAACCACAGACGCTCGCAGAACGATAGTGGAGAGGGAGTTGTGTGGTTGGCTAGGACCGCTGCCCTGTTGGACGCCGAGACGAGGGAGGTCGAGGCCAAGCCACTGGAGGTTGGGAAGACAGTCGATGACGGACCATACGTCGAACGCGGGACCCGAGTGGGCGAGGTGAGTTATAGAGGCGAAGGAGTGTTTGGCAGTATGGTCATGGATGGATGCGCGAAGAATGGGTAGTTGATTGGTGCCACGCCACCGAGACAGCCGTGCGGTAAGACTTCGAAGCGATGGGATCTGCCAATCCGTCATCCCCCGCACGTACTCGCCACAGTCGAGCGTATGGAGACCGGTAGGAGGAGAGGCGGCTGGCCAGCTGAACGTTTTGTGTGCTGAAACGACCCTGTGGAGCTCCGGCTGCAAGTCCGCCAACGAATCCCACTCGTCTCCATCCCCATTCCAATCCAAATCCGCCATGACTCCAAATGGGGGAGCCGGCTCCCGCAACCCGGCAAACCTACACACCTCGAGCTTGGGTAATCGCTGTACGAGCGTCTCTGCCTCGTCAGCACACACAGCCATCTGCCCCAACAGCTCCAGACGGCGCAATCTTGGCCCAGGCGTCGTCGCGATGGATTGAAGGAGTGTTGTAGGTGCATCAAAGTAGCTGGACTCGATGATGGGGATTGATGAGCGGTCGGGGACGAAGTGGTATGGAATAACGAGGGAGCAGATGAGGACTTCGAGGTTGGGGCAGGCGGGGAGGAGGCCCCAGAGGGTGTTTTTGCCCCAGGACCAGCCGTCGTGCGAATGGTTCTCGGAACCGAGATCAATGTCGAGGCGACGAACGTACCAGCCTCGCGTGGTGTCGTCTTCTTTGCGCTGAAGCTGCTGGAGGACGGGCCAGAGGTGGAAGTAAGAACGGATGACTACGATTTCGTAGAGGAACTGGTCGGTGACGGAGTGGAATTCTTTGGATACGAGGCTGAGGGCACGTTTGAGCGCGTAAGAGTCGTATATCTCGCCGTAAACAGCGGCACGCGACTCATTGAGGATGTTATCGAGGTCGGTGTCAAAGGCAAAGGGAAGACGAGTGGCCTCGCGGATGACCTGACGAACGATTTCGGATGGAAGTTGCATAGGAGAGTGAGGATGCGGACGATGGGTGGATGTTGACGGGGGGATAGACGTGTCAGCGGGGACCAGCCGCGATGGACGCTTGAGGAATTTATACAGATCGGAAAAACGAGAGTGAGGCGACTGTGGCGGTGCTCGGAGGACTATGTGGCGCAGGCGGCTGCACCTCACTGTACGCGGCGGAGACGATTATGCGGTCGCGGATCTTAGAAATGAAAGGAAGTCCGAATCCAGTCGGGCGTAAAGGAAGTCGTTTCGCTGTTATGAGGAATTGATGTGGGTCACAGAAGTTCGTTCATCCAGTCCTCCCACTCAATGACCATCGGTTCTGCCTCTGCGGAGTTATCGCTTTGCGAGGCGAGGGGCTCCGAGGCCATACTCTCGATAGAAGCTTGGAGCTCGTTATCTGCGAAAGGAAATGTAGAAAGATTTGCGCCGAGGTTGAGTTGCGCCAAGGTAAGTTTACCGTCGTATGCAACGTGGGTAGTTCCTGAACTCGACGGCGTATTGGGTGATGATAAAAAGTCCTTTATGAAGTCAGAGAGGACCGAATCGAGACGTTCGACATCGGGGGATTCAAGATGTACAGAATTCCCAAGTTCAAGTCGACGACGTTTGGAGGGTGCCATACGGTCACTTGTTACGGAGGGGTTGAATGGACTAGCGATGGTCCCCGATGGTCTAGGTTCAGCTGATGAACTGCCTGACGGACGGGAGAACAGGCTAGACGAAGTGGATGGGAGTGAAACCGGTTTGGCAGGTCGACGATTGTTCGATGACATGGTAGGGACACTGCGGCTTGCGGCCTTCGAACCTGAGGCATACGACGAATGAGTTCCACAAAGCGAAATACATAAGTGATCGACTCACGAATTCTACTGCTCACAGAGCGTGTGCCATACAAACGACCATAGCTGTGGTACGGTAAAGGGCCGCTATAGGGGTGAAATTCGATTCCATGTTTGGGAAACTCTTCCTCGTACCAGTACCCGCTTGCGAAACCGTGGAGTTGGACATATTTAAGCGCAGGTAAGAATCCGATACGAACGGATTCTGCGATATCTGCCCACAATGTAGAGTTTGCAAAAGGCCGCGTACTGTCAAGTGCGCATATCGTAACACTTGCTAGATGATCATGTTTTGCGTGGGCGCGGGCACCGTCGATGTACGCGCCCGGCGCTCTGCGGAAATAGAGTTCCTCCAGCAGAGGAAGTTCGGCGAGCAACGGCCAGATGTCAAGGCTGTCTTCAGTAACTTGAACATCATAAAAGAATGAACGCAGAGACGCTTGGCTTGGAAGGAGACAAAGTCGCAGGAAATCTAGTCTTTCGGCCATAGAGTCGTCATCAAGTGGTTTCATGACAATATAACGCAGGGAATTTAATTGTTCCTCCAGAAGACATTGCGAGACAAGTTCCTCTGTGTGAAGTTTTGGCAAGAGTGGTGAATTTGGCGGGGGCATAGGTTCCGGGGGCCATTGAGTGCTATGGACAAAGCGAGGGTCCGTAGAGATGTCCAGCGGCCAGTCGATGTGCATGCCTGGGAACTCTAGCGTTGTGGCGGAAGCGCCAGGGATTCTGAGGACTTCGAGGGAAGGAAAGGGGTACTCAAGGAAGTGGATAACATCGTCGTCGACGGGAACGATATTTCCCATAAGTTCCAGGCGACGAAGGGTTTGAGCGCAGCAAGTAGCTATGGTCATAAGTAGAGCCTCTCTTGGGGATAACCAAAGGCTACGCCGAAAGACGGGCTCTCCAAGCGGACGCCATTCGACGATATTCGCAATGATGATAGCCAGATGTGGGCAGGCGGGTATCAATCCCCAGAACGAGTACATGCCCATCGCGGCTTCATGTCCTTGAATGCCATCGTTGATCTGAAGATCAATATCCAGGCGACGTACGTAGACACCTGGACGACACCTGGCGGTTGGGCTTCGATGTTTGAGTCGTTCTAGAAGTGACGGGATCGAGTTGTAAGACCGCAAGATAATGAACTCGTATAGGAATTCATCAATCATGTAATAGAAGCGCTTGCACGTAAGGCTGAGAGCTCGTTTGGTGGCAAGAGATTTATACATCATTTTCGACGTCTCTAGCCTGTCCTCCTGGAATGTTGCTTCATAGGAAGTGTCGAATAACTGTGGTGCATGTGTTGCGTGGCGGATGATGTCGCGCAGAAGTTCGGTAGGGAGTGCTATGAGTCGAGACATGTGCCGAGGTCAGGTTAGCTGGAGTAGGGTGAGTGGTGTGTTCGACTGTTTGAGACGACCAAACCTGGCAGGTTTGGTCGAAGTTTGTCGAAGGGTCGCTAGCGTGAGAAATCTCACGGCATCAACAAAACAGACACAAGCACGTGACATACTGTGAGACGAGTTATGTGGCGTTGTGGCGGCGAAACTTGAGGACTTCCTCCCTTCGAACATCTTCACCCAGAATTTCTCAATTTCTCAATAGATCATTCTCCCCAATTGTAACATCGAGTCCCAATATTTTGCGGTGAGATACATGGATACCTCGGATGAGTTTGCTGAGGATCCTTGACAGAATACTTGTCAAATACTTGTTATGACTCGGTCACTTGTTCAAAAGCCTGAGAGTGGTCGCTGGTATCTTCCGCCGTTGATTATCTCCTTTCGACCCCTTCGAGTGTGTCTATCCCATGGATCTTGATTTGCGCGGCGTGCATGTTCTCGTCACTGGTACTGTCTTCTCCAATCATTCGTCGCCTTTCATCCTAACATCCAAGCATTACATGGATAGGCGCGGGTGGCGGTATAGGACTCGAAGCAACTCGCATCTTCCTTGGTAAGTTCCTTGTTTCGCTTGACCATTCAGTGTTTCTACAGCACTCGTTCATCCATCTTTCTCTCTTTATTACCCAAAGAGCAAGGCGCAAACGTTACAGCCCACTACCGCTCTTCCGATGCGACGCTCCTCCCCCTTTTCGCCACCTATGGCCTCACCCGCATCCGTCTCGTACAAGCCGACCTCTCTTCGGAGCCCGCAGTCATCTCCCTCTTCTCCTCAAAGAATATCGAAAGCTTTGGGCCTGTCGAAATAGCCGTTGTGAACCACGGGGCGTACGTCGATAAGCATGTTTTCGTGAAAGATATGTCGCTGGCGCAGTGGGAGAAGACAATGAGTAACAACTTGACGTCCTCCTTCTTGGTCGTGAGGGAGTATCTTAAAGGGCTTGAGAAAGGTATTAGTGTGAGTGCTGGGATGGGTACGAGGTTTGGGGACAGGGCGGCGATCACGCTGGTGGGAAGCACGGCGGGGAAGTTTGGAGAGGCGAGGCATACAGATTATTCGGCTAGTAAAAGTGGTACGAACCTTTTCGATCTCACTCGGTTGAGGATTGCGCAGGACACTGAGATGTAATGCTTCGGCGCTCAGCGATGATGTACGGCTTCACGATGTCGCTCAAGAATGAGATAGTCAAGATCGCTCCTCGGGGACGAGTCAATTGTGTTGCACCTGGATGGACGAAGACGCCAATGGCAGCTGCGGGGATGAAGGATCCAACCCAAGTCGGCATGGCGCTAGCGTAAGTGTAAATATCGATCCTGCTCGAGCCACTTTGCTTATTTCACGCCACGGGTGTACACACACAGGACGACACCGCTCAAGAAGATCGCTGAGCCCGCAGATGTCGCGAATCAGATCGTGTTGCTGTCATCAGCCAAGGTATCAGGCCATGTTACTGGGCAATGCGTGATGGTCGAAGGAGGAATGGAGGGAAGGTTGTTGAACCCACCAGCTTAGACCAGTTCGATTCCAACATGTCCTATGTAAATATTGGGGTATTGAGGTATCTGGTCGTGCGTTTTCCTGTGGCAAAATTTGCATAGTGCTTTCTCCTCATCGTTCTGTTTGGTTGAAGTTTTGGAGAGCGATTCACACTGCGACGTGAACAGACACCAGGACCAATAAATAATATTCCAGAACCACGGAGCAGGAACAAATAAAGATACCAGAACGAAAGCGAATATGCGATGGGTAGATGGATGGATGGATGGATGGTTGAGTGCGTGAGTAGTGTGTGTGACATGACCGACCATGAGTAAACGACAGAAAGCTATACTAGATAGCAGTCCCCGAGCGACTAGGAGGACATGAAAAGGAATGTTAAGACAACAGGATAAGAAGGCCGCAAGAGAAACGACGGTGGCGTTATGAAAAGGCGAATAAATAGGTCATGATCATGAAAATTGCATGTCCTTGAGCTCTTGCGACCTCTAAGCGACAGTGGCGGCAGGGAGGGCAGCCACGGCGTTAGTGAGGAATTCGAAGGGAGGGTCAACGGGGCCAGTGCTGGAAGGAGCAGCAGAAGCAGAGATGGGCGTAGGGCTGCTGGCGGCGGGGATGGCGAAGGCGGTGCCGCGGACGGCGCTGATCCAGGCAGCGTTGGCGTTGGGGTATTGCCAGACCATGACACCAGCGTTCCAATCTTTAGCAGCGGCCGTCGCGACACAGGTGGCGAGGGTGGCAGTGTCGACGAAGCCTATGGTCATAATGGTGGATGTCAGTGAAAACGAAGCTTGAGAGTGAGGTGGAGATAAGGGTGTGCTTACCGTTGGTAGCGTCGGCGGCAGTGGCAGGCTTGCCAATAACGACTTTGTCCGAGTCGACACCGCTGGCGATGATCTCAAAGACGGAGGTCTCGGGCCAAGTGCTCGAAGAAGCGGTCAAGAGGCCATCGCACTGATCACCATGGAAGAAGATAAGTTAGTCGAGAAAGGACAGAATATATATGATAATGGCACGCACGGTAGTGTACTCAGATGCGCCCTCTAAAGAAAGGAAGATCTTGTTAGCCAAAAGGAAGGTTATGAACCCTAGCAAAAATGTACTCACGGTTGTAGAACTGGATGTTGTACCAGTCGATGATGTCGCCGACGGACTGATGGACCTTGAGGTAACCCCCTCCGCCCCATTTGGTGCCGGGGGAGAACCAGGGAGCAAGAGGGGCATGGGTGACGATGTACGATCCTTGAGGAAGGAGAGTACGAAGTTGAGTGGTGAAAGTGATGAGCCAGTTCTCCGCGGTGCCAGTGCCGGCATCGAAGGCGGTCAAGTCCTCATAATCGACATCAATACCTAAACGTAGAGCAGGCAGATGAGAATCCATACTCTGCACTCTGTACAAGGATCGTTCGATCAAAGAACATACCATCCAAGTCGTTGTCCAAAACCCATTGTCCCATGGTGTTGGCAACAGTGGTGGCATCAGTGCCGGCAGTAGTAGCTGTGGTGACAAATAAACAGTCAGCTACTTCCGCTTCTTTCATGAGAATAGTGTAATCGTGTACTGACGTTGTTCAGTACCACCAAAGGCGGAGACGACAAGGCTGATTCCGGCCGCAGCGTAACTGGTTTTGATGGTGGTGCGCTGGTCAGCCGTAAGAGAAGCCCACTCGGTGGCCTGGTCGGCGGCTCCGCTGCTCAGCAAGAACGACATAGCACTGGTGACATCTTTCATGAGTATGATGTGGGTTAAATGATTATAGTGAAGACATACAAAACATTATAACCCGTGAGGTCAGACGTAGCGGGAGGGCCGGTCTCGCCTGAGACCCATGCATCTCTAGAAAAAATACAATCAATTGTGTATTTCGCAAATGGCTGGTGAGGATATGAACGTACTGGTAGACAACAAAGTGAGGGGCAGCAGGGGTGGCGCGGCGCGAGACAGTGCGAGAAGCGATACTATAATCCGAAGGAGACCCGGCAAGGGGGATCGACACCGTGTTGTGAACTACGGAAAGGGCGCTAAGGAAAGCGGCCAAGCGAGTGAAGGTAGAAACCATGTTGAACGATGATTGTCTGAAAATGACAGTGGTTAGTGGATCGTTGCCGGGGGGGTATATAGATGTGCTGAGGAGCAGCTGAGAGCTTGGGTGCAGATCCAGAAAGCGAGTGGAGTTCTATTTTATACGTCTCGGACGAAGTGAGACGGGTCTCTTCATCAAAGTAGATTGTGAATAGAAATGAGGTATGATGCAGGAGAGCATGCACTCCATACGACGAAGCACAAGAGACTCGAGCGTCAATGGGCAGGTTAGACGAGGGAGCATGTGAGTCTTCGGTTCGAGGGCGAGCGTAGAGTACCCTACCATGCGGACAGCACGAACTCTCCGTCCTCCATCTGGGTCTTAGTACAAACATAGCTTTTTTGCTCACCCAAACTCAAAACTACTAGTCGTTGGCATGACTGCGGAGGCGAGTATTATTCTCAAAAAAAGTTCTGAGAGCTTATCCTCTGCATTCTCGAAGGAGAAGCCTGGGAGACACCGGCTTATCTCGAAGAAGTCCGTCTGTGAGAGAACATAGACATAAGCTTCTTGCAGCAGCGGGAAGGCCTGTCATTGCGAAGCTCAACGCTTCAAACGTCTGTCTCTGAATCATCTCGGGGCCGGGTAAGCAGTGCGTCTAGTGACGAAGGAGAATACCAAGGCAGGCTCTGCATCAATTGACCATCTGACAGACCTCAAGCGAGGCAGTGATGGATATGGCGAATAACGGTACACCCTTCTGTGAGCGCTGATTTAGGGCTGCACGCAAAATGAGTGAACAGTAGTCAAACAGTTTCAACGGCACCTACATCCATCCGTCTTTCTGCGCTAAATCGAAGAACGCTGCTGCATGTGGACGTCGCGGTGGTAAAGCCAATTCCAACCATCGCTGGCAATGCATCGCAGCGGGTGTGAGTACAGAAGCCAATGGCCCTTAAGGGTTCATAGCCTGATACTGGTAGATTGCCCGACAAGGAATGAAAGAGAGACACTTGGCCACAGAGAGAAGCAGGAGGACGATAAGTCTCCATATGACCGGGTCTCGGGACTGGAATCTCGGAATGACGACAGTGCAAAGATAACAACATACAAAGGGCTCCAACGGTATGAGAGAGCTCACCGTGCAGCTCGGGTATCGCTAGCAGCCCTCAGGCTCGAAGCAACGGCGACCTCGCGTTCGTCTATCATGACGATTGGGCGCTAGTGCGAGACAAGCGTCGTGATATATTCCACACGGGTCCATTGCCAATGACGATGGGCAGTGCATGTAGCAAATGTCTGGTGCAGTGTACGACCACATGAGAACGTCGTAGCGGCCTATTTTTGAGGGTCAAGACAAACCACATGGCGCCATCATGTTGAGTGCCGACCTTTGCATAGTCTTTGCATACTGGGAAATGTTGGCAAAAGCTGCTAGCGGACACGAGGTCGTTGATCCACGGTGATAATGGAAGCAAGACATCTCATAGATGACACTGTCAATAGAAAGCCAGGAGCTGCCCTTTCCACAATTGTGCGAGTGAAGGCGTAGAAGGTGTTGGTATGAAGTAAGGACGAAAGGATTGAAATATCGTGCGACGCTCTCCCGGCTCCGGACACGCCGGGGAATTCCGGTACTGCTCTATTTAATTTCCGGGAGCACGGCGCACTTCATAGAACAATTCATTAACTTCGCGCGGAAGTTCGCCCCAACGAAGGTCTAAAGTGTGCAGATCCTGACATCCCGGATGTGACGACGGAAAGCGATCAAATCTCTTCACGAGCCACAGAATGGCCGCACAGATCGTGCAGGCGTTCGACTCGTACTCAACTTGAACTCATCCGACCTGCCAGTCTCTCATTTTGACCTCAAGTTTCATTGTCTCCCTCCTTTTCCAACCCGCCGTCATTCGTTCAATCTCACTGTCCCTACCATAGTTGTCTTTTCGTACTGCTCTTACGGTTTTGCCACCAGAATCAAGTCGAAATAGTCCCCACGATGTCGCACCTCCCATCACCTCCTCCACAAGCTCCCCGCCGACCTCCCACCGCATCGCCAACCCTGTTCACGTCCTCGTTCGCAACAACTAACACCACTTCCCGCCGCGGGCCGGCGGGCTCACTCCTTCGAAAGCCGTCGAAATATACCCCTCACCTCACCGACGGTAAATCCACCGTCACGCCCCCTCGAGGCATTCCCGCCCACGCCCACGCCCAAACTATCTCAGCTTCCTCTCCAGAGTATGAATCAGACTCCAGCATGTCGCTTATGCACGCCACTGCTGGATTATTCACCCCAAATACCCCTGAGAAAGATCGGTATGCCCGCCGTGCCATTACACCACCTACGTCGCGCCTTCCGCATCCTAAGAGAGGAAGATCTGTCCCGCCGCCTGCTACGGTCACCGAGTCGAATACAACTGCCCGAAGAGCCCACGAGATCTCGTGCAACAAGCCCGCAGCAAGGAATGCGGCTTCCGCAGCGTCCGTTTCCAAATCATCTCTGACGCCACAGACTCGAGGGGTCGCGGACGCATATCCTACGCCACCTGCTTCTGCCAACGGCGGGACGAAGGTGAAAGACGTGCTGAGTGGAGCGGGGAAGAAGAAGAGACCCCCGTTACCCGCACCAGCGCTGAGTTCCACGAAACTGGACGTCTACACCGACCCCGACGCTGCCGATGCCAGCGAGACCGAGGACGCAGGTCGTCAACGAACACGAACGGAGACCACATCCACGCTCGATATCTTCCAGAAGCTCGAGAATATAGCCTCGGATGCTCGACGCGCCATACGTATCTCCCCTGATGATCCTCTTCACCGTCATGATGGTCCTTTACGCATCCTCGCAGACGATAACGCCGTCTTAGGAAGTATTGATGTTCGTCGGTCTCCTACGATGAGGGCCCCAAAACGACCAGGTAGCGTTCTGGGAGACAGGTCGAATATCGCCGGGAGACCAGGTATGCGCCGAAATGGGTCAGTCATGACGAGCAGCGCACTGGAGAAGGAGAACCGTCCTGATCGCGCCGCCGCCGTACAACCTGTCCCGCCCGCAGCCAAAGGTCTGGAACTCCGTGGTCGAACCAGAACTTGTCCTGCCGCTGTCGAAGTATCGAAGCCTAATGCCGACAATTCCACCGTCCCTTCTCTTTCCCCAAATGAGGTGAAGCCCTCCGTCAAAGAACCGACGGGCCTCGTTGTTAGGAAATCTAGGGCGCAGGCACCGCGGTTTAATCTCGTTCCCGGCACCACGAGTATTGCGGTCGTTCCGACAGCGATGAGGGTGATATTGCAGGAGGTGGAGGCGTTCCAGAGGGAGTGGGTACAGATGTTCGTTGATATGGAGCATGAGAGCGAGGGTGGGAAAGATGAGCCGTTACCGGAGGTGTCAGGAGAGAATCAGGTTGGACAAGTCCGTGAGGGTGGTCGTGGTCGTGTTGGCAAATATAGCGACAGGTTCACCATCGTGGCTATGGACGATGAACCCGATTCAGACGAAGACTTTGGGAATGTGACATTCACGCTCGCCGACATGCCCATCGCAGACATCGCTTCCTTGTCGACGAACTCCACGGTCATGCAAGCGGCCCCTGCTTCGGCGGGTATGTCTCTGGATATAGAGGACGATACGGAAGGAGCCACGAGCGCCACGCCTACGAGTTTTTATTCTGAGGACGCGCCGTCTAGCACGGAAGATCCGGAATTTCAATCGCACTTCTCCGATTCCTCATCGGCTGAGAGTGGTCTCGCGAGGGTCGGAGACACCATCGAAGATCTTTCCATGAAGACGAAGGAGCAGTTAGCGCAGGAGAAGGGCGAGCACGCTGGGCAATCGAGCAATCTGATGCGTAAAGATACGTTCAGGCGGGAGAACGAACGCCATACTACTCTCCGAGCATTAGAGCGCGGCCCTGTTACAGAGCTCGAGGTGTGTTTTTCCTCCACATTCACGGCGAGAAGTGGCTTGAGCTGACGAGATCGGAATTGCCGTTCATTAGACGTTGCACAAGCCCAGACCATCGACTGATTCAGCGATTGCGACTGACGAGTCGGGGCCTTCTCTAGAAGCTGTTGGTAAGAGGCCCGGCTTCAAGACGAGGTATTCCAGCAGTCGAATCGCGCCGCCGACCTATATACCCGAAGTTAGTCTCGTGAACTTCACATACCCGAGCCACTGACTCACCTTTTTCTAATCCTCAAGGTCGAACCAGTCTCCGAATCTGAGATTAGCGCAATCAAGGTCTCGGATGCGACCACCAACGCCACAGCGCCTGCCTTAACGCCACACCCCGCACCCACTTCTAATCCAACAAACCCCTCACAAACGGATAAATCCCGTAAAGGTCTAGGGTTCTTCCTCCCTAACCGCCGCTCAATCAACTCCATATCCTTCCCGAAACCCATCTCCAATCCCAATCCCAATTCCGGCTCAGCCGGTCACACTCGTCCAGCCTCAATTTCGTCCGTAGCGCCGTCCATAGCGCCCTTGTCATTCGCCCATTCCGCGCCGATGAACCATATCCTCGAGGTTGATATACCGATGTCGGTGGAGGAAGAGCCGGCGATTGTGGTTCCGTTGCCGCAGGCTAAGAGGGCCTCGAGGAGTTCGTTGCTTGGGATGAAGATCACGAGGGCGAGCGTGAGTGCTCGGGAACGCGAAGTCGCTGTACCAGAAGAGTCTACCGCCCCTCCTCATTCGCAAGAACAACAAACCAAGCCCCAACTGCACCAGCACCATCGCTCGGGCCCGGGACCAAACGTGGACGACCAAGAACGCGAGCACGAACGCGAACACGAACTCTCCCAACCCCTCCCAGGCCCTCAGAGCTTCATGCACATGGACGCCTCGCCCTCGTCCCCTTCAAGTCTGAAAGGAGGATTCCGAGCATTATTCGGGAAGAGGGACTCGAAGTTAAGTTTCTCGCCCGCGATGACGAATTCGAGCGCCAGTCCTTCCACGTCTCCTGCGCTCGCTTCAGCTTCACGTCGCTCGCCCGCGCTTGTCTCGCCGGCACAGAGTCCGAGCTCGGCGACGATCACCGCCACCGCTGCCGCAGCGAACGAACCACGAGCGAACGCGGGCGCGGGTACGAGGGCGACGAGCGTGAGGAACGGGATCATGGGTGCCATGGGCGTACGTCTGGGTGGCGGTGGCTCCTCTCCTAATCCCGGTCCCGGGGCCAATCCTACCACGGGCGTAGGATCAGGTCACAACGGAGGACCAGTGCGCGACGGAGGAGGAAACCCAACCCACCACCACTCCCTCTCCCCCCTCCCCCTCCTCAAAAACCTCGCGCAGACCGAAAAAGATCGCGAGCGGGAGAGAAGAGAAAGGGCGGAATCGTTGAAGACGTTGGTTAGTGGGCCGAATCCGGCTCCGAGTCCGAGGGTGTTGAGCATGAGCGCGCTCGGTGCTTCGGGGGCGGGGGGTCCGATTCCGGTTCATCAGCGTGTCGGTGGCGCCAGTACGAATGCGAATGCGAATATGAATAGTCGAGGTGGATTGGCGGGTGCTTATGGTGGGGTGAGGGATGGATCGGGATTAGGATTGGGAGTTGTGGATGAGAGGTCGGATGGGTTGAGGGTACGGGGTGGGAGTGGGAAGGGGATCGCGTCGGTGTCGAGTTTGAGTCTTAGTGCTGGGTACGCGTCTGGGTCGACGATGGGCTTGGCGGCGAATTCGAAGGGGTCGGAGATGAGTATGCGGGAGAGGTTGAAGGAGAGGAGGAGTGTGGCTGTGTTTGGGAGGAGGAAGACGGGGAGTGGGGTGGGGATTAGTAGTAGTGATGTTGGGATGGGCTTGGGGCTGGGTGTCGGTGTCGGTGTGGGGAGTGGCGTTGGCGTTGGCGGTATGAAGGCTGGGAATGGGAACAATATGAGGGCGAAGAGCGGGAATTTGAGGGGGAAAGGAGGGAGGAGCGGAGCGTTGACGGATTATGAGTATGAGGTTTCGGAGAGCGAGGCTGAGAGTTCGTGGTGTGTGGATAGGGATCTGAGTATTAGGAGCGGGGTGACGATTCAGAATGATGGGAGGAGTTTTGGGGGGAGGGGGTGGAGCAGTAGGTATGGTGGGCATGATGGTGTCAATGGGATGGTTGGGGTTGGGGTCAGAGTTGGGGATGTGAGTACGGATGTGGAGGGTGACGGTGGAGGTGAAGGCGAGAAGGGGATGAGGGTGAGGAGGGTCCCGAGTGCGAGAAGGTTTTTCACGAAGTTTTCGTAAGTAGGCGGTGGACATCGACGATTTCCTCCTGTCTCTGCGTTCATTCGGTTAGTATTCGAATCGTTGAGATAAATTAAAGTAAATCACCTCTGTATATCCTCTCGTATCTTGTTGTAGCCTGTTATCGCATTGTAGCCACGTTAAACTTACTCGTACCTGTATTCATAACAATACCATACCTTATACCCGACATTCTTCGTCTCTGTCGAGCCACCAGTGTGTTTCCTTTAGATATCACATCTTACCGTTGTCTCAGTATGATACGAACTCTTCGATACTTGTACGTTCACCGGTACCTTGCCTCCAATCACTCGCGACAGTTGTGCCCAATAAGTATTGGATAACTGCAGCGCAACAAAAACCACGATCGAATCGAATCGAATCAAGAACAACAACAACAAAAGAAGGACGACGACGTTTGACGTTTTACACGATAATCCATATACATATACATGCATAGGTACACCCAGACCCTTCTGGAGGGATGATGAAATTGAATGAGAGTGAGCTGTGGAGGTTGGTCTATAGGTAGGGCGGGCCGAGGGCTATGATCGTAAACAGACAAAATGTCAGCATCATCATCCATCATGGGGAGCAGAACCACGACGAGCCCTTCTCTTCCAAACAGAATAGAGAAGAATAGAGCAGGATGGAGGAGAGAGTAGAAAAAATGAAAAGAAGACGAACCCTTCCTAAACAGATCCATCGTGAACTCGACGACGAGCAACAGGACGCCTCCGCCCGGCGCGAGCCTGAGCACTTTGGGAACGAAGCCTTTGTAGAGCGCAGCCGCGCCTTCTTCGCGGAAGATCGTTACGAGGCTGTTTTGTGTGTGGGGGGTGGTTCGTTTTGATGTGAGGTGGGCGGGGTGGCGTGAGGTGAGGTGAGGTGAGGTGGGTTGAGTTGGGTGGATGGATGGACGGCGAAGGTGAGTATGCGGTTGGCGATCGGTAGTTGGCGGGGAATAGGAATACCGGTCCACATCAAGCAGCGAGGAACACAAGTAACCCACCACCAAACATCAACACCAAAAATAAAACACAATCACAGTAAGTCCACGCCAACCCCGCCACGAAACCGTGAGGAAGAGAAAGGAGGAGGGGACACCCACCCAGGATAAGTCCAGTTATACTTCGGGACGACGCCGGGGACTTTGGCCGCTCCTTGGATGCGGGACTTGACGACCTGTATGGCACGAAAATTTTGTATGGTTCAGTACGTGAGGTATTCGGGCAGTCAAACGTTCAGGCTGGAAGACGTACGTCGAATCTGTGTTCGAAAAAAAGCATGAGCATGAGCGTGCGTGAATCACAGTGAAACAAGTCGGCGTAGTGATACAAGTCGGCGTAGGGCGTAGGGAGCGGGAGCAGTGGCAGGAGGGAGCAGGAGCAGTGGCAGGAGTAGGGAGCTGGAGTAGAAAGGCAAGGAGAAAAGAGAAAAGAGACGTACGGAGTATTGATAGCCGTACCGATCAAGCCTCCAACCGAGCCCGAAACAAAATTATTGAAGAGTTCGCCGGAGGGTGTCTATCATCACATCGTCGCACCATATGTTAGTAAGCGTGTAAGGCCGCCGTCAGATGAACGGGGATGTTGGGCAAAGTACAGATACGATATAAGAAGGTGTGGACGAGAAATGGGCATAGGCAGTTGTGGGCATAGGGTATGGGTATGAACACGGTTCGGAGGTGTAGGGAGAGTAAGTTGGCGGTGAGGAAAGTGAAAATAGGAACGAAAGAAAGGAAGGGAGAAAAAAAGAAAAGGAAACATACCTCCGCCTTAGGCATCATAGCCCGCACTTGAAAGATCGACCCAAAGTATCCTCCGTTCCACCAGAAATGTCTTCATGTTCATGACCGAATGCCAAACGCGAACGTATTGCCGAATTCCCAACCCCCACCGTAAAGCGTAAAGCGTAAAAAAAAAAGTAGAAAGAGGGTCAGAACACGCGCATATATCGGCGTGAGGGTATATTTCCTGGACATTGAGTCGAGGGAGGATGGATTGGGTGGGAGTTGGGGGTTGCGGGGTGAAGATTGAAGGGTTCGGATCGTACATAGAGAAGGATCGTACACAGAGAATGAAACGAAACCGAAACCGAAACGCACCTCCAAAACGTAGCCTCCATACCCGCATACAATCCCAACACGCCGTCCGCCGCTATCACTTTGCGAACTACGTCGATCGGGCCTGCGTACGTGCTTGATTTATCTTGCAGCCTGTATACACACGAACGCGGCACAAGCACGATGGTCAGCATCTCCGTCTCTTTGTCTTGCCCATTCTCATCCCACTCCCTTTCTCATCCTCTTCATCCCATTCTCATCCCCCTCCCTCCCCCTTCTCATCTCCTCTCACCCTCCATTAAAATTTGAGAAAAAAAAACGCACTTAATCTTAACCAACTCAAAAGGCACAACCACAAAGCTCTCCGTCGCGCCCGCACTACAACCCGTAAGGATGGAAAGGCTCTGCGTCATTTTGGCCTCTGATGAGGAGGAGAGAGAGAGGTAGGTTTTGCCCCAGAATTCGTTTGCTGCGCTGTTTTTTTGTGTGGGAGGGGTGGTGGTGGTGAAGGGGGGGAGGGGGAAGGGAGGGAGGGGGGAGGGGAGGGGGGGAGGGGAGAGAGGGATGGGTGGATGGGGTTTGGGGTGTCGTTCAGGAGGCGAGGAGTGATTATGAGTGCGAACGTAGAATGAGAGGCGGGATGGACGGCGAGGGATGTAGCGTAGAACGAGAATGAACGTGGACGTGGGCGTGAACATGAGCATAGGTGTATATGACCCTGAATGAGAACATTGGTAGAATGGGCGAACGTACAATTTAGTAGCCCTCTTCGGCGCCTCGAGCAACAGCGGCGGGACGAGACCTGGATGTCAAAGTTTACGGTTCAAAGTTGATGGTTAGCATTAAGCATTCAACATTCGACGTTCGAGGTCTATTTGCTCTTCAATATCCGTATGCTCTTCTCTATTCGCCCCGACTCGATGTTGTAAGTTACAAGCCGGAGAAAGCTCGGAACAGAGGGAGAAACCGCAGGAGAAACAGAGAAACAGAGCTCGGGGAGGGACGCAGGGCGAAAACACACCTCTGTATAATCGTCCGAACCTACGTCACATGGATGAAACAATACGTATTGATGAAGTCAGTCAGTCAGTCAACGGATCATAACCAGAGAACCAGTCAATCAGGAAACCAGGAAATCAGGGTGTTATGATTGGGAGGGTTTCCGAGGCCGAATGCGCATGACGGGATGATGGGCGAAAACCAAAAGACAAGGGCAAGGGAAGGGAAGGGAAGGGAAGGGAGGAGAAGAGACGACGCACCCCTCCTGCTTGATGATAGTCTGGAAAGCACCGACCAGTCCCGTCGAGGACTTTCCGGTCTCGAGTTGCATGCGGGTTTTCACCTGCGGATAGCAGTTGTCCATGCGTGCGTGCGTGAATTTTTGCGGTTTTATGGTTCAGTGTGTTACGGAGGTAGAGGGGATGGTTTGGAGGTCGGGAGGTCGGGAGGCGTGGTGAGTGGTGAGTGGGTGAGGGAAGGGAGGGATGCGGGACGTACGACATCTATTGGAAGGAGTCAGTGTTCGGTAGTAGGGACATAATATAAGAGGGCGGAGTAGAACACACCGAGTGGATAAAAAGTGAGGATCTCAGAGACACCGGCGATAGCGCCCGCGGTGAACGTCGCAGCGAAAGGCAAGGCTATCCATCATTCATCATTCATCGCCCAACGACCATAGATGAAAGAAAAAGTCAGCACACGAGCACAAAATACAAGCGAAGGGAGGAGGGAGGAGGGACGCACGTTTCCGTTCCGAAGACATGTTTGTCTACTCTATACTTCTTTAGCGTGTTCTACTTCTAGTAACGGCTTCGGAGCGCAACGTGTGAGACGACGGGCACGAAGAGTCTGGAGAGCGAGGGAGGTGGGGATGATGCTGGTGAGGGTGAAGGAACGGTCGCGTGCGTTATGCGATGTGACGTGCTTTTGCGTCCCGCCTCCGAGTCGAGCGGCCGTTCGAGTATTCGTATTTGCTTGCAACAATTCGTACCTCGCCCACTTTTTATTTATGCAAGCGGACTCCGGACCGCTGTATGTACGTTACGGTCTTGTGCTCTCGGTCGGCCGATGGATGGCGAGGCGCTCGTGAGTCGTTCATCGTTTTGTTCGTTCGAGCGAGAGGAGGAGAGGAGGAAAGCCGAAAGCCGTTGGGTGTTGGTGTTGACGAGGGATGAGTGAGGGGGATTCAGATTGTTCGGACGAAGAGCGAAGAGGAAGACTGGGTTTATGTATCGTATTCGTAGCGAGGCTTGGCGGCGACAGTGCTCGAAACGAGGCGTTCTTGGACGGCGATGTTCTCTTTATGAATGAAATTGTGGGGGCTCCTTGGATCATACTGTGAGAGCTTGGGACGACTTGGTATATTCTATGGTTGGTACGCTACGATGTATGGTTTTATTATAAGTTACTACGAACGAAGCAGTAAACATTGAATGTTAACGATTCGTGTGGCCCAAAGTCAAACCCCATCACGACCACGTGCCACGCCACGCCACGCCACGCCACGCCACGCCACGCCACGTCGCGTCCCCCACCACTTCAAGTTCACCGTCAATTGCAACCACTACACGAAAAGCCATACCCACCAGAGATTGTACTCGCTGCTATAGAGAGTCGTTAGCAGCCTTATAGGCACCGCTAGCCTTCAAAGCTCACCACCATGGCGCCCTCATCCCCACGCAAATACTCAATACCCCGCCTCCTCGCCCTCGGCGTCGCCTTCCACCTCATCTACATCGCCTCCGTCTTCGATTGTTATTTCACCTCGCCTATCGTGCATGGAATGAAGCCGCATAGAGTCCCGCTTGCGAGGGCGCCTGCGAAGAGGCTTGTGCTTATCGTTGGTTGGTGCTTACCTTCCCTCCCCTTCTTACCTTCCCTCCCCTCGCCTTCTTCCCTTCCCCCACCCACTTCCCACCTTCCCACTTCCCTCCACCCTCTCCCACACACAAATGGACTCGACGGTTGACTCTACCCTACCCTGCCTACTATATTCTCCAGGCGACGGCCTCCGCGCCGACTTCCTCTTTCACACAAACGCCACCTCCCTCGTCCCCGACCCCACAGTCCCAGAACGCGTAGCACCGTTTCTGAGAGATGTGGTCGAGAGGAGGGGAGCGTGGGGGGTTTCGCATACGAGGGTTCCGACGGAGAGTAGGCCGGGGCATGTTGCTGTTATTGGTAAGTTTTTTTTTGGTTTTGGTTTTTGGTTTGTGAGGGGGTGGTGGAGGGATGTGGAGAGGGGGGTGGGGGTGGAGAGGGAGAGGGAGGTGGTTTGTGGCGAGGTGGAGATGGAGGGTTTGGCGAGGAGATAGAGAGGGGGTTGACAAGGTTTATTAACGACCCCGGTATTCTTGTTTTGGATCGAAATAGGTGGGATGTACGAGGATGTATCGGCTGTGACCAAGGTTCGTACTCCTTGTCTCGTATACATATACAAGTTGTATTGTACATTACATTGACGAGACCGTGCTCAAAATAATCATGAATTATGCATTGCGTTGCTTGCGTCGCGTTGACACTAACAGGGCTGGAAAACGAACCCCGTACGTCCCTCCTCTCCCTCCTCTCTCCCTCTCCCCCCCTCTCTCTCTCCCCCTCCCTACAAATTACCAACACCTTACACACACTCATAACGGACACGCACAGGTCACATTCGACTCCCTCTTCAACCAATCCTCACACACATTCTCCTTCGGCTCTCCCGATATCCTGCCTATGTTTGCGCATGGAGCGACGCCAGGGAAGGTGAGGACGTGGTGTTATGATGAGAGGGATGAGGATTTTACGAAAGGTGGGTTTTTTTGTTTCTCCTCTGAGCTCTGAGTTCTGTGGTACGGATTATACCGTGGAGGGGAGGGTGTGGAGGGGTGTGTAGGGTGTGATGGTTCTACGTCTACCCGCATGTCGACTATATCCCATACATGCACGCAGCCCCAGCTCCGAGCTCTGAACTCAACGTATCTATCAATCTCGAACTGACCACCTCCCTCCCTTCCCTCCCTCTCCCCTCCCCTCCCCTCCCCCCTCCCCACCCCAAATCAGACGCAACCTCCCTAGACCTCTGGGTCCTCTCCCAACTCCGCACCCTCCTCCAAAACGCGACCACCGACGCACGATTGGATAGGGAGTTGAGAGCCGACGGTGTCGTTTTCTTTTTGCATCTTTTGGGGTTGGATACGACGGGGCATGCGTGGAGGCCTTTTTCGAAGGTGCGTCGAGGTTTCACATTCTCCGTTTTCCTCCCATCTATATCCGAGATGAAGTCACGTGTCGTGCCATAGCCATAGCCATAGCCGTAGTGTGCCGTGTCATGCTACATTGCTAGACGAGGATGACAGGAAGGCGTGTGGTATGGATCATTCCGAGTCGCTGATCGAACGTGTGTGTGTGGGGTGTGTGGAAATGGGATATAGGAATACATGAATAACATCCGCGTCGTCGATTCGATCGTCCGACAGACGGAGGAACTGCTCGAGGAGTTTTATGCAGCGGACGACTTTGAGGGCGAATACACGGCGGCTAAGGGAAAGGGAGCAGGAAAGGGAAAGAGCAGGACGAGTTACATATTTACCGCGGATCATGGGATGAGCGTCATTGGGAATCATGGAGATGGGGGTGAGGTTCGGGATTTCATTACTTCCTTCCTTCCTTGTTCCGTTCTCCCTCATCCATCCTTCTCACTTGACTCCGTTCATTCCTTTCTTCCTTCTCAGCCGCATTTATTTTTATTTCTTATTTTCGCCCTGCTCGGTGCTCGGTGCTCGTTCTCCTCTTACCATTCACCTTCGTCAATTCACCTCCTTCTCTACCCCCACCGCTCGTTTTTTTGTTCTCAAAATGGCGTAACATAACATCGCAGTCCTGACGTTCGTTTTATTTTTACTCGTATTCCAGATCCAGATAACACGCGGACCCCGCTCATAGCATGGGGTGCGGGCGTCCGGGGACCTATCCATCTTCCCTCTCATTCCACCTCCCAAGTCCCCCATGCCAATGAAGTGGATGAATACTCAGCCCCCTGGGCCCTCTCGCACCTGCACCGCCAAGACGTCGAACAAGCAGACATAGCGGCACTCATGAGCGCGTTGTTGGGCGTGCCGTGGCCTGTTAATTCGGTCGGGGTGTTGCCGGAGGTTAGGAGGGGGGTGCTTGAGTCGAGGTTGGGCGATGCGACGAGCGGAGGGGTGGGAGAAGGAGTGGGAGAAGGGGTGGGAGGGTATTTGGATCTGGGGGAAGCGGGGCTCGCGGGTGTGGGGTGGACGAATGCGAAGGTGTGCGATTTTTTGTTTTTTTGTTGTTTTATGTCCAGTCCGGTCCAGAAGGATGAAGGAGGGGTGTGCTGATAGGTGTGGTGTGTGGTGTAGGTCATCTTGGAGCATTATCGCGTTAAACATGGTGAGTCTCTTCGACTGCACTACTCTTGTTCAGAGCTGATGGTTAATATTCGGGATGGCTTAGAACTCAAACGATCGCATGTATTGTTCTATAAACCATACAAGCCGCTCTCCTCTCCCTCTTTCCCGCCTCCCTCTCCGCTCTCGCCCTCGTCATCCCCACCCTCGTCCTCATCCTCGTCGCAACCAGGCGAACCCCACCTCCTAGAAATCGAACGGCTCATCGAAGCGGGCGAGTTCATGCAGAGCAGACGAAAAAGCGCGGAGTTGATCGAGTTGGCGTTGGAGGGGATACGGTATTTGGAGACGTGCGTAAGCTGTTTTTTTCTCTTTTATTGTCCTCTTTTCTACGTCAGACTATGCACGATTTCTTTCCGCGCGTGATACTCCGAATGTCAACTTCTAATCTACGCAAAACATACGTCGCTCGTCCCTGACCGGCTTTTATTCCTCTCTTACCTATATATCTATCCACGCTATCGACCATTGACAGTCCCGCTGACCTGCGTATGGTGTGTGGTGTGTAGGTACGACCGGACGCTCATAAGGACGATGGTCAGTTTCGCGTATACGGGCTGGATGGCGTTCGCCGCGCTTTTCATCCTTGCGCCGAGGGGTTCATCGTCATCGTCTTCTACCCCTTCACGATCCCCTGTTGCCGCGACGACCACAACACGGTCATCGAAAGCAGAACCGTCATCTACCGACCTTTCAATATCCCCGCAACCTTCCTCAACCACCTCTATCTCCCCAGAACCCTCGTCGACCCCAATATCCACCTCCACCCTCCTCTCCTCCGCGGTCCTAACCGCCTTCTGGGCCCTGTTCGCGATGCAGAAAAGTCCGTGGACATTCTATATTTACGTTGCCTTTCCGGTTTATTTCTGGGGATGTGTCATTGGCGAGGTTTGGGCGTTTTCGGGCGGGCGGGTGGGTGGGGCGAGGACGGCAGAAAAGGAGAAGGAAGGGACGGGGAAGGAAGCGACAAGGATGGGTGGGGTACGAGGTGGAGATGTGGTGCGGTGGGTGGCTGGGATTATCGGCGTGGCCGTTTCGTTGCAAAGCATGGTCGTGAGTTCCCCTTCCTCCTCTTCCTTCCCCTTTTCTTTCCCATCTTCCACTGCAAATTCATACTCACCCTCCCCGACAGTACGGCTACACCCACCGCGAGATCTGGTCCCTCGGCTTCCTCGTCATCGGCGTCCTATGGCCTTTATTGTCCTGGCCCCGCACAATGTGGACGACGACGACGCGGAAGAGAGTGTTGGGTGCGGCGTGGATGGGCGCGTGTGTGCTGACGGGGGTGTTTCCGCTGTTGAGAGTCGATCCGAGGGAGGGCTTGGGGGCTATGTGCGTTTCTTTTCTTTTCCGCTTCTTTCTTTTCCTCTTGTCCCTCTTCCTTTTCCTCAGACATCGTCTCTTATCTTTATATGACGCTGATGGTTTGTGATGTGTGATGCGGGATGACGATGGTGGATATAGAATGAGCGGCGGGATATGCATGTTGCTGGCATATCTGATATGTGCGATATTCGTGCTCCCTAGGACGGGTCGCCCGAATGTGGAGACGAGGAGTTTATTGGATTTTCAGGTCTGTCGTCTTCTTCAAGTTGTCCTATCCTACCTCGCTCGTCCCTATGACTCCCTTTACCTTTCGTTGTCCCCCCATGACTTCCATTCCCCCCTTGCCTTTCGTTGTCTTCCCGGAGCCCTCGTCCTCCCATCCCATCCTGCCTATTGTACTGACGGATCGACGCGACGCGACAGTTGGTCCTCTTGCTGGCGAGCATGGCGGTGACGGCGAGTTCGGTGAGGAATTTGAGGGCGAAGAGAGGATTGCCGGTTACGAATCAGTTGAGTGGGTGGATCGTGTTGGGTGCGTTGCCACTCCCCTTTCCCCTACTGCTCTATTGCCCTAATTCCTTGCTAACTCCCTTCTTGAACTGACCTCCACGGGCGAAACGAACAGCCACCTCGCTCCTCTACCCGCCCGTACGCTTCCTCACCGGCAACCGCACCGGCACCCACATCTCCGCCGAATGCAAACTCCTGATCTATTTCCTCACGTTTTGTCCGCTCTTCGTGTTGTTGAGTATAAGAGCGGAGGGCCTATTCTATGTCTGTTTTTGTGTGGTCTTGGGGCTTTGGGTGGCCGTTGAGGATTGTCTTCGGAAGGATAATGATGGTGGTGTGGGTGTGAGTGGAGTCGGGGAGAGCGAGGATGGAAAGGGGGTGAGGACGACGGCTGAGAGGGAGGGAAGGGAAGGGAAAGGGAAGGGGATGAGGGAGAAGGGTGAGGGTGGGCGTGGGTGGAACCCGATGGGGCTGCGAGGCGACGACGTGCGGATCGCGATGTTTTTCTTGTTTTTCGTGCAGGTTGGGTTTTTCGGGACTGGGAAGTGAGTTTTTCCTTCCTCTTTCCTCCCTCCCTTCTTCACCGTGGAATTTGAATGTGTTTACTGAATCGTTGCTGTACGATTATAGTGTAGCGTCAATATCATCGTTCTACCTCGAACCCGTATATCGCCTCGTACCCATCTTCAATCCTTTCCTTATGGCTTCCCTCCTCGTACGTCTCTCTCCCTTCCCTGCATTGCCACCACTTGAGCTCGAGTGAATGGCATGCGATATACTGATCCTGACACGAAAAACAGATCCTCAAAATCCTCGCGCCGTACGTGATCCTCTCCGCCGTGTTCGCAACACTAAACGCACGGCTGGGTATGCCGCCGTTCGCGTTGTTCTTGGTCGCGCTTACGATGACGGATGGTACGTTCCTTTCCTTTCCTTTCCTTTCATCCCATACCCAACGCCATTACTCCGCCACCACATCGAATTCGACTTCGCAACCATGTCGAAATCCATCATAACTAACTAACTGACCGATACTGACTGAAACTAATTGGATGGAACTAATTGGATTGAACTGACCTGACCTGCCTTGAATTGGCGGCCAAATAACACAGGCATGACCCTAACCTTCTTCTTCAACGTGACCGACACCGGCTCCTGGCTCGAGATCGGACAGTCCATCTCATATTTCTGTATCACGAGTTTGTTGTTGGTGTTTTCGGGCGGGATAGCGGCGGCGGGGAGGGTGCTTATGGGGGATAGTTTGGGGTTGGAGGGGGAGGGGGAGGGGGATGTGGTGAGGGATGATAGTGAGAGAAGAGGGGGCGAGAAGAGGACAGAGTGATCAGATAGAGGATGGGATGTTATTCTGATGTCGTGGATTGTCTAGTTGCATTATTTATTGCTTTCGTTGTTTTGTATTGAGGAATTTGAAGGAGCTCGATGCTGGCGAAGAGTGTGGCCCGCTGCTGTGTGGCACCCCTAACCCTGCTCCATGGTTTCCACAACATGACTTGCTGTTTCGAACGCGTTCACTCACCGCCGCTTTCATGCTCCCTCGAGCAGCACGGAAACGCGTCTCTCATCTACATCCACACCTCCCTCCATCTACCTCGCTAATCCCACTCCTCAACGGGATAAACTTACACACCTTCAAATGCCCTCATAACCACCGTCGTACCTTCAGCTCGACATCGACATCGAATACATCGAGCCGAAGGAGTCTCAAGCCGTATTACACATCCGACAATGACAATCCACGAACACGAGAAACGGAATACGAAGTAGATGATGATCTCTTATTTCCAACTGGGTATGACGAAGCATCAGCAGCGGTGAAGCACAACCCTCAACCATCAAACGACGACAACGGCGACGATAAACCAGCGCTCGTCGGCGTCCTCTCCAACCTCCTCCGCACCCTCCCACCCTCCGCAATCGCTCGCTCTCCTCCTCCCCCTTCCTCTTACACTCCCTCTCCGTCTTCATCCCCTTCTGCCCCTAAAAGCACCGCACTGTACAACCCAATCTGGAACGCCCCCTTCCCACCCACACCCCCCTCCATCCCCTCCACCCTCTCCTTCCTCACCCACCTCCGCTCCACGTCCTTCACCGCCCTGAACTCCACCTCCTCCACCGCCCCCAACTCCACCTCCTTCCCCTCCACCCTGTCCGACACCGCTTACAAAGACTGGCAATCCTACTTCCACACCGAACGGCACATCGACGGTTTTCAAGGCCGCACGGCCCGTTCGCGCGCGCTCGTGTTTTATTATAATATTCCGCCGGAGGCGGAGTGGAGAGAGGTTGGGAGGGCGCTGGGGAGGTGGGGGTGTGTGACGAGGGTTTGGGGGGTTGTTAAGAGGAGGCCGCATCCGGGGCATCGCCAGAGACAAGGACAAGGACGAGGACAAGGATGGGAATGGGAGGAGGAGGAGGGAAGGAAGGAGGGGGAGAAGGAGGGAGGGAAGGAGAGGGTGGGGGAGAGGGAGAATGATCATGTGAAGGTGTTCGTCGAGTTTGCGAGCGCGGAGGATACGAGGGCGGTTTTGACGCGATGTATGGGGCATGGGTTTGGGTGGAGGATGGTTAGTGGGAAGAGACATTATAAACATTTGGATGGGAAGGTGCCGGTTATGCTGTGGGATTATGCGGAGGAGAATAGCGTTAGGGAGCAATTTGAGTTTGAGAGGGAGATGAGGCAGGGTGAGGGAGAGGAGGGGAAGAGGAAGGAGAAGAAGAGGAGGAAAGTGCCGTTTACTTGGATTTATGTGCATAGATGGAGAGGAACGAAGGGGAGGTTGGAAGAGGTATTTAGAGGTGCTAAAGGCTTCGAGAGGGTCGTAGTCGGTCAGTCCGTCTCCGTTTCTATTCCTGCTCTGTCCCTGTCACTATCCCAGTTCCTATTCTACTTCTCCTTTCATTGCCGATTCTAACATCACAACCCAGAGGATCAAATCAAATCAAAACCCTGGCGCGCCGCCTACATAAAATTCGCCCGTCCGCTCCACGCTCAAATAGCCCTCCAAACCTTCCAAGGCCATCTCGTCGACCTTTCCTCCCCTTCACCCTCTTCATTGACCTACGTCCAACACCAAAACGAATCTCAAGACCCATACACCCTGATTCTCTCCCCTGACCTCCCGCCTTACTTCCTCGACCAACAAAGGGACGAGGAGATGCGGGTGTGTTTGGGGAAGGGGAAGGGGAAGAGGGGTGGGAATGGGAAGAGGGAGGAGGGGCCGAGGGCGTGGTGGGATTTTGGGAGTGTGGAAGATCGGCAGCACGTGGGGAAGGAGGGGATGGAGGGATGGAGGGATATAAATGGGTATGGGGGGAAGGAGGAGGAGGAGGAGAAAGAGGTCAGGTATCAGTTTGTGTTGAAGCCGATAGTCATGGGATAGGTCGGGATATGAGTTCGGGGGAAGCTGAGTGGGTAGATGTTGAGCAGGTCGGGACCAGGTAAATCGAAACCATATTTCTTCATTCCGACACATCAGAAAAACTAATCCCTTCTTCTCTCTTCTCTCTTCTCCAGCCTCAACTCCCCTCCCATCTGAAGATCTGAAACCCTCCTCGCTTTCCGGCGTTTACACACAGAGGACATGTCGACGAAGGAGGACGAAGGGCGTATACGCATACATACCCACGTGCACGAAGAGTTCTTCCGACTTTCTTCGCTTTCGCTGCTCTTTCGACTGGAATGGTGTCCCATCGCACCGCGCCATCGCCCGCTCTCGTTGTCCGCTTGCCTATTGAAACGGAAGAAGTGAGACTCCATCTACACGTGCCACACATATCCTCTTTTCCCCTCTAAGCAGCGGCAGCGATACCTAATCCTGCCTGACCGCTGAGCGTGTATAAAGTGGTCATGGGGAGAGGATAGGGTCGGTAGAATATACGATGGATGAGGTTGGCCGCAACTAGCATCGCTGGTACTATGGAGGGAGGAGGAGGAGGGGGTAGTGATTTATATATCGTAGGAGAACGTAGCGTTTTACGCCTGATAGATTCTATGTCATGTATACATACCTGTATACCTTGGAGAGGTATCAAGAACCAGATCACTAAAGCTTCACTGCTATCATCACAGACTACAGCGGAAACTCTCTGGCCAGCATCCTGATTCCTGAATCATCGTGCCACACTCATTCGACGCTCATCCTGATGTGGCACCGGCACACCCTAACCCCATCCGAGGGTTGTCCGAGGGTCTGCAAGTATTGCGGCCTCCCCCGAAGAACGCGACTTGCAACGTTAACTTTTGCGCGTCGTGTTTATTTCTCGAGGCAAGACTTCGTGGCTATAGCTAGATCTTCGAATTCGCCTGGGATGCTCGATGCTCTCTCGAGCCATCCGCAAACACGTCTCTGCTAAGACGCTCCTCTCCTCCCCATCTCCATTTCCATCTCCATCCCCCTTTTCTCCCGGTCCATCCTCACTTTCACCTTCTTCATCCTCACCTTCGACACCGAGCCCATCTTCATACTCGAGCCGAAAGTCATCCTCGCTCCTCGACGGCCTAAATCTCTACAGATACAAATGTCCACATACACGCCATAATTCTTCCACTGCGTTCTTGCTTCCTACGGATTTGGATATTGTGAATGAGCGTCCGCATGGGGTTGGACATGGACATGGACATGGGCAGGGGAAGGAGGGGCAGCATCAAAACCAAAAGCAGGGTCAACGTGGGGCTGTTCATACGCACGCGAATGCGGAGGAGAAGGAGACATACAGGGATAGGGATAGCGAGAGGGAGTGGGAGAGGGAAAAACAAAAGGATATGACTTCGGAGGAAGTGAGGGAGGCGCGATATGCGGGACTCGTTAACGCGCTTCGACTTCGAGGTCGTTCCCCTCCCTCCTCCTCCCACCCGGACGCGACCACGAACCCTCACACGAACCCGAACACGAACACGGGCCCGAATACGAACACGAACACGGGCCCGAATACGAACACGAACACGGTCAAAGGAACCTCAGGACGCATCCGACTCAAGCCCATTCTCGTTCCTCCTGCTCTTTCTGGGGGACCGTACAACGCAGACGACGGACCTTCTTTCGGACCTGATTATCATCCCGAAAGCGCGGAGGGTGTGAAGGAGGATGTGAAGGGGATGTTGAATGGAGGGCAGGTGGAGGTGGAGGGGAGTCTTTCGCAGAGGACGGTTTGTGTGCTGGGACTTGAGCCGGGTACGAAGGAAGATTCTGTGAGGTCTGTGTTTCGGGCTTTTGGAAGGATACGGGCGTTGTCGATGCCTGCGTCTCCTTCACCTCCATCTTCTTCAACCCCCTCTTCTTCACCCTTCACTTCCACTCCGTCGTCGTCTTCACCATCACACCATGCTCCGCGAGGAACGGAAGAAAAGGAAAAGTACAAGACCGCGTACGTGACATACCACACGAGCGATTCCGTCACCCGAGCGCTCCAGAAATACGCGACCGAGTCTGTATACGTGAGAGGGAAGGAGGTGCATTTGCATAGACATGTGAGGGGGACGTATTTGCCTGGAGAAAACACAGAGGGGAATGTGTTGAGGCGGTTGAAGGATTTGGTGGATGCGAGGGAGGAAGAGTCACACGTCAACGAGGAGACTGAGGTGAAAGTGGATGAAGTCGGAGTGGCGGAGGGACAGAGGGAGGGAGAGAGGGAGAGTCGAGGACGGCAAGATCATATCCCGTTCCGAATCCTTCCCTTCCCCCGAATCGCACTCCCCAGACCTTCCTCCATCTCTTCTCCACCATCTTCACCATTCGTGAACGAACCCGGCACACTCTCCCGCATCCTCCAACGACCCTCCACACCCTCCACACCCTCCACACCCTTCTCTTCCTCCCCCCCTCCCCCTCCTCTCATACTACCACCACGATCCCAGCAACACACCACCTCCGCTACAGATTTCCAGTCAAAGATATGGGACCTCCCACCGGTACAGGCAGAGGCCCTCGTCGCGAATGCGGTTTCTCCGTTCATGCGTTCGTCGGCGGAGATGGGGCCGTCGAGGCATTTGAAGATTTATGGGGCGCCGAGGAAGTGGGGAGTGGGCGATATGGGGGTTTGGTTATCTGAGTTTGGGACGTTGATGAGGATTACGGATGGTGCGTATCCACCTCTGTCCTCTTCTCTTTCTGCCTTTCATCGATTCACCTGTCCATGCGGCATCCCAAATCCCCCCCAATCACCCACACATTCATTCAATTCCGCAAACATACTAACGAGATGACCATGACCCACCCCAACAAACCACAGAACAAAACTCCAAACCGCTAAACCACATCCTCGCCTCCTTCGCCACCCAAACCGACGCGTTCTCCGTCCTGCTCAAGCTTGCGGAGCTCGAATTCAAATGTGAAGGCGACAGGATTTTCGTCGAATACGCTTCGGAGCACGAAGTCGGGTACGCGTCGGAGCACGAAGCTGAAAGTCACAATCACGGTCAAGGTCAAGGTCAGAATCAAGGGCAAGGTCAGGGGACGGCGGCTCATGTGATCGGACTCGGAGGTGGGGGAAATATTGGCGAGTTGGAGGCGATGTTTGGGGGGTTGAGGGGGTATAAGGGCGTTTTGGTCGGTGAGTGACCACTTCCTCCCTCTCTTTTGCACACCATCTTCGCGACCAGAACTCGCGCTCTCTGAAAACCTTTCTTTTCTTGTGCACGCGACTGACTGTGTTTCACTCACAGAGGACACGATCCCGAACAAACCCTACCAGTCCGCCTTCGTCACTTTCAGATCGCACGCGAACGCGAAGCACGCTGTCGAGGCTTTGTCAGCATCGTTGTCGAGAGATAGAGCTCGAGACAGGGAGAAAGGGAATGGATGGGAGATCGAGGTATGCGAGAGGCCGTCGTTTTTGATCGATTTGGCACTGGGGAAGTTTGATAAGGATGTGGGTGTGGGTGTGGGGGATGGTGCGAGAGAGCAGGGGTCTGTGGATGGGGAGTCGTCACGGGAAAGTGTGTCGTCGTTGGAGCGCTCGGAGGACTATGGCAGAACAGTAGCAGATGCGGAGGATCGTCATTCCCACCTCGTCGACGTCGAGCCGGCGTCGGCTTCTGCTCGAAACACCCTGCAACACAACGGCAACAGACTGACGGCTCCTAGGACAAGCACAACTATGAACACGGACGAGACCCACTCTCCCTCCTCCTCCTCCCCCTCCCCCTCTATCTCCTCATCCGCATCCTATTCCGCTACACCACAATTCAAACCCGTCCGAACCCTCTCAATCCCCGATGCAGAAGCCCAGGTCGAGAAAGCTTCGGCTCCCTATATTCGTCTCTCACCCAGTGCTTCGCAACATTTGGAGGTTTCCGGTGTGTCGGAGGCGGAGAGGGAGAGTTGTGGAGGGAAGAAGTTTGGGGTTTGGGTTTCGAGGTGGGGGTGTGTGACGAGGGTTTGGGATGGTACGTGTCGTGCTATTCTTTCTTATTCATTTCAACTCATCTGTCTGTTTATTCTTCCGTTGTGAATCGCTTACACTTGACACTTATGCTCCTCGCAGAAGAAAACAACGTCCGCCTCCCATCCATCCGCATATCCTTCGCAACAAACATGGAGGCCTTCGCCGTCCTGATGGAGCTCTCTAGCCGCCAGTTCATGTACGACGGCCAGAGACTTTCGGTGGATTATCTGTATCTAAGTCAGAGTGAGATGCCGGAGAAGACGGCGGTACATGTTTCGTCGTTCATTGGGTCGGTTTATCAGTTGCGGAGTTCGTTTGGGAAGTTGCCGGGGTTCAAGGGCGCTTTGATAGGTCAGTCTCATTTGCTTACCACCCAGTCCCTATCCACGTTTGGCTTACACTGCGCTACCCGCACACTGTGTTGACATTTCATGTTGGATTTTGAAGAGAACCCAATCCAGGGTAAACCGCACGCGGACGCCTTCGTCACGTTCGAGACCGAAGCCGCTGCGTCGCGCACGGTTAGAAAACCTCCGACGCCTTCTTCAGAGTCCAAACGGCCGAAACTACGACTTTGCGAGAGGCCGGCGTTCTTGATCGATCTCGTCATGGGCAAGTTCGACGATCTGTCTGCACCATCACCACCACCACCGTCACCGCCACCGACGACGACGACGACGACGACGACGAACAGTCCACTGTCGAATCATGACCATCCGTTACATGACACCACGACCTCCCTCGGGCCCTACCTATCCCACCCTTCCGACCCACTCTCAATCACCCCCACATCCATAAACCCAACCTGGCTCTCCCCCTTCCCGTCTCTCACCCCCTCCGTCCGGGACGCCCTCCTCACGATGAAGAGAGACAAACACAACCTCTCCGGGCTCTCTCCCCCCTTAAAAACCGACTGGCAGACCTATTTCGGGACAGAATGTCTCATGCGTGGGTTTTGTGGGAAACGAGCGCGCTCGTGCACGTTGTTGCTCTATGCGTTGCCGGGCGAGGTCGATGAGTTTGCGTTGGGGAGGTATTTGGGACGGTGGGGGACTGTTACTGGGGTGTGGAAATTTAGGAATCGGGATGGGGATCCTGAGACGGGAGGCAGTGGGGGTAGTTTTGGGAGCGGGAGCGCGAATGTGATTGTGGAGTTTGCGAGCAAGGAGGACGTGAGGGCTGTTCTTGACCGAGGGAGGGAGTGCATGATCGGGTTTAGGAGCGGGCATGGAAGGCCGAGTTTCTTTTGGGATTATGCGGAGGATAATGGGATGAGGATACGGTATGGGTGGGGAGAGGGAGCGAGGGAGAAGGAGAGCAGGACGGGGAATTTTAGTTGGGTTTATGTGCATGGGTGGGTGGGTACGGGGGAGGAGTTGGAGAGGGAGTTTGACGGGTTGGAAGGGGTTGAGAAGGTTTTGGTCGGTAAGTTTATCTTTCGTTTCGTCCTTTCTGCTTTCAGGAGCTCGTCGTGAAGAGATGTGCTGACGGTGATTTCTGTGGGTTTTTAGAAAGAAAGATTCCTGGAAAGCCCTGGCGAGCGGCGTACATCGGTTTTGTTCACCCACGTTACGCCGACGCGGCCAGGCAAGCGAAGAACGGTAAACCATCAAGCATACCTTTGCCCTCAACGTACAACTCCCAAACTCTTCCATCGTCAACGCCCACCGACACCCCTGGCTCCCACTATATCTTCGACCTTCGACCTGACCTGGAACCTGCGTTCTTCGTCAATCCGTTAGCAAATGTAATGGGTGCAGAGAATGAGGGTACCCCCGATGCACACGATCTCGAACGAGCGAACCCGTTTGAGTTCGGCCGGTGGACGAGGATCGTGGAAGAGCTGAAGAGACATGGTCTATCACCGCCCGAGACCCGACTGCCCCCTCTGTTGTTTTCCTACGACCGGAGTAGGCGTGGCAGTAGTGAGAGAATAGAGGCCGATCGAACGGCAGAAGGACTGCCCGTGATAGATATAAATGCGAAGTGGAGAAAGGGAAGGCTGGCCAATTGTGCGTCCACATCTACCACACCTACCGAAACGTCCCTCCAACAAGACTCCCCTCCTACAGTCTACTCGCAGGACCCGACCTCCATCCTCTACGACGTCAAGTTCGATCCAGGCACGTACCTTCCCTACACCTACTACGTCGACAAACTCCTCCTCAGTCTTCCCCGCTCGCGCATATTTCAATCCATACCTCGAGAGGACCGCAGAGCTATCTTTGAGCATTTCTTGGACGAGATGACGGAGGAGTTGGGCCGGAGGAAGGTGCAGCCGTTAATCAAGAGGAGGCTGAAGAGGATGCTTGAGGTTAGTCCGGTGTGGATCGCGCACGTGCCGCCGGAGGAGAGGAGTACGGCGCAGAAACATGCGTGGTGGAGGTATTGCGAGGGTGGGGATAGGTTGTTGTTGTTGGAGAGCGGGCCCCATTCGGAGAGAATTTCGGATGATGAGGCGAACTCGATAGCGAAGAAGAGAGAGGGGCGTCATGCGTATGAGCAGAAGAGAATTCGCGAGGGGAAAATTTGAGCGGGATCGATGGTGCCGTTGGTATCTTACGGGGCGTTGTTTTCTCGACACACACTTACAGCTCTCTTAGACTTTGTCTCGCATTATTGCTTTGCATCGCTTACATTCGTCTCTTGCTGCTGCATCATCTACATCTAATTTTGCATAGGGTGTTGTAACTTATTCCATTCTGCTATATTTTCTTCATTCCGTCTCTCGGCGCAGACAACTATGGAATGCATACACTATCCGTGGGTGATCACTCCACGCAGTGGACCTTGAAGCCTTTCTCGAAAACCAAGCGTGCAGAGTATCAGTCGTGAACCCTACAGGTACCGCCTCAAGTATGAATTTTGAACCCATGAACGAACGGGAACTACGACAAGCGACGACGCAGAGCTAGAAGAAAGAACGACCAAGGAAAAACAAAAATAAATATTGAGACCCGTAGGTCTACCACTCTGGAGAAGCGTGTCATCCTTGTGCAGGGGCCATGCTAATCTTCTCTGTATCGTTCCAATTTTTTCGTATGTCACCCCGAAGGGGACACTTGACTGTGTTCAAGCTCGTGTGGCTGAGACATAAGGTGGGGTTTTGCGTGGGTGGCGGGTGTCGCTGCCAGACGCGGCACTCATCTTGTGGCGTGGTATGGCGAGCTCGTATTTTTCTCAAACTTGGGGCAGATTTGAAGAGCTGGTTGTTCGCAGTGCGTTGCCTCTCAAGCCGACATATTAACCAACAAATAAAGTTTGGCAGAATTCATCACAGCACCACATACTTAGAGGTGACTACTTACTCCCAAGAGCAAATCTCAAAAGGATTACCAAAAAAGTGACACAAAACCAGCCAATGAATAGTACCGCTTTGCAGCGCACTATTGAATGATCGTACTCCTGTCAGGCAACACAGTTCAGACCGCGATCATGGAAATAACAAATTATGCTGCGTCGTGGTCCATTCCTCTGGTTTATACCATCTCAATTCTATCCGCGTCGTTGCTTCCATATTCCTGAAGTATATGTTCCACATGAGTATCACTCAATGTACAACAGAAGAAAAAATACGCTGAAAGATAGACTGACCACAGGGTCCATGACGGTCCCCTGGAGACTTCCATTTCTGACGAAAAGAATGTCATCCTCTATAAGCGACCTTGTATTCTGTCTTGGTTCAACTGGCGCTCCTATATTCCCGAGAACTATGTTGAACCTGAGCTCTGAAAGCGGAAGAGTCGCGGAAACATCTCCGGAATGCGGATCGGAATATGACTTGAGGTTCAGGACCAGGCGGTTCATAATGAGGTTAGGAAATCTGGATGCAGCATGAATGATCGGGCGATCCATATACGATGAAGATATACGTACATATTTAGATATGGTGTGAGGCCTGTTGACCACAGAGAGCTCGTATAAGTGCTCTGTGAAGGCAACTCAATACCAACTCTGAAGCTATAAATATTAACCTTACGTTTTTGTCCACAACACCAGCCTGGATACATGTTGCTTAAGTACAGCTTTGCAACGGAATGTTGGAAAGTTACTCACTAAATTGAACCCAAAGGTAGGAAGTGTGATGATCATAATCAGACTATGATACAAACCTTAGCCTGGGAGTTACCACTCGAGTCCTTTTGCAGAAACATACAGAAAGTGTATCGCTCCTGAACATAATAGCGGTCATTTAGCGGCTAATTATGTATCACTCAAGCCTGAGCGTACCATCTCGTAGAAAGACCTCAGAGACACCAGATTGCCCAAGCCTCCGCTGTTGGCGTACGTGGTAAAATGTTCTGACCATGGTTAGAGCAAATATATATACGGCGAGCAACGAGTTTATGGCTGCCTCCACGAGCTGTACTGCAGATAGAATGCCATATTATATAACCGCCGCTGAAGGGAAGTAGAGAAACATACAGCTAGCAGACAGATAGTGAGTAATATGCATGCTTTCCGTATAGTTAAGACCGGAGCGTACCTATCTAAAAGGGATTGGTTCGGTTCATTGGCCCCGCAGTTTGACAATGTACTGAGAATGGATCCTGCATTCGATGCTCCTGTGGCTAGTCCAAAAGAGCTCTAGAAGAATAACGGTAATCTTACCATTAGTTAAAGATGCCCGCAAAGTCTAGGTGCTTACGTAGATGTCCAGGATAGAAGCTGAGACCACAAAGATACCACATATAGCAAAGACCTTTCTGTTATATCCAGTGATACACCATGCTCTCATGGTGAGTAGTCCTAAGATAATGTGATATTAGTGTGATAATAGTATATTATACGAGATAACAGTAGATGATGCGTACCCGAAGTTGTGATCGCTGTTAGAGACCACAACGCGTTCCCGGCGTACTCTATATCACGACAGCTAAAATAACCGTTCAATAGTCACCGTTAATAATCGCTCTCCATGGATGCGTGAACAGTAATCTCACAGGGTATCCGTCATTGTGCCGCCAACCGAAGCCGCCAATGAAAAGACCAGGTATATCAGAAATCCATATCTATTGATCAGGAAGACGCTCGATGTGATGGTCAAACAGTTGGACCAGATGACTAGTATCTCAGTGGGAAGAGTATCGATATAGTCATACAGCCATACGGCTGACATACGATGTAGTGCTTCTCAGCGGGGCACAGCTGTCAAGGAGGCGTGTAGAACATACTTGTCGCAGAAAAGGTGGTCCGGTTGTCAATTAGCCTGAAAATACCCAAATATCGTCAATATGTCATATGGTAAATTAAGAAAGGTGATCTTGAAATCACAGTATCCAATAGCTCTTAATCCAATACTCGAGTTCGAGGTCGCCGGTAGACATGGCGAAAATCTCTGTTGAAGGTGAGTGAAGTGGTCAAGGGGAAGTAATAGGTGAGATTACGATGCTGCGATGCTGTTTTGCGGCACGTAAGATTATATGGGACGTCACAGCGCAAGTATAGCACGACCTCATAGAGTATGCGGGTCGATATCATGACGCTGATGCAAGGTAGGAATATTACAGGCTCTGTACACCCGTAGGAATTAGTTGCCGTCCTACTTCAAGATATGGAACCTCGAGTCAGTAGTACCCGTCTTGGGCTTGTTAATAGTTACATGGTTCTTGATGGGCGGGAATAAAGGGGAGAAGGCGGGAGTAGTCTGATCCTGAGCAACAGAGATACTATTGCCAAACCTGAGATACACAGTATATTGCTCCGCATGAATACCTTTTACTTGAATCGGACACGGTAGCATAGTGTCACAAGGTATTATGACGCGTCTAAGAGCTAGTCAATGGCCAAGGCTCACTTTATAACTTGAAGAAGAGGGCCCGGGATCGGTGGGAGATCTTGGTTCTTGACAAAGGTTCAGGAGGAGCTTGCGTCGGGTTTGAAGCACCATCTCGAATCTAGTCCCAATTTAGTCCGATCAGGTTACTTGCCAACTCAGAGAGATGAGGCACAAATACCAGCCTTACTCGAGTCTCCTCTCTTCCGTCCTTTCCCGCGGCGTTGACACGTATATGTAGTCCAGGCCCAAGGTAACGCCACGGGAAATGCAATCACTGTGAAGCCAAAATGCAGCTACAAAATTCCTCGGAAGTTGTTTCAGAACAGAATTTATGCGCCGAAGATGAGTCAACGAAGGGTATTATTTTGGAGAAATACCCTCTCATGGACCTACAGCTTTTGAGGATTATGGCCGATTTCGATAGAAATCTTATCCGTGAGCCTTGTGGTGTATTTTGCTAGAGATTAATATTGTCCAGATGAAAACCCTTCTTGGGTGGTTAGACCAGTAAGACCGGGAAGTTGTGAGAACAAAGCGGAAGAGAGCAAAGAATTGAAGAGAGATGAGATGCGAGCTGCGGACTAAGTGATCCGAAACTGATGGTTACGAAGAAGGCTCAGGAGCGAAGGCGGAAGTCAAGAGTCCGAGCAAAATTGCAGACTCATGAGAGCAGTGAACGGGAGAACCGAAACAATGTTCCTGCTTGCTACCCGTCATGAGCTCAGTATAGGCCGCCGCGGAAGAAAGCAGAAACGCGGAACTCGCCGGGAGAATGCACTCTACGCCACATCACAACGTAAGTAGTACGCCACCTAAGCCGCGTCGAATCAGACAATCGAACATGGACTTCAACTTCAGCTCTAACAATCGAGAGCAGAGAGCAGAGCGCATGATGTTATATAAGCTAATGCGAGTAGAGGTACACTGATCCGGACGTGATTCAGGAATCAGAAAAAGAAAGGAATACAACAATCCATAGTAAATAGCGTAAGTAGACCGTGAATACGCGAAAAGCAGAATCAGGAAAACAACAATAACAGCACTTCAGCAAGAGTCCACGTATACGTATGCAGAGTCCATCCCACCGTCCAGCCAAAGTTAGACCAGTTCCCTCCATTTCGTCCCTATCGAACTCCCGCACCTACGCCTACGCCTACTCAGGCCCCCTGCAACCAATCCCTCAACCCCCTAACCAGCCTCCTCGCCGCCACCTCCAACCTCTCATCCTTCGTCCTGGCCACTTCTACCACCGTCCTCTTCCTCCCTGCCCCTCCACCTGCCGGACTAATCACCAACCCGACCCTCCTCGAACTAAACGCCACGCTCACCCTCTCCCACTCCACCGCCTTCCCATTCCCTCCTCCACCTCCTCCACCTCCTTCACCTTCTCCGCTCGAGCCACTAACATAAATGACCCCCCTCCGCCCCCCTTCCTCCCTAACCAGATCCTCCAACCTCGCCCGCGGCTGCATCAACCCAAAAAGATCCCGAAAACTCTCCTCCCTTTCCAGATGCAGCTCCGTATCGTCACTCCAGACGTCTTCCCGGACTTTGAGGGCTATGAAGAGGTCGAGGATCGAGGTTTCGCGGTGCGAGGAGGGTAGGAGCGGGCCGGGGATGTGGATTCCGTTCGAGTTGGAGGTTCGGTCGGATTGTGGTTGGGTGTGTGATTGTGATTGTCGGTGTTGAGAGTGTTGGCGGGAGGGATGGGAATGGGAGGAGGTGGAGGATAGGGAGGTTGTGGAGGGTGTTGGGGAGGGTGGGCTTGGATTTGGATTTGGATTTGAGTGGGAGGTCGTGGGTGTCGATGGGGAGGCGGCGGAGGCGGAGATGGCGCAGGAGCTGTAGGGAGGTGCGAAGTGGGGGAAGGGGTCGGAGCTGTAGGGATGTCGGAGGAGGGAAGTGTATGCGGGGAGATAGGTTGAGCGGAGGACGTGCATGCATGCTGTAACACGAGGGGAGGTCAGTATGTCGTCGAAGACGTATAGATGAGGGGCAATAGGGGCTATCGGACTAGGGTGGCGCAGAGGACATTGCCACCCATCATCTTGTATCATTTCTCCTCCCGAGAAGACTCAAAATGCCCTTGCATGAAGGATGAAACGGACTAACCGATATAAAGCGCCCGATTGACCAGCCTCAAACTGACCGAAAGCCAATAAAGCGTCTTGCGCTGTCTCTCGACCCTCCCCTCGTCCAACCAACTCGACTGCGGAAAGGTATGATACACGATCTCCAACAACAGATGGGACGGCAACATCGTGAACGTCAGCGGGGGCACTCTTCTCTTCCCTCTATAACCCTCGCTCGTCGAGGGCGAGTATGGCGGTGATGTGGGATTGGAGTTGGTGTTGGCGTTGGTATTGGTATTGGTGGCGACATGGCGGAACGGATTACGCGATGCGAAGTGCGCGGGAGGAGGAGGTTGGCCATGGGAAGAGTAGGCTGTAGCGCTCGAGTAAGGAGGCGGGGGAGGAAGCATGGGGGGCTTTTCGTCGACGACGACCATCGTGCGAGGATCTCGAGCCGGCTACGCTTTTATGTTCCTTCCTATACGTGCGTGTGCTGCTTGGGTAAGGCTATCGCGGTATTGGGTTCGTGAAACGAAACCGTAAACGTCGAAGTTGAGGGTGTCACTGGATAAGGCTGCGCTGCGGTGTGTTGATGGATTGGATTGGATCGGTTTGGGGTGAGGGAAAGGCGATAAGAGGAGAGGCGCTGGATGGAGGACGGGTGGAATGGACGTTGGCTATGAGTAATGTGCGAGGAATGTGCGAGGATGGGAATAGAATAGACTGAGAGTCGCTGCGGGGAGCCGTGGAACTGTGACGGGCACGCAGGCCGGCCTTTGGAGGATGGAACTCAGCAGGGCGTCAGTATTGCTTTTTGTTGACAGGCTTCTAGGACAGCAATTCTAGGGATGTTATATACGAGTAGAATAGGTCAAGAACGAGGAAGACCGTAGTAGTAACGAAGAGTGCTGGCAGTCTGAGCTGGCTCCAAGCGAACGATGACGAAGTGGCGTTTCTCACTGTTTCTCAGAGTCAAAGCGGGGATAAAGACCTCACGGGCGCTCTCCTCGACCCGTGTCATTTATATGGACCGCAATGTCCCAGACTACCAGTAATTTTGAACATGAAACGATACTTTTGAAGGCCCAAGAGTCCAAGACGAAGCCGAGGCAGACCGCAGCTGCTGAGCATCATGATCACTTGGAACCTGTCCGAGTCGTAAATATGTTACTCAGGCTGGGACTCGAGAGTGTACCGGACTGCGCAGCGGAAATTCTATATATTCGAGTCCTTACTTGTGGATGCTCTGAGCTCATGAATGTCTTGGAAGGGTCCAAGACGACTTGGCATGCACTTCCTTCCATACGATATGTCCAACCGAGCAAAGACGTGGTAAGGTGGAGTTTCATCAAAGACTCACTGCGCCGCTGCGTGGTGGCGCCAATTCAACATGCTCAGACCGGTACCAGCGCGAATATGATTAGGTGGGTTCTTAGCACGAACGGGTGACGAGAGCGAGAGCGAGAATGAGATAAAAGTAAAGAAAAAGCGAATAAATAAACAAAACAAAACTAAGTATGTATGGGACCTATATGTGCAATTGCAAGTCGAGAGCCTAAATGGTCGGGAAGTTGTCAATATCAACAAGCTTAAGGAGGAGGCGGCTCTAATAAGAATATAATATCGTGACAGGTCGTTAAAAAGAGACAAACAGCAATTGCAATGAACATTGAACAGGAAGAAGCGAGAAACGACGTGGTGATGACGGTGAAGTGGAGAATAAGTAGGATGGATGGATGGATAGCAGAACTACATGATATAGACAGGCCTATTAGGGCAGATGGATGGAGAGGACAAACAAGCGATGTGTTGATTGATTGTATGACTGTATGGCTGTATGGTTGGGTGGGTGGTGGTGATGGTGATGGTACAGTGCCGCAAATCAGCGCAGGGATATGGAGGTGTAGAAGGGCCGTGGGCAGAAGAAATATGGGAAAAGAATACAGAGGAATCGAATGCGATGCATGGATACGTGCCTACGTGAATGACGATGCGATGCAATGCAATGCAATAAAGAAGAGCCAAAATAGATGCGGATGCGACGATATGACGATGTGACGAGTGACGAACGACGACCTGTGAAGATGTGTAGGTGGAGGATGGATGGCGTGAAGTGTGTGCATGCGTGGTTGGGGGGTATGCAATTACATTTGCTGAAAGAGTAAGAGCAAGGATGAAGAGATAGATGCAAGATGTGTGTGAGATGCAAATTGAAAGAGGCCGATGCCGTTGTCCGCCGTCCATCCATCCATCCATTCGTCCATGAATCATTGCATTCTCCAAGTGCAAGAAAGCCACCTCATATCCTCAACTCCCTAAACCCCCTAACATCCACCCTCCCCACCCCATTCCTCATCCACTCCCCATCCTTCCCCACCACCCCCACCTCCTCCCCCTCTCCCCCCACCTTCTTCCCCCTCTTCCCCACAACACCTTTCCTGAACCTCCCCCCGGGGATAACGATCTTCCCCGCCCCCTTGGTCTTCCCCCCAGCACCACCACCCCGAACAACCCTCTCCGCCACCCGCGGACTAGGCAGCCCCAGCGCCTTCCTCTGTCTTCTCGTCAATGGCCTATCTACCGGCGCAGGCGGTGCAGAAGCTGATGCTGATGGAGGGGGTGCTGGGAGCGGCGAAGACGACGAAGAAGTATCGGACGAGGTCGACGCCGTCTCGGATAATGACGGTGTATCCGCATCCGCATCGACGTCCACATCCACATCGTCCATCATTATCGGCGGCGGCCTCCGAGTCGCCCCTTCTTCTTCCTCCCCATCCTCGTCGTCCATATCATCCGCGTCAGACCCGTCCTCCTCGTACCTCATCTCCACATCCCCTTCCCCCTCTTCCTCCCCATCGTCCTCCTCCTCCGCCTCCCCCTCGCCATCCTCATCCTCCCCCCTCCTGGACCTCTTCGCCGCACTATGTTCCGAATCCTCACCATCCCCCGAACTCTCATCGAACGTCCTCTTCGGACTCCGATGATCCCTCTCACTTAAGGGGGGCACCGTCATCATCGACGAGTCGGACGCCGTCGTGCTGCTACTATCCCTACTAGTGGGGGTAGCGGTGGTGAAGGAGGTGGAAGGCAACGTAATCTGCGATGGCGAGACTGATCTCGAGCCCGGCAAAGGGATCTGCGAAGGCGTAGGTGGTGCCGTCGAACTCGTATCCTCCTTCTGTCTCGTCGAAGAAGTAGAAGCAGAAGCAGACGCGGCCTTGCTCGCCGCCGTCCGTCTCAGACTCTCCCTCTTCCCCTTCATCTTCGCCGGCGCCTTCTCTCCCTCCTTCTCCTTATCCCCCTTAACCTTCTCTTTCGCAGGGTTCTTCCCCGTAAGAACAAGAGGCGCCGAAGCCGACGCCGACGATCCTTCCGTCTTGTTATTCGTCGCAGCAGCAGCAGCCCTCACCGACGCACGCGTAGCTTTCGCTTTGGAGATCTTCGCAGTCGGTGGTGGCGGTGGTGGCGCCGGCGGTAGATCGTCCACGTCTGACGCTGAGGTGAGTGTCCATTCGTGGACTTGGGGGAGACCCTGATGGGGCCCTCGGAGGTTACGGATGGAGGAGAAGTGTTCCCAGTCGTGGTATCTGCATTCGGCGCATGGTGTCAGATATTTGAACTCGTAAAACAGAGAAGGGGGGGGGGGCGAGAGAGAGAGA